ATACCCAGCCAATATCGGGAGATGGGAGTGAGTGGACAGTGAGCGAAGACTGGGAAGCAAGGATAGGTATAGTCAATGACATCATGCACATTGCACCCGTGGATAGAACAGTGGACGCACTCAAGGCAAGATTTGAGAATGAACCAGTGTTCATGGAAGTCGTCGAAGCGATCTACAACTTAGATCAGAACAAAGATATTAAGCAGAAACGACGAGCAAGACATAGAGCGGAACAGTATATCATCGAGAACAAGAGACTTTGGAAACTTCGAGGCGGCGCATCAACGAGAGCAAGAACAAGAGTGGAGTGCGTATCGAGAGAAGAAGCAAAGACACTAGCAGCAAAGACACACGCAGAGGGAGGCCACTGGGGGAGAGATGCAATCAAGATTGCATTGTTAGATCGGATATGCAGCCCAAAACTCGACACATCAATTCTCGACGCTATCAAAGAATGCGCTAAGTGTAAAAACTTTGGTCCTACGCATATACACTCACTATTCGAACCGATTACCAGACGACACCCATTCGAATTGCTAGTTGGAGATTACCTTACGTTACCGAAAGGAAGGAACGGGTTCAGCACAATCGGAGTCTACCTGGACACGTTTTCACAACACACCTGGGTATTCAAGTACAAGACTCACCTGTACCTGTAGGTTTGATGTATCACTTCTTACAATTGTAGATGAAATGTGATACAATAATTACTGAAGTCCATAGATACCTATCATTGTAGGGCTGATATATCAATGGAGGATCCTGTCAGGACACTCCCATAATAATCTCACACCCCTAATTTTCGCATTTTTGACCACCTACTGTGGGAATTTCCCCACAACACTTAAAAATAGATTGCTTCTCCACATTTTCGCATTTTTAGCCACCCCACTACACCTAAAACATCACCCATTTTGGGAATCTCCACAATATCAATTATTCCCACACCCTCCCCACCTCACTGCAGCTTCACCACCACACCACAATAGGTCCCCTCTTGTATCTAAGTAGTAGTTTGGTATATATATGTACAATATAATGTAATAGACCGCTTTTTTTGCTTATTTGTGTGCCTGCTCCTCCTCTAGAGGCCATTTAACATATGTTAGAGTAAAGAACACTTTCGCACTTTTGCCCCTTTGGTGGGAAAGTGTTCTATTATATTCAAAACATGTTTATGAGCATATATGAGTATATTCCCATCTTTATTTGACCCCCTGAAGCGCCCTACATCAATAGATATAGCACATATGCAAGAAAACACAGAATATGTTCCTATTTAATTATTTCTAGGTGGACAGACTTGGAAAAATGATTCCCAGTATCTATTCAACAATATGAACAATGTATCAGGAGCCCAGGACCATGGGATAATTCCCTGTTGCATGGTGTGCCCCCCCTCTCCTGGTGGTTTACCCCCTGTGAAATTTTTTCCTGCAGGACCAGACCTTAATTGAGGTGAGGGGTCTATTTCTATGTATATTTGGAGTAGATCTATCATATAGCTGGCCCAGAACACACATAGGATCCTGCTACAAGAACAAAAACATAGAAAATCTCACTTTTGACACTTTTGATGTTTTTTAGTATCTTACTCTTGCATAAATAACCATCCCTGCTCACATATTATCAGTAGTACATTCACACATATGTTCTATGCCAAGGATCAGCCCTACATAGGGCGCAAATTTGATATCTGATGTACAGGAGGTATTTCTACTGATAAGGAGCCCATACTTTCAAAACATCGAAATTTAATAATCAGACACTTGGAGTAGATTTAAAGTACATTCACTATCATATACCTAAATTTACAAAACAATCCAACAAGAATTGAGTGCTGAGGAAGTGAAATAGATAAGAAATTGAGTGTGGGAAAGTTCAAAGACTCAAAACATCGAAAATGGTCAGTTGGGCAGCAGTAGGACTTTAATGCTGGGTCAACTCAAATATACATCACATTCCTTCCATCACCCTCTAACCTCAGGGCAGTATGTAGCATAGGTTCATTTAGTAGTCTATCATATATCCTACATATTTTCAATGAAATATTTGCCCTATACCATATATAAATGTGACTTTGTGTCAAAAGATGTCAATTGTCACTTTTCACACATATGTCATTTTACTTGTCATTCAGTCAGTCCTTCACTGATCTTTCTAAAACTTCAAGTCCATCATTAGGGACATATATAAGAGGTATCCCAGGTATCTGATCACTTATCACAGGCTGGATTACTCTGTAGGTTTCCTATCAGTAGAAATACCTCCTGTACATCAGATATCAAATTTGCGCCCTATGTAGGGCTGATCCTTGGCATAGAACATATGTGTGAATGTACTACTAATAATATGTAAGCAGGGATGGTTATTTATGCAAGAGTAAGATACTAAAAAACATCAAAAGTGTCAAAAGTGAGATTTTCTATGTTTTTGTTCTTGTAGCAGGATCCTATGTGTGTTCTGGGCCAGCTATATGATAGATCTACTCCAAATATACATAGAAATAGACCCCTCACCTCAATTAAGGTCTGGTCCTGCAGGAAAAAATTTCACAGGGGGTAAACCACCAGGAGAGGGGGGGCACACCATGCAACAGGGAATTATCCCATGGTCCTGGGCTCCTGATACATTGTTCATATTGTTGAATAGATACTGGGAATCATTTTTCCAAGTCTGTCCACCTAGAAATAATTAAATAGGAACATATTCTGTGTTTTCTTGCATATGTGCTATATCTATTGATGTAGGGCGCTTCAGGGGGTCAAATAAAGATGGGAATATACTCATATATGCTCATAAACATGTTTTGAATATAATAGAACACTTTCCCACCAAAGGGGCAAAAGTGCGAAAGTGTTCTTTACTCTAACATATGTTAAATGGCCTCTAGAGGAGGAGCAGGCACACAAATAAGCAAAAAAAGCGGTCTATTACATTATATTGTACATATATATACCAAACTACTACTTAGATACAAGAGGGGACCTATTGTGGTGTGGTGGTGAAGCTGCAGTGAGGTGGGGAGGGTGTGGGAATAATTGATATTGTGGAGATTCCCAAAATGGGTGATGTTTTAGGTGTAGTGGGGTGGCTAAAAATGCGAAAATGTGGAGAAGCAATCTATTTTTAAGTGTTGTGGGGAAATTCCCACAGTAGGTGGTCAAAAATGCGAAAATTAGGGGTGTGAGATTATTATGGGAGTGTCCTGACAGGATCCTCCATTGATATATCAGCCCTACAATGATAGGTATCTATGGACTTCAGTAATTATTGTATCACATTTCATCTACAGTTGTAGGTATTTAATGTATCATTCTTACAGTATGGCCTGCAAGACTGCAGGCAGTGCGAAAACGACAATTGACAGCCTTAATGGAATATTCAATGCGTTTACGTCATCGGAAACGTTCATGGCGGATGGAGGTAAACATTTCAACAACGACGCAGTACGAGCGTTCTGCGAAGCAAGAAAGTGCAAGCTGCACACTGTTGCGGCATATTCCCCTTGGGTCAATGGTCTAGTAGAAGGAACGAATAAACTTCTATTACACGTATTGAAATGACTATGCGCACCGGAAATAGGAGAAGACCAGAATCAAGAGATAGCATGGGACAAACTACCTAAGTCATGGCCGGATCATTTAGATGACGCAGTCCATGCTCTCAATTATCGGTTGTTACCTGCGCTGAAATTTTCTCCTAAAGAACTACTTCTAGGGCTCGTAATCAACACACCGAAAACAAATATAGAAGACAGCGCATCAACGTTACGAACCTCAGACGTATTGGCGCAGATAGCATACGTGGAGCAGCAGCAATTAGATGGATACGACGAAATAGTACGACACGCGATTAAGAGGAAAGCAAGATTCGACAAGAAATTACTCAAACGAGCACCAGGTGAGGTTATATTCAAAACTGGTCAATTGGTACAAGTTTATCGCAACGATTTAGATTACACGTTCAAAGCAGAACGTAAACTCGTACCAAAGTGGTCTATACCCCGCAGAGTGCATGCAAGAGTGCTGAACTCGTACAAGCTAGAAGCGCTAGATGGGACTCTTCTGCAAGGAGAATTCAGCGCAAGGAGAATGAGAGCATTTAGTCCAAGGACGGGAACGCAGCTAGCAAGAGATCAAGAAACATATGAAGAGAAAACAAAAGAAAAAAGAATAGACGAAAAACAAGATGGAAAGTTAGATGACAAAGGAGACGACGAACCAGACGATGAACCAGACGATGAAACAGACGATGAAACAGACGACGAATTAGACGAAGAACCAGACAAGGGAGCAAACAACGAAGAAGTCGAAACGGAAGAAGAGAAAGAAGAAGACGTCTGATAGTGGCGTCGAGGGCGGCGCCGGTTGTTTTTAGGGGGGTGCATGGACCAGGGGTCCCAAGGTAGAGAGACAGAGACCAAGGCAGCGAGACAGAAGCTTGAGCAGAGAGTCAGAGACTCAGGCGCACAGAAGCATCATAGCTTAGTCAGATAGCACACATGCACGAGCGGATCCAGTAGTAGCACAGTATTCCTCTTCATTCACACAACGATCTCAGCGCATTGCCTTTGCCCTAGCTCAACATGTTAGAGCAGACCCACCCAGACTGTAGTGCTTCCTGTAGACCACCAAACGTCAACTCAGGCGCCGCATGCAGTGTCTTCTCTTACGCATACCAGCTTGATGGAATCATGCGCGAGGGTTTTGTGTTCAAGCAAAATCAAAGTATGAGAGATATCTTACACCGACAATCAAGTCCTATGGGGATAGGCTTCTTGGCGGATACATTGACATTGTGCCACTACATCTCTACTCCGCGCACGAGGTTTAGAAACACCCACACAATCTACCGCTTCCATGCTCTTCGGTGGTAATCGGCGCTGCTGCAGGTTGTTGCTGTGAATGGGGATCGGGTGAGGAAGGACGAGAAGAAACATATTCTTCGTCGGCTACGTAGTCTTTATTCTTTTTGGGAGCACCCGCTGCAGCGTTGCGCTATAAATGGATCCATGAATCATGTAGTACAGTGAGAAAATGAATCCAGCACACCTCTTTAGCCTGCGCGAGGGGAGTATTGACAACAGGCAGTGATGTATGACCTGCACGAGCAGGCCACCAGATTGATAGCTGGTGTAGGCGAGATCTGAAGGAGGTTGCAGCAGAGGATTGAGTGGTTAGCGGTGGTGGTGTGGATCGAGACTGAAAAGATGTGAGTTGAACATGTGATTCAGGTGGTCAATAGTAAATAACTCTTAACTCACGTTTTCGGGGGAATTTGTATCTGAAAGCCTCTGAGTTATGGCCTGCACGGAAAGAGAGCGAGGTAGGGGCGATGTAGCAGGGAACTGCACGGGACCGTCAAGCCAGTTGCGAAGGAACGAGGCAGAAGGGACATACATCCAGAGGATCACGAGGCTCATCACTCCGAATAGGCGGACCTGCATGTGTACGAAAAGGGAGAATTTTGCGGAGGTAGCGAATGAGGTGTTGCTTTGGGTGTGTTGTGGGCGGAGGAGGACTGAGCGTGCGGGGAACGGGAACTATCGCTGGCTTACGACGGGGTGTTGCATCGGACTGCAATGATGGTATATATGAACGGGGTGGTATAGATGGCTAAATGAACGTACGTTGAGTAGGTCAGGATTTTTGGTTGTCTGGAAGAGAATCAACAGATAGATAGTACATGCAAGGGAATACATACCTTAGGCTGTGCATCTTGTGCAGGCCAGACACTAGAAAGGATGTCGGGTGGAAGGTCGTAAATGTATATGTTGGTGTCACCCCATTTGGTGTAAGCTAGTTGGTGAGAGCTGGGTGAGAAGATCAAGCAGTCGACACGGTCGTCAAATGAAGCGAGGAGCTGGCGGGATTCGAAGGCCCATAGCTTGATGGTGTGCTTAGAAGCGCTGGCGATAAGAGAACAATCAAATGAAAGTGCTAAACCAAAAATAGGGTGGGTGTGCCCTTCGAAGGGAGCTCCGACAATCTCCAGCGTCAATGCGTCAAATTCGTAGATTGTGTTGAGGTCCTCCCACGGCGGCGGCCCACGAAACCCATCTGAGTCCAAGTCGGGTTCCTTCTTGTCGTTGAAATCAAATACGGCTACGATGGATTTGTCTTTGGTTGTCCAGAATATTGGCGTGTTTATTACTGTCCCGCCACCGATTTCCCCTACTCTGACATCCAATTTCTGTGTTTGGACATCCCACACCTCAAGCCGCCTCCCTGTGTCTGACGAGATTGCGAACTTCTTCGAGTCTTGCGAAAATCGAACCACCCCGATCGAGGGTGGATGTGGACTTCTATTGGTAGCTCTGACTCGGAATGGACCAGCCACAAGTTTGCCAGTTTCCATACTCCATATCAGTACACCATCATCCCATGACCCGCCCACCAGCAGTGTCCCGTCCGCAGAGACATCGATGCAACGGATCCAATTAAAGTGACCTTCAAATGTTTTCACGATCCTCGTCTCAACATCACGGGCTTCGAGCTCTTCGACTTTAATGTCTGGAGCAACCGTACTCGAAGTGACAACCCATCGACCATCCCGAGACAATGCCATCGTCCGCATTTCTTGCTCGCAAACGTGCCGCGCCTCCTCAATCTCCTTGCCAGTCTGCAGGTCCCACTGTCGAGTGGTCTTGTCATACGATGCGCTGACCATTCTCTTGCCGTCTGGAAGATAGGAAATGAATGAAATTCGACTTTCAAAGAAGCCATCTTTATTTCTGACATCTTCATGGCCTTTCAAGGTCATGTCCGGTTTCAGCATCAAATTTTTCGTTACCCTAGCGGGCTGCATCGAGCTGGAGGCCATAGCCGATGTATTCACCGGCGAGGTTGAGTTCGAACTCTGAAGGACCGCTGGTGAGATATCCTGGTGTTCCATAGACCTGATATTGATAGGCATTTCTAGATCGTGAGAACACTGCAGCGTTTTCCCTGCTAAAACCAAACGTCAGTTTTTCTGCGTTGGGGATTCGGATTGGGGAGCATGATGTTACCATAGGCTGACTGCAACCATCTGATGATGAGCGTCTGGGCACATCCACCTCTTTATAAGCTCTTCCCGTACACAGCATGTGCTTTTTTAAGCATTCATTATTTTAAACCGGCCTCTCCTTTTCGCGTTCAACCCACAGCCTCCATGCTTGCTGTAGAGCGAGCGTCAGTTTGCGGCTCGGAGCATCTACAGGCACAATATATGTGTCATGGAATGATGTTCGTAAACATGCAAATGACTCGGGCTGCATAGAAGGGATTGATATTCGGGGCGAGACAGTCGAGGATGGTGTGTGGGTGTTCGTATTTCTGTGCCTGCTACTGGCATCCAAGACATCCGTATACTTAGATAATTTGAATCGCAATACATAGATTGATTCAAGCTCACTCAGGCGATTTAATTTTCAACAATCTGCATCGAGGTACTATGTAGCATACCACAGCAATTTGTGCAGGACGCACCAATCCAACGACAAGGTAAATGAAGGGAGGGTGGCATTAGTCTGGTGGCGAGGATGATGGAACTGTGGGACAATTGAGGCATTGTTCATATATTCAACGGGACCATCGTCGATGCTGTTGAGCTGTGAATAGCGCTGCTCGCAATACTATATCTGTAGTGATACAAAAACAAGTCAAACAATGCTAGTAGTGACCAAATATCACGGATATTCACTGAAAGTAAAGGACGATATACATACCACGAGGGGAAACACTCGAGAAAATCCCCATTATTTAAAAGCGGCTGGTTCTTTCCATGTTGTCCAGTATTGACATGCCCGCTGCGAGTGGTCGTGAATTGTGGTTCGGCGAAGGAGTAGGGAAGGTGGCGTCTTCATCACGTATTGAATCATCGTCATCATCGACGGGAGCACCTGCTGTGGTGTAGCGCTGGAAAACAACTTGAGACCTCGAATGCAGTGAGAAAACTCAACACAACACACCAGTTTACCTGGTGCAAGAGGAACGTCGACAATAGGCCGAATTGCACCACCCGCATGGATGGGCCACCACTGTGTGAACAGTCGGCTTAGGCGGGTCTTCAATGTGGTGGTAGGGGATGAGGTAGTGGGCAGTGCTGGTGTAAGTCGAGGCTGATAAGAAGTGAGTTGGATGACAGTGATTAAAGCTCACATTCTGGCGAAAATTTATACGTAAAAACCCTTGAGTCAAGGCCTGTGTCCACTGCCGAACGAGAGCGTTTTGGAGGTATAGGTGATGTAGCAAAGGACTGTAAAGAGACCTATAAGTTTAACTGCAAAGGAAACATTTACAATAGACATACATCCCAAGGATCACGAATTTGATCATTCCGAACGGGAGGAACTACGCTCGTGCTGGAAGAAGGAAGGAGTTGGTGAAGGGAATGAAGGAATGGAGGATGGCAGAGGCAGAGGCTTTAATGGGCGGAGGCAGGAGATATGACAGGCGCTACCATTCGCTTACAGCGCGCGGAACCAAGTTCCGCTAAGAACATATATGTTGGCACACGAACGAATACATATATGGATAAATCAACAGGCTGCGCTCCTTGTGCAGGCCAGATACTGGTAAGGATGTCGGGTGGAATATCGACTCAGATCAAGTTGGCCTCACTCCCGGGCCTTCAAAGTATACTAGTAAGTGAGAGAAATGGTGCTCACGTGATGCTATGAAATTCGCGTTCCCAAACGCGTCAGATCTGCACTAGTACTAGTAGCGTTACACCTTCAGCTCGTCTTACTGGTAGATGTCACCATTTCCCCCCAACTACAATATCATTTCACTCTCAGGTCAACCATGAACGTACCGCCTTCAAGCGCTCCTCCTATTCCTCCCACAACCTTCCAAACACCAAATGGAGCGAATAGTGCATCACCCAAAGATCTTCGGGACTTTCTCAAATCTTTAAATGACGACAATCCACCATTGGTATTGGATAAACCACTTTGGCTGCGCCTGCTTGCCAGCCTACTGGAGCAAGTCTTTGGCTGTTTTCCTTATTTCAAGCCAACAATGTTAGGCACCACCAACGAGCGCATCGAGCTTACAGACGTCACGCTAGATGTCTTTTCACGTGTCGGAAAAAGGGCTGATTCACTTGACTGGCTTTATGCTGATGAGGAGCATTTATCTAAAAAAGTATTTGTACACCTTTTGGGCCTTTGTACGTCGACAGAATCATGGTTAGAAGTTGCCGACGAGGGCGATTCAGGCGGTGCATCTAACACGCTATATTCCAAAGCCTGCGGAACTCTCGTCGAATTCTTGCAACTTTTGTCATTTTCAAGTGTTCCAGGAGGAGATTCTAGTGATCTGCAAAGGGGAGTCTTGCAGGACATTTTGTACGAAGCGACAAACTTATGTACTAGTGAGTCTACCTCGTGAAACTTCTACATAGTTACTGATAGTTTGTAGCAATAATCTCTGCTCGACACGAATCGTGTCCTCTTGACATTCACTGGTTCTCTACCCCACCGTGTTTAAAGACCACAACTGAGGACTGTTCCATTCCGGTATTGTTATTACTTGTCAGATGACTTTCATGCTTAGACATCTTTTAGTGTCCCATAGACACCATAAACGTGATCAGGCTGCCATCCCCTTCTCACTTTTCCGTCTTGACCAGCATCATCGTCGAATTATTTGGCAAACTGTTGTCAACCGCGAGGCTTTCTTATTTCATCACGGCTGCTATGCTCCGTCACGTCTCTGAACTGACTCGTCGTGTATACGATTTTTGCTCTGAATGTCCTACCTCTCCTGCAACAAGATCCCGATGCCTGCTTCGAGTAGCAGCTGCTGCTCACACCCTTATGTCTAGTGACCCATCTCTTATTGGAGGACTCTCAGGACTGCCTTGTCGTCTTTTAATTCAACGACTCCAGTGTGGTCCAAATCCTGCGCAACGATCAGTCGACCGCAAGTTACATGAAATTCTTACTTCCAATACAAATTTATCAGTCGATTATGTGAATGATACTCTGGAACTTTTGCGCTCTGAAACATGGGAGTCACCTGGGAGTGAGCTTCGGGTGAGTCTCTGTAAATTTTTTCAAACATTTCGCAAGCTGAAACAGTGTAGGCTCTTGCAGTCGTGTACATACGCGGTTGTGTGAGTCGTTTAGATGCAGCAAATTTGAAGGCAGTGCAATCATTCCTTCAAAGAAATCCCTCCTACCCCGATTTAGAACCGCTGGTTATCACTGCCGGTAATCGCGTTCATAGTCCAATGAGCCAGACTGCAGACACCATAGACTCTTCGCATTGGCGCACAGAATTGCAGAGGCTTGTTAGTGCGCTCATTGTGCCTGATGAACTGCAGTGGAAGAGTATTGGGCGCAAAGATACCGCATCCTACATGCAACGAATATTAGATAAGATCAAGTCCAGGTGGGCTCGGTGAGTCTACATTACTCGTCGATGATAAGTTTTCTCTGAACGCTACCATAGGGGACTGCATCATTCTTCGTCTTCTGCGCGTGCAACACTGGTCGAAAATGTTACCTCCCTTGCCTCTCACCTCAAGCCGTTCTCTCAACAACAGTCATCTCAGTTCCGCGTTGCCGCCGCTCTTCTGTTACCTCTGAACAGAATCATCGAAGGCCCGTCAACTGAAGTCGACGTTAATGTACGGCGACAGGCGTTTAATGCTTTCCGAACCGTCATCAGAGAACATTCAGCAGATATTCAGTCTGATGAACCGCCACCTGTATTTGATTTCTTGCAACGTGGGTTCAATGACAAGGACCGTTCTGTCAGAGTCGATGCTGGGTACGAAACCCTTTACCTGGGGGTCGAATTACTCTCATTTGCATCATGTATAGTCGCGCACTTTCGGATTTGGTCCACCTCCACGCCCGTGCAACCGACAGGGGATGCAAATTCAACGAACCAATTTTCATGAAGATAAACAGTTTACTTGAATCAGGTGTGAAGGATGCAGTAAAGGAAACGCTGCTGGTTAGTATCGGTTCTATTGGGCGGTAAGCTTGTCCACACGTCCCTGAAGTCGTCGACCAATGCAACCTTTCCCTGCGCCAGCGATGCTCAGTTTGAGCTTCTTGGATTAGTTGTCCACTGTTTGATATCCCAACTGGGCCAAGATAATCATGTATTGAAAGGCTTAGCGTATACACAGGTACGTCAATTTATGAAACATGTATCAAACTCTGACCCACTCCCAACAGCTTTTGGAGATAGCGAAAGCACAAACGAAGTCCCCTTACATTCTTGTCTCACCATACCTCTCTCAGGTCGCAACATTCATCGTCTCCCGGAAATGTACGAACCCAATGCTGATATTCGAGACGTGTCGATTTCTATCTGTGCATCCAACCGATTTTATCACTGTCACGCTACCCAAAACTCTTCCGTATCTCTTTGCTAACTCCGAAGCGAAGATCATAGAGGAGATTTCGGAGGATCTCAGGCGAACTATTTTGTCACTGTTCATGGAGCATTCTCACCAGATCCTTGCTTATGTGTATCAACAACATGGGCCAGCACAAACGACTGGGTCTTTGACGTTCATTAGGAACATAATTTTTAGGGGTGCCGAGTCCAAGTCTGCTGATCTCACCGTCAGAGGCATGGTCCAGAGCTGTGTGGTGGCATTGCTTGCAGAACTAGTTGTGGTCCTAGGACATGAAAATGAAGAACGGGCTGCCTTGGTCTGGCTTTACTTATTGTTCGATTGTTCATGATACCTGAACATGTTATCAGGCAGTGGATGCTTTGCGAAAAGTCCAGCGGTCAATAACGGACGATACCGAACTCGAAATGTCTCTGTTCCTCAAGATGTATATGCTTGGCATTGTATCCAACTTGAATGAGATGCTACAAGATGTCCACGGCAAGAAATCATTTCCAGCAAAGAAGCAGATTCTACGCGGTCTAGAAGCACTGATCGTCCAAATCGGACCTCTTGTAAACGAGGTTTCCCCTCAGGCACGTCCTTTTATAATGTTTTCGCGACGATATATAACTTTCGCAGATTATGGCTACCCTGCAAACTATGTTTCTGGTCCCCGAACTTGCTGAAGTCACCTTGTCTACGTGGTACACATTTCTATCCACGTTGAATGTCGAGGACGTTATTCCGCATATCGGCACGACTAGCGCAGCCATCGTTTCCGCCTGGTCTGCTTTATCTCCCTCTGTACGGGAATCCGCCAAGAAGTGTTTGCATCATATCGTCTTTGATGTTGGAAGCACCGTCAGAAATGACCCAAAGGCACATCTAAACGAGGTCGTGGACCTCGGTCATATCCCAGAACTTTCTGAAATACACATTCAACTTCAAAGTGTTCGCATCTGGGATCTGCACGCGCAACTCCAGAAGATTTTAGATCGGTGCTCCAGTAACAACATCACAGTAGCTCAGGTGGCTCTCGCTGAACTCCAAAACTTCATGAAGAGCAATCAAGCCTCGCTTATACAGAACCTTGCAGCGGGCGACGCATTTGATCCCTTAATTGGAAGTATACAGTTGACCTTATTTCAGGTTGTCACTCGTGATGGAGAGGGCTCTGAAACTCTGCGACGATTGGCGTTTGAATGCATGGGAATACTGGGGGCGGTTGATCCAGATCGTTGCGACCTTAATTCGACAGACACAAAAATGATCGTGCGGAATAACTTTGAAGATGACGCAGAAGCAAAATTGTTTGCTCTGCACGTGATCCAGGACGTTCTCCTGGATGCTTTCCGGTCCACTAGCGACATAAAGTATCAAGGACATCTCGCCTACACGATACAGGAACTCTTGTTCTTATGCGAGTTCACGCCTGCCCTGGTGTCATCAGAAAGCACGACATCCGTTCCGGCGCGGGTCCGCAACAGGTGGAACGGGCTCCCAAAGCATGTGCTTGAAACAGTTTCTCCACTCTTGGCGGGCAAATTCAAAGCTTCGCATAAGGAATTGCCCCATCTCCCTTCGCCCATTTACCCTCATCAGAAGACTTATCGAGAGTGGGTACAGCTATGGACAGCTCATCTAATAACCAAAGCATCCAATGATATGGCGCAGAAGATTTTCGGGGTCTTTCGCTCAGCAGTGCGTAACAAGGATGTTGGCGTCGCTCACCACATACTGCCTCACCTCGTATTGAACATCCTTGCCTCTGAGAACGAAGAAGATACCGGCTGCATTATCGAGGAATTAACAGCTGTTTTGAAAGATCAAGTGGCTTCTGATAGTTCGTCCACTCCGGACAAGAAGTTTCTCAGTGCACAGGTATCTTCAAATTCGATCGTTTTCATCATTATCGCTAAAACATCTACCCCAGGCTGTTTTCACGTTGTTGGACCATCTCAGCGCATATGTGCGAGTCCAGCGACAGGATCTACCGAAAAAAGTCGAGGGCAGAAGATCACGAGGAAATTCTGAATTTGCGATACGTCAGCAGCAGCTCATCCGGGTCGATTCAGTACTCTCTAGCATCGACCATGAACTCATGGCTAAAGCTGCCCTACAGTGTCGAGCTCACGCTCGCTCACTTATGAACTTTGAGAAGCAGATAGTCTCAATGAGAGAGCGACAACCTCCTCCTCCTGCAACAGACTTCACACCCTATTATGAACGCCTTCACGAGATTTACGCACAGCTTGACCAACCAGATGGAATGGAGGGCATATCGACGTTGATCTTGTCCCCTTCATTGGAACATCAAATCCGTCAACACGAAAGTACTGGACGCTGGACTGCTGCTCAGAGTTGTTGGGAAGTCCGCCTCCAGCAGCAGCCTGACAATTTAGACTTCCATCTTGGACTCCTTCGATGTTTGCGCAACCTTGGACATTATGGTAATGTTTTTCTTGAGTTTTTGGCCGCAGGGCTAAGCATTTTTAGATACGCTCCGCACGCATGTCCAGGGTGTTCTCGTTAGAAACCCAGGGTGGCAGTCGGTTTTGGCAGATTTCCAGGTCGAAAGCGCATGGATGATAGGAGCATGGGACGACGTTCATAACATCGCAGCGAATATAGAACACGAAGGCCCTTCCGTGGTTAAAGCTCGAGTTCTTCTTGCTATGCGGTCTGGTGAACCTTTACAGGTCGAAGAAAGTCTTAGGAAAGCACGCCTTGTCCTTGGTGCTCCAATTGCTGCTTCTGGGCCAAGTGGGCATCGCCGTGCTTATGACGCTCTGGTCGATCTCCACATGATTCACGAACTCGAATTGATCCACGAGACTGTGTCCAAATTGCCGCCAAGTTCACAAGGCCGTAAATCTGCCATTGTGACTCTAAGCCAAATTCTCGGTGCACGTTTGGACCGTACATTACCTACCTTCCGCGTACACGAATCCCTGCTTAGCATGCGGCGAACAGCATTTTCACTCAGGTAAATCACTTCGCCCTACTGGACTTGACATTCTTCTTACGCCGCCCATGTTTAGTACAGTCTCTCGACCATCGATCACAAGTCAAATTGGTCAATCGTGGTTGGCGAGTGCCAAAATTGCTCGAAAAGCCGGACAGTGGCAGACTGCATACAGTGCAATGCTGCAAGCGCAATACACCAACGCTCGATTTAGTTTCATGGAAAGTGGGAAGCTGGTCAGAGCACGGGGAGAGCCGTTACGCGCGCTACAAGAACTCGAAAACTCCATGCGCCTCTTAGGTTTTGTGGACAATAATACTGTTGACTTGACAAGAGAAGATGAACACTCCAAACGGATGAAGGCAAAGGTACGAAGACAATTATCGGATGGATGTAGCTCACAATATCGCAATCAGGCGCAAATTCTCCTTGCACGTTGGATGAACGAGTCTGACCGATACGAGGCTTCCTACGTACTCAAGCAGTTTCAGAGCGCCGCTGACTCAGCTCCAGGATGGGAGAGTGCATTTTACCACCTCGGCCACTTCCAGGATCAGTGTTATAGGAATCTATCAGTAGATGACAAGTCAAACCGGTAAGTCCCTAGGGTTATTCGCGGGTGCCTCGATATCTCGCTGATAGATGGTTACAGTGGAATTAAAATGAACTTTCAAACCATCAAGTGTTTCACAGAAGCTGCTGCTTATGGAAACAAATTTGTATACCAGACTGTTCCTCGCTTGCTCACCTTATGGCTAGACATGGGCGAGCGCAAGGTGACAGCGGAAAATCCGTTATTTGATAAGATCAACAACGTCGTTGCCAGCTCCATCGATAGCATCCCAGTATACAAGGTGTGAAGTTTCCACGACCCAACCAAACGCTTTGCTGATTCCTGCGTTCAGTGGTTCACTGCATTCCCTCAAATCGTGTCTCGAATCGGGCATCCCAATCGCATTGTATACTTAGTCTTATCCAAACTTATTTCATCGGTCATCCGAGAATACCCCCGTCAAGCGCTTTGGTTCTTCGCGTCAGTCGTTAACTCGACGAAACCCACTCGCCAGCAACGCGGAAGAACAATATTGGATCAGCTGAAAGTAAGCCATATATATTTACCGCTTTTGAAGTATTTAACCCAAGACGATGCCACAGAACAGCCCAGCGAACACAGACTCTAACTTCCCGGACCTTATCACAAGTCTTCACGCCATGATTGACGAGCTTCTTCGACTTTGTAATTACTCCATCGGCGACCGCAAGACGCTCAGCATGCGCCGAGATTTTCCCAAGCTACTTGGAATGAAAGAGAGTAATATCCTCATTCCTTTGCAATCATCATTGACGGTCAACCTCCCGCCTGTCTCGTCTATGAATCACCGTGATAAACGACATAATCTTTTCGACCCTTTGTCGCCCACATTTACTGGTAAATCATACCTACAACTGAAAGCGGCGACCTTGACTAACTCCATGCAGTCTTCTACGACGAAATTGAAATCATGCACTCGTTGGCCAAGCCACGAAAACTCACCGTTAACGGTTCCGATGGTATCAAATATATGTTCCTTGCCAAACCGAAAGACGATCTGCGGAAGGATGCGCGCCTTATGGATTTCAATGGGATCATCAATAAACTCCTCAAGACTAACTCTGAATCTCGGAGAAGGCAACTTCGTACGTTTCAACGAGCTAAAAATGACATTAGGCTCACTTCTTTTCTAAGATATTCGGACGTACGGTGTAGTGGCGCTGAATGAGGAATGTGGTGTTATTCAATGGGTACCGAACACTATACCTGTGCGACCCGTACTGTTGAAATACTATGAGACGAAGAATGTTCCAGCTTGGGTACGTTTTTCCAGTTTTCCAAGAACACGCATATTGACAGAAGCAGTCCAAGGAGCTGAATGATGTCACAAGGCATATCAAAGACGGTACCGATAAAGAAGCCGCTGAACTTTTTGTGACCAAAATTCTTCCTGAGTATGTGGTTGTTGTATATGAGTTGCTTTGCGATTTATGGAAGTGGTGCAGATTTCCTCCGATCTTTCACGAGTGGTTCGTGGAAACATTCCCTGAGCCGTCGGTATGGCTAGCTAGTCGCCTGAATTATGGGCGTACCATGGCAGTGATGTCAATGGTCGGATTCATCTTAGGGTGAGCTGATGGCTACCTTAAGGGTAGTCAACACCTAATCGATTTTTGGAAGGTTGGGAGATAGGCACTGCGAAAATATCCTTCTGGACACCAACAACGGAGACGTCGTTCATGTTGATTTTAACTGTCTCTTCGAGAAGGTACTCCAAACCTCCTCTTATTTATTTATTTTCACTCACGTGCGCTTAGGGTAAAACGCTCGAGACACCCGAACGGGTTCCTTTCAGACTTACTCAAAATCTTGTTGACGGTCTTGGAGTAACTGGCATAGAAGGAGTCTTCCGTATCGCTTGCGAAATTACAATGCAACTCCTCCGCGATAACAAGGACCCCCTCATGAATGTTCTTGATGCATTTATACATGATCCGCTGGTCGAATGGGAGGATGAGACGAGAAAGAGAGTATGTCAACGTCTTCCACGTATTTTTTGCTGACGACTCAAACTTTTTTGTTTCAAAGCAGCGCCGCAATGCCAAGGACAAGGATAAAGACAAAATGAATTCTGCCACCGTCAAGCCTGCCGATTTGAGATCATGGGCCAAGACCGCGCTGCGGCCGATAGAACGGAAATTGAAAGGATTATATTCCCCGACAAATGTGAAGGAGCGGACTTATGGAGGAATCACAAGAGGAGGAGAAGACGAACGGGAAATCTCAACAAGCAATCTCGTCCAGATGCTCATACAAGAGGCAATCGACCCCGCGAACCTGGTGAGACCGCTGCCGTAATTTGTCAACTTATAGAATACTGACTCGTCTTTAGGGCAAGATGTATCCTGGATGGGCTGCATGGCACTAGGAATTCACCCTTGGCAAGGAGCCCGTTGAGTGATACGCCCTGTTTAGTATCTCAGTGTAGCACGACTCTTCACACCGACTCAGGTATTGCGACGACAATGGCGATACTCCGTGCAGAGTAGATACGTATTTGGCAAATCTAAGTAATAAGCATGTTGTGTCCGCGAGATTACTGCCTGACAGGCTTGCCCTGGAAACAGTATCAATCACAGTAACTGCTAATAACAGCTCAACTCTTACCATGGTAAGCTGGTACATACCATACACAGTTCCAACCATACCCACACCAAAGATAGTGAAGTAGGCACCTAGACGGTACCCCGGATGAATAACATGCACACCGAACTACGTTGTCATGCCACCTACCAAGATACAGTCTTGAACGAGGTGGGCGATAGTAAACGGGCGAGTGTGAAGCCTGAAAATGATGGTCAATCACATATACAATGCCGGGTAGTTGGCTGTTACCTGGTAGGCCCTCTGCCTCTCAGGAACGTAATTTGGGCCTAGAAATTTTGGACAAGAATGAGAAAGAGAATAGAGAATATATTACCGATGTACTCACGGTGAACTACAGCGTCAATCATGGTAGTTATTTGGAGGATTGTATTTTGTCACTGCAGTTGTTCGACGCGAGAGGAAATGTGGCGGAGTCCGAACGGTATTTGCCGAGCTCTCCCGAACCCCTCCTCGATCATGGCTGATCGCGTCCGCGTCCGAGTATGTTTGCCATGCTTTTCGTTTCATAGATGTTTGCCTGCTCACTGTTCTGTGTGATGTCTAGGGTGTCACAATACACAGACCCGTAATATATGGAAACATTGCGACAGTCCTTACTCCTGCTGAGAGGGAGACATCTCACTATCCAGACCACACTCATCGGTGGACAGTCGCAGTTCGTAGCGCCCCGAGCGTCCCAGACTCTGATATTGTCGGCGGTGCAGATGACTTGGGGTACTTCATCAAACGAGTCACGTTCAAATTGCACGATACATATCCGAATCCGACCAGAAGTAAAGTCTCGTCTTGTTGTCCTTTGCAGTGTCTGAACGCATCCATAGACATCGATAAACCTCCATTTGAGGTGTCAGAAACTGGGTACGTATTGTTCGAGCGCGTCAGACACCAAGGTTGACAAGTTTCTTTCAGTTGGGGGGAGTTTGAGATTCAAATCCGCATCACATATGTAGCAGAGTCTGGCGAGAAAGCCACCACGCTATACCACCACCTGAAGTTGCATCCTTGGTCGATTACCTTCCCTATGCCAAATGCATCTGCAGTTCCTGTAGAGCCTGAAATTCCGTCTCCCGAGAACGCTGCCAAGCTCGGGCCTGTGCATAGCTGGCAATACGACGAGATTGTCTTTACAGACCCATTCCAAAATTTCCTCAATCTTCTAACTGCACATCCACCAACGCCGCTACCGAAAGCAAGTGTAAACAAGAAGCCCGTTCCTTTTCACTCGTCTAACCCCGCGTCATTGGAGGCGAGTTTAAAGGGTGGTGTGCCGGAGTTCACCAGTGCCATGGAGAAAGAGGAGGCAGATAGAATGGAAGAAGCGAAGGGCAAGATTATCAAAGAGCAGGAGAAATGGCGAGCCATCTTGATAGAAAAAGAAAAGGACCTCGAAAGGCTTCAGAAGTTACTTGCATCAAAGGAGTGATTTTGCCAGACGTTGGGTGAGCATCAGCAACTATCCTATCCTCATCTGTGAATTCTCGCACCCTAATTTGTGACTTTAGTCTCTCTAGGATATCTGTAAGCATGCGAAAAGCAACGGACATCAAAACAAGTGTGCTCGGGCGTCCCTTTGAGACTACAGCAATATCCTCGGTCGGGGATTGAGTCTACGACATACCAGACCTACGACCCTCTCGTGGAGATTAGCCGAAGGCAACCCGAGATCGTACCACAGCAGTACCACAGCAACTGACTTGCGATGTGATCTCTAGATGTCGCTCCTTCTGTACAGTACCACATGCTATTACCTTCGCAAACGCCGAGAACATGACATGTACTAGCTAGCTGAATGTCGCTAACCAAGATGGTACTATTCGTGTGTGATTGAAAGGTGGCTATCCGATGAACCCAACAAAAGAATCCTTTGACGAAGTAGGCCATTAGACGAGGCGGTGGAGTTATGAATTAGTGAACATTCATCTGGGAACCTGATAAATGAAACCGTCGTCTTTCCCTGTACTTGATTCAAATGTCGATAAAAACGTGATAAAGGTGCCCAGTATAGCGGTATCCAGAATAAGTACAATTGTGTTATCGTTTCCGCCCCTTTCCTGCGTTTCGCCCACCACTCCTTGATTCATCCGTTTGTTCTAAGAAGCCGCCTAGCTCTAGTGCATTGCGTGCAGCATGATTGATATGTTTGAAACGATCAGGACCTAGATGTATTCCACCAAACCACCGGGTCACAACAACGAGGACGTTATTGATTTCCTGTATCATAGATTAGGAGTTATGACCTCGGATTTGACATAGCGTACGCACCAAGATGGAAAGCAAGTGGGCCAATCGACTACCTGCTGCAGTTTCCCCATCGTCATCATTATCTGAAGAGTGTCAATCTCACATCGTTGAAACAAGAATTTGTAGTACATACCCTGGTGAAGCACACTACCCACCTGGCAACGCCAGGCATTGATAATTGGGTGAGCAGCGCGGGAAACATGGCGTTCCGACATCAGATTATTCAAAATGAGTGGTACCTTGCGCACAAGTCGGTCAGTAAAACATCTGTCTGCCTCCAATTGTACACGATACCTGCGAGGGATCAGATATTCGACATGCACGGCCAATAAAAACACTTTTTCTGTCCACAATAGGTTCCGCTTCGACGATTTTAATACCTTCCGGTAAAGCAGTGTCGAGAGGTACTCGATCCTTTTCGTCAGCAGTTGATGATGCAAAAGGCTCGTCGGGTTCGACCGAGACATGGTTGTGGGTATGTGCATCCTCTCTGAGTAATTCTCCAGCTGTCTCCCTGTTTAGTTTATCTTCATACCATGCTTCGCACCGCTCCAGCACATTTTGTAGTCCGTCAAAAACGCAGACGCTTTCCGGCGTCCATTCCACTCCCGAAACAGATATGAATGTGCGCAGTATAGAACCAAAAAGCGAGGAGTCGACACCAAAAGCGCCGATATAACGAGAGAGGAGCTGGAGTTGAGGCGGGTTTGAGGCGGGATATGTTGGGGGAATTGAGACCAGTATACGTATGGAAATATCTTCGTGGGATGGTAGACTTCCGGAGCAGGCGTCGGAACGAAACTTGAGCAGTGCGATGATACACTCACTTGAGCGAAATTTCGTAACGGATGGCGCCTAAAGCACTGCTAGATGAGTGATTGGGAATGCCGCTTCTAGGGCTTCCGGGCGATGAACGGTATAGGTGAATAGCATGGTCTCCGTATATGGACTGAAGAACTGTAATGATCAGGATCCGTTTTATCTTTGAATGATCAGATCTTACCGTCGATCTCAGAAGCAACGGATTCGAGGTCGGAACTTTGCATCAACTTTGCAATGAAGTCCCTGAGCTCCATCGCAGTGTCCGAATCAGTTGACTGAGTGGAGGAGACATTTGTGTCCATAGCGGTAGCTACTAGTTTCAAGGTTCTGAGATAACTTGCACGCGATTTGAGAAGTCTTGCGATTTAAGTTCCAAAGGAAATGTCCTATGTAGTCATGAAGGTGGAAGAACTACTACGGGAGGCCAGGTCGGGAATTCGAAGTCCGCGACATATGCTATTTGGTTTACGGCGGCCTCTTCGAAAAGTACTTTTAGCTTATGGAAAAACTACTTCATCGTAGATTCGTCACATGTGCATATTAGGGTTGCTAATACATCCATCATATGCATGATGGTTGAGTCCTACGCTGTCAAATACCATCTTAGACTCAATAGGTTCACTGACAGATTCCCACCATCAGCCTGTGCTCTTGTGCTGTGTTCGTGGGGAGACAAGGAATCCTGCGACAGCGGAGCTAGTGGAGGTACGACGCGTGTACATCCCTGTGAAAAATGAGGATGTGATATGGGGAAAAGAGGGTAAGGGTCTTTGGGTGGGTAGGTGGATAAAGCGTACGTTCTAATGATGGAGAACAACAAGGTGGGCTGACGTGGGCTGAAACGTATGTCCGCTAGGTCTCGGTGTGTCGAGGTAAATTGATATGAGCACTTGGGAACTTGACAACATACTCAGCTGGTGCACGCCCAAAATTCGAATTCGTGATTGACTCGGAATGGTTGGTTCATGGTCGGTACGCCTCAGAGCCGTAGTGCAGATGACTGAGTCATGGCTACAAAGAATCGTGTTCCTTAGACTAGGGACCCTAGTTCAGGTTTACCTAAAGTCGGAAAAAAGCGACAAAGGAAGTTGACTCTGTGTACCGCGTACACGTTGTAGTGTGGGGCAGATCATGATACTTATCTGGTTCACATCTGGCTCTACCATGAGAGGCCTGCCACTGGCGCCGACCGCATGGATGTGAGAAGGCAGTACCTTGTCATTGTGCTGAACTGTAATTGTGAATCACTCAGGCCCTTGCTTGGGTCATCCAATTGGGAGTTGACTGCAAAATTTATGAGTTGCTGGTCAGCTACTATAATCTGCAAAACACTAGTGGCATGCGCTTGCCTTATAAACAAGCCGTGCGAGGTCGACGACGATTACGCCGTGCATAAAGGATTCTGGAGTCACTTGATATTTTGACAAGGTTTGCGAGTTAGGCCACGAGGCTGTCTTGCAAGACAGCCAAGTTGGTAAGTTGAAAGGGCGAGCTAAACCTGTCCATTAAAGATCGGAAATTATTGCAAGAAGATGAAGCTATGATTACCGGTACCACTCCGAGAATGCATGTGAATCCTCGAGTGTCAATATCCACGAGTGACGCGGAGATACCTGGCCGCTTCTCATAGGTAAAAATATTCGTCTTCATGACTCGGATTCATCGTGACAATGGGCGGCTATTGACATGTGATTTAATAGAACTCGAGAGATGCTCACCTCAGGCTGTTGATTCAAAGAAAGTGCCTCAAGGGCTGCTCTGAAGGATCTGATGGAGCATACGATCAGAATGATTTAGTACACTGAGCAACAGTAGTTAGTACGTACCTACCAAGACAGCGCTTAATGCTTCCGGCATGCCAAGCGGCTTGAGCCGTGCCGCTGCAAGTCAGCGACAATGACACAACACGCACACGCTGCATCATACGAAAACACATAAACTTGCCTTAATCCTTCATCAGTGCTACCAGGTGCACCGACCTGCGATCAGCTGCTAACAAAACTCACACTATAAACCCGCTCGTAAAAATGTCTGCTTCTGATCCAGGAGAGCCGACGGCAGTCTCTGCAGGTAGCAAAAGGGCTCACAGTCCAAGAACTGCGCCCGCAAAACGCGCCAAGGCAGTCCAGGCTTGTTTATCATGCAGGAAACACAAAACACGTTGCGAAATGCTTGATGGAGACAACTCCGGCGCCCAATGCCACCGCTGTAAAGTCCTCTCCCTCCCTTGCTCATTCGAAGAAAATGGCGCTCCGTCGAATGATCGTGCTGGACCCTCCCGCCCTGTGCACACACCAGACATCCGTTCCATGCGAGAACGTGAGGACCGTCGCCCTTCCCTTGCTGTCTCCCAAAAATCCCATGATATACCAATGGACGACTCTCGCGCTCATACAGGTCCCAGTTATTCAAGGAATTGGGATTCTAGTTCAAACACCCTGCCACCATTTTCTAGATCTCAGCTGCAGGAGGAAGAGGTCGACCTTCTAGATCCTCAACGGTTACTACCTGAGCGTCACAAACCGTGGGGATTTTTAAAGCTCCCTGGAGGGTTTGACGGCACTATGGTGCCTATGTTGGCTATGCAGGCGCTTACCCGTGCAGGTTCGGTTGATGACTCCTCGCGGAATAAGGTGGATCAGTCATTGCTCCATATTCTTGGGAGGGAGCAAATAGAATATCTGACTGACATGTGAGCCTGGACATTCTATTCCCTGCGAGACTCTCATCTTGGCATAGTTTCGAGGAACGTTACGCCCCCTGGCTTAATTTGCAGCCTTCTCAGCAACCAGAAGGACCACTTCTGAAACTGGCACAGTGTTGCGTTGCATCACGACATCTCGGCTCATCAACACGCTCGGTAGTTTCTCCTCAGCTATACCGCCTGGCAGATGAGTCTATCTTCAAACAGGCCTATCACCCTTTGCCATCTACAGATGCAATACATGCAATGCTCGTACTTTCACTATGGGAACCCATAGGGGATCCAACGACAAAAGAGTCGCGCGATGGTCGGCTAATTGCTTCGACTGCCGTCAGCATGGCTATGAACCTTCGCCTAAGCGAGGCCATGATATATTCTAAAACTCTCCGGAGGCAGAAAAAACCCAACGACCTTCCTGGTGCGGAGCTAATGGAAGCCATTGACAAAGCACGCCTCGTACGTCTTTAACTGGCTCTCAAATAATTAACCTAAATATGTGGCTGTAGTGGTTCGCATTGAATAATGTTGAGTCAATGTCTGTACAGCAGTGTGATCCACTCGGTACCTCCAGCTGATAAATTCTATTGCAGGCTTTGTGTGGGTACCGGGCGCAGCCCAATATCGGACTGCGCTAGTCTTATACATGACGCCATTGATACAACATCGATGGCAACGATTGGGGCTGGTCGTGACATGCGACTCACTTTGATCTCCCAGATGTTCGCCGCCACGCAATACGGGCTCTCTATACACCTCCGTTCCGCGGAGGAAATTGGGGTCTTCTACAAAGAAGTGCTCGACTTCCTGATGCGCATGGATGTGATCGAACGTCTCATTTATCCCCTTCCAGGTATGCAGCCGCCATCATTCACTTTTGAGAGCTTAACTCTGAACCCTGACACCAGTCCTAGCAGAGCACGAGGTCTTCTTCTTCACGATGTTGCAGGTCTATTATCAGTCCTGCAGGCTGTTGGTCCTGGTACATGCCCTGATGGAAACGAAAACTGTGATTTCCAAGTGCGACCAGCAAAACCCGTGGTTCCTCGTTGCAGAACATAACGGAATCAATCTCGGACGAAGTTGGGGCCACCAAGCGCTTGTGCTGTCTGAAGGCATCCTCATCACTGCACTATCACGACCTGAGCTCGTGCTTCTCAGCGCTGCGCCTGATAATTTCTTCGCAATGCTCACCCTCGCGACATTTTTTGTCATCCTCAGCAAATGGTCCGTGATGGAAAACGCCGGCGAGCAACTGCCGGGGTCAAGTGACAGCATTCTTGCGCGGACGATCGATCGCATGCAACAAGTGAGCGCAGCTCCGGATCATGTTCCCGCGAAATGCGCTCGAGTTATCGAAGCTGGCGTGCTGAGTTTCCGGAGGCGCTCGTCGGAGAAGTCGGAGGTAGATCCCCGAGAGTTCAGCCAGCCGTTACTTGAGCACTTCGATACGGCTGCGCGCAACTTCCGAGAGCGCGTATCAGCACCTGCTGAGCACTCTGTGTACTCCACAGAGCAGCAGTCATTCCCGTCGTTCCCAATCAACGACCCAAATTACTTCATGAATTCGGACATTATCCTTGATAATGATTTCTGGTCGTCGTTTATGTCTAACTTGAGCGATGGGAAGGGTAGATAGATTGGCAGGGACGGTATATTTACTTTAGTGTCATGGTTTGTGTTACTATTTTGACTACGTTACGACGCAGGTACTTTTTACATATATACCAGTAGCATGTAGCATGTCAGCTCTTCTACATCGTCATGTCTTGGCTTACTATACCTTCCTCCGGAATTGAATGTATTACCGCAGCTCTTCTCGATCTTCTTGTAATTGGTATATTTTTACAAGGTATTTGACGAAGCTTTAATTTGAGTTCCCGACATGAAAGATAGACTATGTAGATAGGCTTGTCGAAGGCTTTCATGAGTCGCCAAAGTCGGATTCGTGGATCGTTGATGCGAATAGAGCCAGATCGAAAGTGATTATCGCCGTGTCTAGCCGGCAGAAGGTGGATCGGGAAGCATGTCAATATCAAACTATGCGGTACGCCGAGGCAGGGGCTTGAGTGGGCGGGAAGAGATAGCTTTTATGCCAATCGATGAAGAGTCTGAGTCTGAACTGCTGTCTGAGTGTGACCCATCTGATTCTGAGTCTGATTCCGAGGAGGACGGGTCTGATGAAGGGGAAGACGACGATGACAACGAATCTTCGCTCTCGAAATCCTCATCATCTGAATGAGAGTCTGAATCTCTGAGCCGAGTCTCCAACACGCCCAGTCCGAGGTTCTATGAAATTATCATGAGTTTTTTGTGTTTCGGAATGGTTGGGATTGGGACTTGCCATTTCGATGTACTGCTCTGCATCCTCTTCGAGATTTTCGATATCCACGCTCGATGGGTTGTCCCGGATCCGTTGGGAAAGCGAGTCGTTCTCTTCCTTGAGGCGGGGAAGGAAGTCTTGTATCCGTGCGAGCACTGCCATCGAATTCACATCCATGGGATATAAGAAAGATAGTAAAGAAAAGACGACGCACGTTCGCTGGGTGGGTCTACTGCGTAGGTTTTTCTCTCACCAAAGTCAAAGGTTGGTGGAGCAGCATTGGATGTATTCTTGGATGGTGAGCTTGAAGAGCTGTTCAATTGCTCAAGGAGGCTACCTAGATATAACTGAGCCAGCGGTCGTATGTCAGACAAAGTTGCTCACATATCCTCTGTTGCCTGTTCTCTTCGTCCTCGATTTCGAGTTTGGATCCAGAATGCGACATTTTATGTAAATAGATAAGAAATTGATGCTGTGTTTTGGTGTGAATGAAAGGAGATGCCACCGAATTTGGTAACCAACAGCCGCTTCGTCGCGTCCATCAGCGAGCGCGTATAAGAGGGCACCGTTCTCAGCGACAGTCTCCTATCTGTAGGACTATTCAATCAATATCTTCATAGCTACGCTATGCCCCACCAGCCACGCATTCGTGTCGTTGTGCAGCTCCCCCACAACCGTCCTGACCACCCACTTCCCGATCCTCCCCATGTGCGTACTGGCAGTTGTAGTTCTCTAGGCTCTTGGCTGAACAAGCTTGGTCCGTGCAGATTGAATGGAACGCGGAGAAAGCTAACGTTCTATGGGAGGTTATCGCACTCTCTCGGACGAGCGATAATGGTGGCACGGATTGTGAGTGGTCTACTAGTTGATATAGACGACAGCTTATACCGAAGCACCAACAGGGAAAGGCCTAGCAGCACATCTGGAAGTGCCACTTCCGTATCTACTTTATCGTGCACAGGCCCGATATGAAGATGACTTACGGGGATTGCAAGGCTTCCACGCTGGCAATCAACAGAACCAGCCTGCTACCAAGTCCACAGAGGTAACACCTGTCCTCCCAGACCGTCCCCCCTCCATTCAGATTCCTGCTGCACGAGTCAACTCCCTGAATAGCGCCTGTAGACTCTCCTCTTCCAAACTGGCAACGCCTCTTGGTGTCCGTGCGCGGCTCAACTCCCTCACCCAACACAACTCTGTCCAATCACCTGCAAAGTGCAAGAAAGCATCGTCCTCATCAACGTCTACTCTTCAGGGAACTCAGATAAAGAGACCCCTACGCCTGCCCTCTCCGTTCTCATCTGACGAGAGCGATTCCGAGGATGAGCAGGCCGCCAAAGAAGAAGAAGCGGACCGTGCGGCAGAAGAAGCGGAAACCTTGTCACGCAAACTTGAAAGCCTGCAGCGCATGATGACGAGCGAGGCCCTCGGCCTTGTAAGTTCCCCACTATCCAATGAGAAAGGCAAAGCACGAGACGTGATACGCGGGCGTGCGCCGGTGCCTATTTTCCGCCCTGGACGTGAGGGTGAGGATATCGCAAGCTTCAAACGCAACGATGAGAGCTTCAAACGTGAAGAACGGAACCGCGATCACAGCGCGTCTGTATCGAGTGCATCTTCTCCGCAGAATTCAATCCCTTCGATCCCGTCCCCCTCGCCAGAGTCCCATTCTCCGATGACCCGGCATATCACCGCGAATAAGTCGAGCAGCCCGCCAACAGTGTCGACGCGGAACGCACGGGGGCAGTCGCACATGCGTTATGGGACACTTGCGGGGCTTAGCGAGCAGGAGAGCAGTCATGGAAGCTCTGCCTCGAGCTTTAGTGACATAAGTGGTACGTGATTATGTTTATCTTCGGTGTCATCCACGTCAATGTTGTTGTAGAAGCAAGCTTTTCGGCGTCAGCGTTAGAGAGCGCGCTGATGTCAAATGTCCCTGCAGGAGCGGGGTCTCGTCTGTAAGTGTTCTGGAAATTAGTAATTGCTGTAAAGCACTCACCATGAATTGTCTCCCACAGGTCTGCAATTGCAAGAAGTAGGTTTGTACGTGGTGTGCGGTTGTAGCACCCCCTCATCTGACTGATTTATTATTGTTTTCTATTGATGAGCTCTGTTCAAAGGAATCTGTACCACTACCATTCTTATCATAAGCTTCCGTGTATCTGTTCCTAATCTTATCAACCTAGGTTTGATAGACACGTCAGAGTCTAGACTGATGCGTCCCGTGCCCTTACTTCGCTTCTACATGATTCGAGCGTGTTCCCGTCCACGATGATCATTCTACTTACTAAGTGCTTGTGCCGATCAGCACAGGATTGTCAGAATACAAAGGCGCTTGAGAGTTGATATAAAGCGCCTTGAAAAATCACGGTCACTTTCTCTCTCGATCATATCTGCATTCTTCCCAGTTAGTACAACACCCACAATCCAAACTTGTCCCTTCGAGGCTCTACCTTCCGCTTACCCTTCATATACACCCGTTTCGAACCAAAAAAATACTGGCAGACAGCGAACGCGGCAACGATGCAGTTGACGTTCGTGACGGATCTAGGCCAGACGTATGCTGTTGATATCGACCCTGACATGGAGCTTGAGAACGTGATGGCTTTGCTAGAAGCAGAGGTGAGTCGCTCGTTATCTATCCCACTTTTATTCAGCTCTAACCAAGTGACATGCCAATTCTGTTCTTGTCTTTGCTTTCTCCTTGTTCCCTTGCTCATATGATGACCTGCATGGTACTATCCATGACTCTGGATCATGCAGTCGAGTATACCCCCCGGCGAACAAAGCATCTCGCATAACGGGCGCGAACTTACAGATCCAAAAGCTACCATCCGGGCGCTTGGTGTGGGCGAGCATGCTATGCTCCTCTTACGCAGGCGTGTCAACGTGCCCGGGCCCGAAGGCAGGTGAGCACCTAATCTTGTTCTCGGCCTTCATTGTACGCACCCATTGATGGTCCTTTACAGACCCATAGAACAAGATGCAGAGATGATGAGACTGCAAATCCTTGGAGATCCGCAACTTATGAGACAATTACAAGATGTGCGTGATTATTCTTGCTTTCTTTAGTTTCTCACTGAGGGTTTCTCGCTCAGACACTACCGGAAATAGCTGCTGCTGCCCAATCTAACCCCACACGTTTTGCAGAGCTCCTAAGCCAGCAACGTGACCGCGCACAGCAAGCTGAACTTGGTCGGCAGCGCGAGATTGCAGCTCTCAATGCTGACCCCTTCGATGTGGAGGCGCAGCGTCGTATCGAAGAAGCTATCCGTAATCAGGCAGTTATGGAAAACATGGAGCATGCACTTGAATATTCCCCGGAGGCGTTTGGGCGGGTGACGATGCTTTAGTGAGCACTTGTCCGACTTCAGAGTGTAGATGGACTGATGGACGGTAGCGTGCCGGTGGAGGTGAACTCGCATCCTGTAAAGGCGTTTGTGGATAGCGGAGCGCAGCAGACGATCAGTACGTCTTGTCTCGCCCTTGTTGTGTCTGTCTGACTTCACTTCACTTGTACAGTGAGCCCCGAATGCGCAGAAGCATGCGGGTGCGCAATTTTCCTCTGAATTAGACGAAACTGACGTATCACAGAATAATGCGTCTCATTGATGGACGATTTGCAGGCATCGCACGTGGAGTGGGGACTGCAAAGATTCTTGGACGTGTGCATAGTGCACAGATGCGACTTGCGGACTTGCATCTTCCATGTTCGTTCACGATAATGGAGGTCGGTCTTCCTTCTTTTCTGATATATTTTCCCCAATAATAAAGCTCACACAAACTTGAGGGCCGCGATGTAGATCTTCTCCTCGGGCTCGACATGCTGAAGGCACACCAGGCGTGCATTGACCTCGAAAAATCCGTACTGCGTATCCAAGGGCGTGAAGTACGATTCCTCTCTGAACACGAACTCCCAGAGAAAGCACGGTTGATCGACTCAGGAGCGGACGATCCCATCGCGTCTACCTCGGGCTCTTCCAGCAGCGCTCCACAACCTGCACAGACGAGCGGTGGTAGAAGCGCTGGTGCCAGCGGCTCGTCGTTCCCAGGTGGAGGAAATACGCTGGGTTCTGCACCTACACCACGTGCATCGACACGTCCTGCCGCTGCTCAGTCACGACACCCAGATTCTGCTATCGAGTTGATCATGGGACTTGGCGTATCGCGGGAGGTGGCAATCAGCATGTTGGATGCCGCAGGTGGGAATGTGGATGCTGCTGCAAGTTTGTTGTTCTGAGTCCCAGGGTGGGCGGGGATGATGAGAAGACATCAATATTCTTGGACCTTGTATCTTTGGGATTGCAAAATGTACGATGTGATGAATGATAAATGAAGTAAATTGGCATGCCCAGCTCGTCGCAAGAACATCAGCTTCTTCACTTTTGCCCCGAAAGATGATGCTGGGATGCGGACATGCTAAGTGGGCATCAGTCTTTCACACAGAGTAACTAGCCTGATGCTGACATCCTCGTCCTCGTATCGACTGTCCTTTTTCACTCCAGATACACCCGCCGGAACATACATGGGTATAGTCGTGTTGAAGGTCGTACTAGTACAATTCGCGCTTACATTTTGGTAATTATACAGAGGTATTAGTAGTCTGCAGAAATAAAAATATCAAGGATGCCCAATCGTCCTCTCAAACCAAATAACACAAACCACACGAGCAAGTCTAGATAAGACTGACTCTCGTGCGCACAAGCCCACCACGCCAATTCCACATCCCCGCACTGCGGTGGTGCGACCAGTCACCCTGCATCCGCGCAAATGCATCCTGAATGTGCTCAGGCCGCAGAGCCGTCCTTGCTTCTGGTGGGGGTAAAAACAGTGAACTCGTAGGCAGTGGTGCTTCTGCCTCCTCCTCCTCCTCTTCCTCTTCTCTCCTCGCACGTTTGTCCCGTTGCTCCCCTCGCCTGTGTAAGTGGTGCGACTTGCGCTTACCAAGGATGGGCGAGGTACCAAGGTAGTCGTCTCGTAGATATGATTCTTCGAGGGACTTTTTGACCTCGAGGCCTGCGAGCGTAAGGGAGCGCACCATCTCGAATGCGAGAAAGCCAACGATGTCGACGGTATCATCATTAGCTTTGAGGTCCAGGTGTGGAGGAAGGTTAAGGAAGTCGCGGAAGCGCTTGGCTAATTGTTCATCGTGTCAGTAAGATTCTGTCTAGCTCATGAAACGACTTCACCTTTTCGATACGTGAATGACGCTTGTCTACAATCTGAATAATGTTGGTACTCTTCCCTCGTCATTTGTCGTGTGGCATCGTCGGCTTCTTTGAGGCGCTGTATACTTGCTTCATGGGCTTCGATATCGTCCTCGTCCTCTTCGTCATCAGATTGGTGTCCAGACTGACGAAGCACCTCGCTGTAGATTGTCGAAATCTCCCAAGGAAGCTTAATAGTAATCTTTTGTGCCTTGGTCGTTAGTTTCTCTATGCGGATGTCAGTAGACCAATGGAAAAACGTTGAAGAAATACAGACCATCAGCGCCATCCTCAAGATTCTCGACTTCGACACCACCCCCTCCATCACCACCTGAATCTTTGGCATGCTTCCGAACATCCTTCCACGAGAGATATGTCCGGAGACGGTTGACCTTACCGCGGTCGTGGCGAATGAGGAAGATGAGGTCCTCCGCGGTAATGTAGCGCACACCACGCCGATTCGCGTGAAGGCGGGCTTGCAGGATCTAGAGTAGCATAAGACATCACAGGAGAATCTCATGGTCAAAGTCACTCACGAGTTCGATGAGCTGACTGCGCACGATGTCCTCGACGAGGTTGACAGTCTCTGGATTCGGGTCTTGGATTTCACCAAAGACGAACATCTACAAGCATTCCGTCGTTCATGCCGAGTGTGGCATGTAAATAGCAATGACGTACCATCTGGGATATCTCCTGCACGTACTTGTAGTCGCGACTGGTGCCATCTGAGGGTTTCTTCGGGACCGCTACTGGTGCTGGAGCAGGCGCTGCAGCTGGGGCTGCAGTTTGTGTTGGCGCCATGGTGAGCCGCGAGCAGTTGAATGAAGTAACCAATGATCGAATTCCTATTAATGGTTGATAAGCCTTGAGAAACGTAGTCCCGTGGTTTCTGTGTTGCAATCACTACGCCATCATGTGGACCATCTCAAATAACATATACACTCCTGGTCCATCCACAATTCCTTGTTTTCTTCTTCGTTCTACACTATCTTAACATCCTTTGTTATCGCAAACACAATGGCCGACCAATTCAGCACTCCACTTGAGTTGCCACTCAGCGAAGAAAGTCTCGTAGCTATCAACGCCCACCTCTCCCAGCTTTCTCCACAAGACATCCTCATATGGGCACTCACGCACCTCCCTGCCCTCTACCAGACCACAGCTTTTGGTCTCACTGGGCTCGTCGCCCTCGATATGCTTTCCAAGTCTGGTCATCCAATCCCGAAACTTATTTTTCTGGACACGCTGTATCACTTTGCGGAAACATATGAGCTCGTGCAGGAGGTGCGGGAACGTTATGCTGTCGACATAAAGGTGTACAAGCCCGAGGGATGCAAGACCATTGGAGATTTTGAAAAGAAACATGGCGAAGAATTGTGGCAGAAAGACGAAGACATATACGATTTTGCGGTCAAGGTGTGTTGTTCATCCCGACATTTCAATAGATAGCTGAGCTGGATTGCACATGCAGGTTGAACCCGCCCAGCGCGCGTACCAGGAGCTTGGCGTGCATAGCGTTATCACGGGCCGGCGTAGATCTCAGGGCGGCGATCGTGCCTCCCTCCAGCCGCTTGAGGTCGATGAAACAGGGCTCCTCAAGCTAAACCCACTTTTTGCGTGGTCCTTCGCGCAGGTCGATGCATACATTCGCGAGAACAATGTTCCAAGGAATAAACTGCTCGATCAGGGATATCGCAGTGTCGGTGACTGGCATAGCACGCAGCCCAGTCGTGAGGGCGATACTGGCGAGCGTGCTGGGAGATGGGCAGACAAGGATGGGAAGACTGAATGTGGTCTCCATAAGAACTTTTCTGAGATGAAGTTGAGGGCAAAGGTTCGTTGATCTGCTGGTGATATGGATGTTTTAATGATATAATAATATTAGCTCGAGGAGCAACGCATACCAGGAGAAGAAGTAACAACTGCTTCAGAGGTAGCCACTCCTCCTGCGTAATTAATTTAATGGTGTAACGATGCCGAGAAGTCTTGAATATGTATCGCTGTGTCTAAGTGCTGGTCTAAGGGCCTGAGAATTTCTCTTGGCTGTGCAAACGTTCGTTATCTGATGATCAGAGCGGTGTGTAGATCTATTTCTCGTTGACGCTCGGGGTGTTTGACGAATCTAGGCTTCGATAGTCTTGGAATTACAGTACACTGGCTTCTATCTCTCAGCTATAATTTTAGATGCGCCTGATTTCCTTCAAGGTTGAAGGGGAATTCCACAAATGTCGAATCCTAATCTTCGCTGTCATAAATCTCATGTCAGTACCCTATGCTTTACGCCATGGTGAAGGCGCCTACTAATAATAAGTGATGCCGTTTACTAGAAACATTTAGTAGTGTGCCTAAAGCTATCACATGATGCCTTAATGACCAGCCAATTCATATCCATATACTGGTTCCGGCCACGTACCAGGGTATAATTATCAACCTCATATAGACGGAAGGCACTGACCGGGTCCAAGGTAGCCCGAGTTGCTCTTTTCTCTTCCAAATTCTTCCTCCCAGGCCAGCAACGATGTCTATCAAGTATGTGGGTTCCAGCAGCTACTGGCTGAACATGCTCTCTCGCATTCCTAACAATATTCGTATGTTACTATCTGACAGTCCACCGTCTATACTCCATCCAGTGTTCAATGCCGCTCAGCCGTTTCCTCCACTCCCTGATATCAACAAGGACAGCATTCGGACGCAGGTGTTTACACATCGTTCATATTACGGACGCCCGAATCATGTATTCGAGGACCAACCACAGGACCCGAGTCCAGACAATGAAAAGTGAGCAAAGTTTCTCTTCTCCTTAGGCTGTGTTGTTGTCCAAAACACCACACCCAACCGATCGAGCTTTCATCAAGGCGCTCGTGTGTGAAGCTGATAGGCTGATGCATTCTGCAGGTACGAGCATCTAGGGGACACCGTGTTAGGTCTGGTCGTGACCGAGCTCCTCCTGGAGATGTACCCCAACTTGCGCGTTGGGCCATCTACGGTATGCCTCGTTTCTTAATGGGCACTAAGCATGCTCGCCCATTACATCCTCTTCAGAAAATCCGAGCCCTGGTCGTAGGCAACTCCACCCTTGCCGACGTCTCGCGCATGTACGACCTACCAAGAAGACTGCGTCTGCATCCTGCTCAGGCAATTACCTTGCGCGCTTCCGTCAACATTCAAGGTACGTTCCCGTTGTCCTTCATATGTCAATTTATCGAAAGAAGTGTTCCCAGCCGACGTCTTCGAAGTACGTCACCCTTGATACCCGAACAAATGGATGCTGACACAACGCCACCGATAAGTCCTACGTGGGCGGGCTCTATCTCGAGCAGGACCTGCCGGGAGTCCAGCCCTGGTTGAAAGCCCTGTTTACGCCTTACGCGACTGAGGCTTACAAACGTGTGCGGGAGCAACATCGTCTCCCGCCCATTCCGACCACTGCTCTTGTCGCGCCTGATTCAGTTCTGTCCTCACCCCCACCTTCGCCCCCTCACCCCCGCCCCTGCACTACCTCCACGACCATAGGCCACCTCGCACTGTTCAATCAGCAGCTCCAGAAGGCCAACATGATAGTCGAGTGGATCTACGCAGACGGGACTGGTGAAGGCACGAAGACGACTCCAATTTGGCTCGTCAGGTGCGAAGTAGATGGGGAAGTTTACGGTCGCGGACAAGGTGGGACCAAGAAAGCCGCCCGAAACGAAGCTGCCAAGGAGGGTCTGAAGAAGATGGGCATCGAAGTCTGACAATGGCTGAGGCGGGTGAGTGATGGGTTGTTTGCTAAAGGGCTCAATTTGATCGGTCTTTGCAACAGGCTTTCAGCACCGTCTCTCCAGACTTGCGCTGGCTGGAGATCTATTCTTCTATTGGTAGCATCTTCGGCCTGCGCCAGTGTGTAGAGGTTGTGTATGAGACGTTGCGTCAATGAACGTGAATTGCTTCTCAATCGTCTCGATTTCTTGATTTTGGGTTTTCGCACTATCCAGTTTTATGAAAGGGGCTGGATCGAACGAGTGTCCATACATATATGTGCGAGATGGTCTACTATTAGTTTATCGTCTTGTACTTTGCTGCAGAAATTTTTCATCAATGTTATCGTGCTTTCGACTTTTGATAACTTATGACTTACCTGATACATTATCTGTAGAGGAAATATATATCCAAGGGCCGGAAAAACCTCTATACCGAATCGCGGAGCCTCCCAATATTGTCCACCGAAGGCGCGCCCCAAATAAGCGTCTTCCGTGATGGGTCCAACAATCGGGGGAAATGCCTCTCAAGAATGGGCACAAGCAAACCTCGGTGTATTGATGGCACGGTAGCTACCTTGACCTTCACGGGTACGCTGCTCGGAGTTTGTGTCGCCACGACTTTTGCCTCGTTCATCACGGAAACTTTGACCTCCTCCACGATTGGCCCAGCACGCATCAGCGCCCGCGCCTCCTCATCAACGTCGGAGAAGTCATCTTGTTTCACCGCGCTGATAGAGTATGCCCAGACGCCGACGCCAAAGCCTGCGAGTACGAGGCCGGTGATAGCGTTTTGGAGGCGAAAAGGTGCGCGCGCGCGCTGGAGACCCGGGGACATAAGCTATGGATGTTATGTGTCAAAGGTGCTCTTGTTTTCAGGAGTACTTGGTTATGCAGATGCGACGTACAGAACTGCGCGGTCGATAGGATGCAGCAACGGTCTTTTTGGATACGTATTGTTCGTTCGCCATGCTCGTGATCTGTCGGGTAGCGTTTCTAGCTTAGTTCTAACTATTGCAAGTTAGCATAAAATCAGACGCTTGACTCCAATATTGCACAGACCAATTGTTTCACTGCTTTGAGACTTCGAGTTCTGGAGTCCGTGTTTCCGTGCTATACTCAGCTCACTAGCGTGCCACGCCACCAAGTCGTTGTCCGAGAAATTCTCACAGCTTGCGGAATTCATATATATATGAGGTCACTCGATCACCTGACTTCAACTTCGACGCGGACGGCTTTCCTGCATCCGCGAACGGGCCAGTTCCACAAGGAGCATGTTTCCGCAGCCCCTACCATTTTCTCATGCACTAAAAGTGCTGGTGAAAGCTCCGATTGCAACCAGACAGTCCAATCGATCGAGTCTCAGCTTGTGGTACAGAATGGCCAGCACGAACGCCAATATCGTAAGTAGGCCTCAGATCCACTACTTGGAGTTGCTGAGCCTCTTTTAGTGGGGTCTGCAGGACCCATCGTTGATAAAATATCAATCGTATATCGATGGGAAGTGGGTGAGCGCAAAGGAGGGTGGAACTATTCTTGTTACCAGTATGCTATCCTCTTACAAGTGGGATACGATCAATTAACTCAGAAACCTATTACAGACCCTGCGACAGGTGAAGAACTCGGCACTGTTCCAGAGATGGGCCTTGAGGAGGCCAAGTCTGCCATTGCAGCTGCCGGGAACGCCTTTGCATCATGGGGCAAAACTACTGCCAGGGTTGGTATCTTATATTTCCTGTCGGCTTATACTAACGAACACTCTGCATGATAGCACCGTCATGACATTTTGATGAATTTCTATAATCTAATGCGAGAACACAATGATGACTTGGCCAGGATCATCGTGCGTGTATTACTTAAACAAGTTGTTGTTTTCCTCACTCTTTGACAGACATTAGAGAATGGCAAGACGTTGGCGGAGGCAAAGGTAACATCACTAGACATCTCCCCAGTATCAAGCTAATTCCTTGAAAACAAGGGCGAGAATGCTTATAGTGCATCTTTCATGGAGGTAAGTAAATTCGGTTCAATTCAGTTATGTAACTGCATGTTATTTGTAGTGGTATGGTAGGTTATCCCGCCAGATGGCTTGAACCTCTATTCATTTTTCTATCTTAGCTGAGGAGGCTGTCCGAATCTATGGAGGTTTGTCTTTTCCGTTTCAAATAGTTCATACATTGATTGTTTTTATCAGAACACATACCTTCACCGTTCACCAATATTCGGAACGTTGTGATTAAACAGCCTGTCGGTGTCGTGTGAGACCTTTCATGCGATCCTTTAATGCTTTATCTAAGAAAGCGCATCAGCTCTATTCTCACCCCGTGGAACTTTCCTTCTGCCATGATCACGCGAAAATTGGGTGCCGCACTCGCAGCAGGTTGCACAGCAGTTATAAAGCCACCGCCTGAAACACCGTTTTCAGCTCTTGCACTAGCTGAGGTAAGACCTTTCTTATAATTCTTGCAGCTTTGGATTTCACCGTCGTTGCTATTCGAAAGCTTTCTCGTCGCGCAGGTGTCCCAGATGGCGTCATCAACATTGTTACAACTCAAAAGAACGTCATTGAGGTCGGCCGTGAGATGTGCGAAAACAAAATAGTCAGGAAGATATCATTCACTGGATCAACACCCGTCGCCAAGAGCTTGTATGGCATGGCTGCCTCCACACTCAAGAAGTGAGCACCACCAAAACATCCTTCCGTGCTTATAAATACTCTCTTTAGAGTCTCCATCGAAGCTGGAGGGAACGCACCTTTCATTGTCTTTGATGACGCCGATATCGACCAGGCTGTTGAAGGTCAGCGTAGGAAGATTTTCTGAACCCTCTCCAGGCTGATCTATCTCTTCAAGGGGCAATCTCATGTAAATTCCGTGGTTCAGGGCAAACCTGCGTCTGTGCAAACCGTATCTACGTTCAGTCTTCAGTCTACGCTGATTTTGCTTCTAAACTCGCTGAGAAAGTAACTGCGTTTAAAGTCGGAAATGGCCTGGATGAAACAACGTTGGTGGAATGCGCCAGATAATCTCTGCCATTACTCACTCATTTCCAGGACGCATGGCCCTCTCATTCATGAGAGAGCAATCTCGAAGGTTGTGCGACATGTAGAAGATGCTGTTTCTCGTGGTGCCCAAGTATTGGTTGGTGGTAAACGTGTCGATGGGGCCGGAACTTTCTTTGCGCCTACTGTCCTTTCTGAGGTTCCCGCTGGAGCACTTTCCAATTTTGAAGAAACTTTTGGGCCTGTTGCAGCTCTGACGAAGTTCGAGACAGAAGAGGAGGTGATCGCCCTAGCAAACGACGCAGATGTGGGCCTCGCTGGGTATTTCTTCAGTCGAGATGTTGGGCGTGTATGGAGAGTTGCAGAGGCGCTGGAGGTTGGTATGGTTGGCACCAACACCGGGCTGATCAGCCATGCTACTATTCCTTTCGGTGGCGTCAAAGAGAGTGGTCTTGGTCAGTTTTTTTATAGTTCTCCCGTTTGGCTAACACTGAACCCGTTTGATATTAGGTCGGGAGGGAGGCCACGGTATCACGGAGTACTTGAATCAGAAGCTCATCACTTTTGGTGGGCTCTGAAATAACACACTTTTGTACACAACAAACCATGTATCATATCTGTTACCTGATGTCGTCAATTCACGAGAATAAAGCATGCATATAAACAAGACTGTATATGTGACTACAAATTCACAACTTCGCCTGGTGATGGCCCTCCTCAACGACAGGGTTGATGAGTGTGCCAATACCGTGACCCAACCATACCCTGCAGTCATCGCCGTTCTTGAGTACAATGGCAGGCTTCCTCGCGAAACCAACACCCTTGGGTGTTCCAGTCAAGATAACCGACCCAGGCTCCAGGGTGGTTCCCTGCGAGAGGAAAGAGACCGTTTGACGAACATTGAAGATTTGGTCGCTAATAAACAATCATCACTTCAGCGTGTACTCTCTCGAGGGAATGGATAAGTATTACTTAGTGTTACCGTCCTGGAGGACTTGGCCGTTAAGCGTGCAAGTTAGCGGGATTTCCTGGGGGTTGGGAATGGCGCTGTGCGACACAAGAACAGGACCGAGGGGAGTTGTGTTATCTGTTCGAGTTCATGTTAGTCATATCTCATCTTGTGGGAGAAAAATAACTTACCGAACCCTTTGGAGAATCCCCACTGGGAAGTTGTCAGCTGGTGCTTGCGGAATGACACCTATTGTCGCAGATATCAGATCAGGCGGCCTCAAAACCATAGTGTAAGCTTTACATCATTGGCACCAGTGTACCCGAGGACGTAGTCGAGAGCGTCCGCCTCAGAAACATCCTTGGCCGCCTTTCCGATGACGATGGTGAGTTCTACTTCGTAGTCGGAGAGGTGCTCTTCGACAGGCTGAGCAACCTTGGGAATGAAGATTGGTGCATTGGGACCGATCATCGACGCCAGGGGCTTGTAAAACAAGATGGGGGCGCTGTATAACAATGTTTGCAATTTTGAATAGAATACAGGAAAAATTGGTAAGCATCTACTACTTACGCAGGCTTAGCCATTTTTGTCTCTGCCTGTTTGCGGTTTCGTCAATATTATACTATATCACTCGATTTTGACAGAACTTACTGCGTGGTCCGAGTAGTTGAGACCCAAGCACCGAACGACCTTCATCTCTTCGCGAGAGAGAGGAGAGAGAAGCTTCTCGACTGTCAAAATATTGCTCGTAACGTGAGAGGCAGGGTCAAAGGCAGACCCAGAGATCTCATAAGCTCTGATGGTCTGTTTGTTCCATGCAGCAAGGCCAACTGTACGTCACGAACATAAACGTATAGTCAAGGAAGTACAGAATGAGCCTGTGATTTACCATCAAGTCTGGGATCAACCGGTTGTCCGATATGGATTTGTGCGGTCTCTGCAGCAACAAAGCGAATGAGCCGCGTCCATTGCTGCGGTCGCGATTCCTCTATGTGAGCATATAGGTCCACTTGGATAGATATATGTTGCACATACTGTTGAAATGGGTGCCATGATGATCAACAACAAAGATTGGGGAAGGTCTGGGAATGCGCACCTAAGCGTAGAACTCGTTATTTACTTGGACCCCACAGTGGGACACTCAGCGTTCAGGCTTCACGCGGTCGTAAACGCTCCTCCGAATTTCCGTGTCACGTTCCAGTCACGTGGCAACGACGCGCTTAACCCATCATCACGAGCCTCGAGAGCTCGAGGCCCAGTAGAAACCGAGACGACAAAATATGATATTTAATGTTTGTATCGTACTAGATATGATGAGATAATGGAAAACATACATTGAGCGCATTGCATCGTATCAGCTTGAACATGCTTGTAACTTCGCTTTGTCTTGTCTTGTATCGCATCGCCGGAGTCGCTCGTAGCTTTGCGTTTTGCTTGTTTTTGTCTCAATTTGCTCGCGCATCTTAGCCTGATGCTAGAGGAATGGGCTGATGCTGAGGATGCTGGGTGCACCGGTGAGTTTCGGGACGATTCTGACAGTGCGGCAGGCAGCGATGATGTCAACATTTGTTTTATAGTAGTTTTTTGTCTTCGGTTATCAGTATCACGTTGTTTGAATAGGATGGCTGCAGTGCCTTACTAGGCCTGCATACTGTGTCCGTCATGTTTTGTCCGTACAGTATTACTACTGAATTTGATCTAAGTGTGTGTGCTATGTCTAAACTGTATAATATGTCTAGTCTGTATAGTAATGTTGTGACAAACTTGTAAAGAAGGGACTTGTCGAATTGTATTGCTTGTAAAATTTTGTACAGGGCTCGGTAGTTTGCTAATGTTCGGTGGCGTTGAGTTTTTTATAGTTCTCCTGTTTGGTTAAATCCGTTTGATTTTAGATCGGCCACGGTATCGAGGAGTACAGCTTGAATCAGAAACTCATCACTTTTGACGGGCTCTGAAATAACACACTTTTGTACACAAGAAACTATGTATCATATCTGTTACCTGATGTCGTCAATTCACGAGAATGAAGCATGCATATAAACAAGACAATATGTGACTACAAATTCACAACTTCGCCTGGTGATGGCCCTCCTCAATGACAGGGTTGATGAGTGTACCAATGCCGTGACCCAACCATACCCTGCAGTCATCGCCGTTCTTCAGTACAATGGCGGGCTTCCTCGCGAAACCAACACCCTTGGGTGTTCCAGTCAAGATAACCGACCCAGGTTCCAGGGTGGTTCCCTGCGAGAGGAAAGAGACCGTTTGACGAACATTGAAGATTTGGTCGCTAATAAACAATCATCACTTCAGCGTGTACTCTCTCGAGGGCATTGATAAGTATTACTTGGTGTTACCGTCCTGGAGGACTTGGCCGTTAAGCGTGCAAGTTAGCGGGATTTCCTGGGGGTTGGAAATGGCGTTGTGCGACACAAGAACAGGACCGAGGGGAGTTGTGTTATCTGTTCGAGTTCATCGTATGAAGTCATATCTCATCCTTGTGGGAGAAAAATGACTTACCGAACCCCTTGGAGAATCCACACTGGGAAGTTGTTCGTTGGTGCTTGCGGAACGACACCTATTGTCGAAGATATGAGATAAGGCGGCCTCAAAACAATAATGTAAGCTTTACATCATTGGCACCAGTGTACCCGAGGACGTAGTCGAGAGCGTCCGCCTCGGAGACATCCTTGGCCGCCTTTCCGATGACGATGGTGAGTTCTACTTCGTAGTCGGTGAGGTGCTCTTCGACAGGCTGAGCAACCTTGGGAATGAAAATTGGTGCATTGGGACCGATCATCGACGTCAGGGGCTTGTAGAACAAGTTGGGGGCGCTGGATATAACAATGTTTGCAATTTTGAATAGAATACAGGAAAAATTGGTAAGCATCGACTTACGCAGGCTTAGCCCTTTTTGTGTCTGCCTGTTTGTGGTTTCGTCAATATTATACTATACAACACAATTTTGACAGGACTTACTGCGAGGTCCGAGTAGTTGAGACCCAAGCACCGAACGACCTTCATCTCTTCGCGAGAGAGAGGAGAGAGAAGCTTCTCGACTGTTAAGATATTACTCGTAACGCGAGAGGCAGGGTCAAGGGTAGACCCAGAGATCTCATAAACTCTGATAGTCTGTTTGTTCCATGCGGCAAGGCCAACTGTACGTCACGAACATAAACATATAGTCAAGGAGGTACAGAATGAGCCCGTGACCCACCATCAAGTCTGGGGTCAACCGGTTGTCCGATATGGATTTGTGCGGTCTCTGCAGCAACAAAGCGAATGAGCCGCGTCCATTGCTGCAGTCGCGATTCCTCTATGTGAGCATATAGATCCACTTGAATAGATATATGTTGCACATACTGTTGGGATGGGTGCCATGATGAACAACAACAAAGATTGTGAAGGTCTGGGAATGCGTACCTAAGCGTTTGTTACTTGGACCACACTGCTGGCAGTACAGCTTCACGAATCACGCGGTCGAGACCGTCGTAATTTCCGCGTCACGTTCCAGTCACGTGGCAGCGACGCGTTTAACCCATTCGAATTTCCAAGATTCAAACAATTCATCAATTGCTCGTCACGAGCCTCGAGGGAAGTCCTGACCAGTGATTTCTGAAACAACGGAATTATCTCTTCACCGATGTCGTCAACAGTGAGCTCGATGAAGACGACGCTGCAGGATGCTTTGGACGATGTGAGTAACAAGGATGATCTTGAGGATGGGTTCGGTTAGTTATGACAATGGTACCACTACAGGTGACCTCAACACGTTCATCATTTGGAAGACGAAATAGAGCTCTGGCTGTTCTTGAGCACCAGCTTGCGCTTGCGTGCGTGCAGTCCTCCAATGATGATACATTAGAAACGTATTTGGACCTTCAAGATGCTTTTGAATCCAATGGTGGGGAATAACCATCCAACCTGTTGCGTACCGTCTAATTCGGATATATAGTTCCATCGCGGATCTTGGCTTGGATACAATGTACGACACCTCAACTAGAACTGTGCGCAAGCAAGAGCTCCACCAGTAAGTACGCAGCCTTTTTCTTCCTCAACATCATGGCTGACTGAATCACAGAAGAGCGTGATACTGAAATGAATACCTCGTGCTCCCAGTTATGTCAAGGCTTGTCAATAATCCAAGGAGTCTCTCTTCACCACAAATCAAGCAAGTCTTTTCTGGGTCGTCGGTTTTCTCTTGAGGTTGGTTGTGTTTAGTGAAGTCCTTGAGATGCCCAAACCTCATCATCCATCGTAGATTTTGATCGGGTTATTGCTTACTTCTCGACACACGCCAACCATTGATGCCTCTTCGAGGGAAAACAATTCCCAACCACCAGAAAAACCTGCGCCCTTCATGCATTTGACATCTGCTGTCTTGGATACTTTGTTGTGCATTCTGGTTGATTCCTCTCCAGCGCTACGCGCTTTCGAGGAAGTGAATGGGGTTCAAGCAGTGGTAAAGATACTCAAACGAGCAGGAACACCACGCGAAGTCAGGTGGGTTACTCGTTCCATTGCTGTGCAATCACTGATGTAGATCCAGAATGAAATGCCTCGAGTTTCTCTACTTCTATCTGATGGATGAGACTCCCACCCACATACAGCCTGATGAAGCACACTCACTACCTTCCTCCCCCGTTGCCACCCAACCTAGCACACCTCTTCTACTTCCTGAATCCAAAATATTTGCTCGTCCTGCATCTAGCGCCTCGAATATCTCATTTGCGTGTACCTCTACCAGGTCGTCATCGAATTCATCAACCTCATCTTCTTTCTTCTCCATGTCAACAGGTTCATCGACGACTAGTACAACCACTAGCTTCGAGAGCATTCACACACCTTCGCCTATCAAGAAATCATATTCCACCTCCACTTTCACTTCATCAGACCCACGCACTCCTCCTAGCTCACCACCTTCGATAACATCCAGCACTAGAAAGATACCGGCTCCACTACAGTCACGCTCGATGCTCATGCTACGGAAGGAAGTGGACTATGAGCCGCTGAGCCCCAAGAAACCCAGAGGATTCCGACCAGGTCTCGGAGTCACTGATGCACCCATCCCTACCACACCTTCCGTATCACGTTTTCGAGAGACGATTAGCAGTGGGACCTCCCTATCGGGCCGTGCTGATGATGCAGAGGCTCGCACAAGCAGGCATGACCGTGTGCGCACCATTGATGAGAAGAAAGAAATACTAGGGAGCATGCTGGGGAATGTAGATGCTCTCGTCGATGGTGTGAGGAAAGCAGGCATATGGGGGCTTGGCTAATGCTCTCGATGCTGCTCTCATACCAGCGTTATCTGCCCAAAAATTGCGGGATACATTTGGTGGTGTTACAATATTGACATGGATATACTTGGACTGATACGATCGATAAGGTGCTAACTAAGAGCGGATTTGCGCAAACTCTGTCAAAAATTTCTCTTGCGCACGGATAACGACCTTGACATGGTCGAGGGAAAGCGGTTCATTTCTGTGCATTCTCATGAGTAACAGGGAAGCGAACATACCGACAATAATACTTACGCAGAGAGTGCTAACGCCTGGGCGGTCCGGACAAGGTTCTTAATGGTGCGTCCTAGAAACTATATTTAATTCTGATAGGCAGGATGGCAAGGGTGTGCTGACCATTAAACGGTTTTTGCGCTAATGCCTCCAGATCTGAGTGAGAAACATAACAACGTGGCTCTTTACCATCAATGTTGACAAACTCTTCAGACTTTGAGTCGAAAAATGGCCACCCAGCAAGCTCGATGAACTTTTTCCAGATCGTAAGCCGGGCCGTAGCATCTAACTCAGGATATTTGATCGCTGTTGAGATCAAGTTTATTTCAAACTGATATGATATAAATAGAGGACGAACCAATGGAGAACCTCGAAAGAAAGGCGTCGTCAAACGTTTGAATGCGATTTGTTGTCAAGAAGAGCACACCGCGGTGGTACTCAATGACCTTTAATGCAACGGAAACCAGTGCGTTGCGTATCAGCTACAATAAAATGAGAAACGTATCGTGGAATTAATGATGAATTGCAAAAACGTACGTCATGGAAACTCCTCTGTTCCAGGAACACGTCAGCTTCGTCAAGAAGAACTACGGCGTCCCATACGGTAGCTAACTAGTAGAGAATTCTGTTCTGTTCAGTCGAAATTGTACATCATGGCACGTACCTTCAATATCGCCGAAAGCTTAGATTCTAGGTGTGAAGGCTCTGTCGACAATTCCGCAGAGCTCACGATGTACAAAGGCCTCTTGAGGTGTTCAGCGACAGCTTCAGCTGTAAGCGTCTTTCCGGTCCCAGGAGGCCCATGAAGTACCGCAATCTTACACAGAGTAACATGAGGTTGGCAGCATTGAGGGGTACAGGGAAACCTACCAAACCTCCACCTTTACCTGTGATGACGTCCGACATAAGATGCTGCGACGTGTTGACATTCTTAGTAACATTGACAAGTCCCTTGATCAGGTTCTGCTTGACCATCAACAATAGCCGGACAATAAACAGAGGACTATTACTTACTTTAACATCATCATCTACAACCAAGTGGTCCCAGGCCTTCTCGTCATACGTGATGTCATCAATATTTTCGACGTGGAATGATTTCCATCGCTGTAGCCCGTCGTGAGTCAGTCGAACCAAAAAGAGTTCAACTTACTTTGCTCTTGAGATCGAAACCATTCACAAAAGCCGGAAGTTGATCGTGTTTGCCCTCTGGAATGTCAGGGATCTTCTCGTCTCTGAGACGATATTAGCGCATGGATTAGAAGCAAATGCAATTATATCATACGGTTCACATGTGTAGCCCTGTCTATAATTGAATGCACGCTCATCGACAATGATTCGACTCTGGGGTCGAATCAATGAGCTCGTTTCCATTCTAGAAAAGAGAAGGAAGGAAAATTACCCCTTCGTCTGAGCACAGTTATTAGTCTGACGGCAACGTAGAAAGGGTCAGACATACATGACTTGTAATGGAAACCACCAGAAAATGATCCATACAAATTCCCTCGGGCTAAAATGATGTTCAGAACTTCTGTACATAACAAAAAGCGTGAGGCATTGTACCGGTTAGCTTGGCGCGTACATCGTCTGTCATGATTTTGCAATCCAGTTGTGACAGTTTCACCGTTCCCTGAACGATCGTGAGCTCTCATGAATTGCAAGCGCAAAAAGTACAAACAGCGTATTTTGGAACCGAGAAATTCTTTGTCTCGTCGATGTATCTGTATCCGTTCCACCTCGTTGTCTCGGAATTCAGGAAAAATGAGCTGTAGGCAAGTGATGAGGGCCCGATCCTTCGTATACAATGCAACATACGCTAAACTGCCATTATAGCTTGCGCTATTGAGCGTAAATCCAATCTGCAGCAAGATTGAACAGACAGTTACTATCATATATTATTACTCACAAGGTCACCCTTCTGTATAGTATAGTACTTGATACCCCGCTTGAAGTAGTATATGAGCAAGTCGAAAGCAATGTGTCCGTAAGAGAGTTGAAGCTCGAGTTCTTGAGCTCTGTAATCTCGTAGTCAACCTAAATGTCAGGACAGTATATAAATGTGCTCACGTCGGTTCGAATTCTTTCTCTATCATACCTAATAGGACGCCAAAATGCTCCGACACGTCCTCTAAGTACCGCCGGGCGTCTTCCTCGGTTTTATGTACTGTATTAAGGGATGAGATTGTCAAAGGAGATATCATATTATGGTGGCCAGACATACGGCCCAATGCATCTGTGCAACCCATATCATTCGCTTTTTGCTTGAGATCTTCACCAGCCAAATTTGAAGTAAGAACTTCTCGGACGTCCGCAAGATCGGCCCGAAGGTCATCTATTCTTGCGAAAAAATCCAGAAGAGGATACGTCGGGTTTTGTTTGAAGAAATCATTCCCAATGGCGTAGCTACCAAGGCGACGCTAAGATCGACCAGGCAAGAGCTTATATCATAATCTCACCGAAGGAAATCAACCAATACACTGCTGAAGTTGCTCACAACCAGTTCAGGGGGTGCTAGACGAAGTCGTCAATACAGGCCAACAGTAATTTGATAGTAACAGTCGTGGAAAATCACGCGTACATTGCTCATCCTCATATTGGACATCGAGATAGAAATAGTTGTTCAGATCTATGCGCTGAGAGACAGGCTTGATGAACGATGGATCATATGGTCTCCAGATGCATGCAAGACAATCCCTGTGTTTGCATGTAAGCGAACAGTCAGAGCAGTCAAGCAACTCATTACAGACCACATCTGGAAACGTCGCAAGTAACGATCCTGAGTGTTCTGCGTCTTACTGACTTTATCTTCTGGAGCCGCCTGATTCGTTCGATTAGCAAAACTTGAAATCCAGATGCGCTCTACGGTGAACGTGCGTTACCGACCTCGGCTCCAGTAGCATCCTCTGCTACATTCATGCCTTCGGATGTGGATGTGATGGTGTCCTGCAATAAAACCGTGTTGTCGTCGGGCATGACCTCAGAGTCTGCAAGGTAGGTATAATGTGGATGCGATGTGGGCTTGTAAGTTTGAGAGATGGGAGAACGATAGAGGATGTTTTAAGCCCATCCCAGCAACGCCAGTCATCGATTTTGGGATTCTACCAGATGCGCACGCTCCGCTTCGAAACTTGATTTCCGTCACTCAGGCCCTAATGGGGGACTCGAGTCAGACAACATAACAATACGAAGCTTCTGATACACTTGTTCGCTAGAATTGGGGTGGTAGATTAGGATCTTGTGAGTCACGACCCTTTCGAATTCGCAAGGCATCGATTGCATTCAAATGACTGTGCGAGCGGACTCGAGTCAACAAAGATAGGGGTAAACGGTGGGCAACTTCTAGAGACGGTGTAAGTCCGCATTGGAACACGATTATAGTCCAGATGCGTCAATTTTTATGGCTACACACCAAAGGGAGAAAGGTGATTCGGATGCACAATATGTGTATACAGATAAAGCATGCTTCGCTTGGAACCACATTGCCATCGCGAAAGAACTACTTCCGATAAACCATCAGTACTGCAGCGACCAGCATTGCAATTATTGCACCCACCCGGACATCCTTGACGAGGTTGATTGAGCCCAAACGTCACGTGATCCGAGGTTCAGTCACGAGTGAGTTCCTGACTGCGCAATATTTACTCATGGAGGGAATCGCGGACTTTAGTGTATCAAACAAACCCATCGGGCTTATTCTTTATGCCGGTCGCTTCCGAGTGAGGGGAAATGCATGCTTGCCGAATGGACTTGTCTGTTCGGGCTAGCCTGGCAGACTGACGAATCAGCCCATATATTCAAGTTGACACACTGTGCCACCGTTTGATGTAAATCGCTTCACTAATCAGATATTACGTAACAGACAACTTACTGAGCTTGAGCTTTATGAGTCCCAATCTTGCCTCACGCACACCTACACATCCTCTCGCGGGACGTTTACCGGATAATTCTAAATAAAGTCTAAGACTAACCTGAAACGCCGATCCTCAATCTGATTACATTGCAAGCTTAGTCATACACCAGCTAACTCTCCTTCTCGGACCACAATACTCACCTTCCATTTGAACCACCGGCTCCACCATATTTCTTCTTGCCTCCAAAGGCCCGACCAGCAAGAATTTTGGACAAATGGCCCGCTTGTTTGTAACAAGGTTTGTCCTGGCATCACTAGATCTTGCGCAGCCCCTCTCCCCGCCGCCCGCTTACAAAAGTCCGGCTCGGGCATTACATTGATGACTGCACTTTCCTATCTTTCTTGACCATCGACTGACATGTTCTCCAATTCTCATAGGACTACATCACTAGCCGTTTCGCTCTTTGGCGCAGTGTTCAATTTCGCTCTTGCAGTGCGACTACTAGGAGCTTGGCGGTCATTCAAATGGGAACCAGAAAGCGAATGGGAGAGCTCTGAGTATTCCATCAGTAAAGATGGAGTGCATCTCGTATGGGCGTTATTGTGCGCATATTTTGTTGCGGCATCTGCCATCTGTCTCTTCGGTCTGGCAGGCATTGTCCGAGTACGCCAACTTTTTTTCTTTTTTTTTATTGCCAAAATCTTAAGCCCTCTTCTCTAGGGCAAAGCGTCATTTGTCCGCATATATCGTGACTACATTGTCGGAGATTTCGTGTTTGGCACCTTGTTTGCAGCCATAGGCTCTTACGCTGCCTTTCGACCATCAGTTCGCTCCAGTATTTGCGAGTTGTTGTCACGCCAGCCAGACACTCTTCGGGACTTCATCGATTTGGGGCTGACTTTGGAGAACTGTGAACCATGGTTTGAGCGGGGAATATTCGTGTTCATGATTGTTCTGATTGTCATCACCGTCATTCGCGTGAGTAAATTTTGCCTTAATAGTTGGTGGCGAGCCGCAAGGCTGACGTTTGTAATTTGATTACGCAGCTTCACTTCGTGTTGGCTTTATCCAGTTACTATACCATTCTTATCAGTCATCAAGGCTTCCATTTGTCATCCCACACACCTCACTATGAGCGGATATATATCCTACCAGTCCATTCAGTGGCAAACAAAGCGCGCTGCACATCCGACGTCGACCTACAATTTGTAGACGCCCCCGTTTACGCTCCGGTCCCGCTCACGCATGTTTCTTCGCAAGTCGCGGAGGAGTTGCTTGCGAATGCGACCGAAGCATGGGTTTCTCGATCACACTCAGGCCAACATGTACGGCCGCCCAGCCTCTCGCTAGCACGTCATCAGTCTGTGGACCTCGGTTCGGGAGCAGGTCAGACCGCTGACTTGATTTCGCTGGAGAACGAAAAGGCATGAGCTCAGGATTGGATGATAACGATGGTATTAACTCTGACATGTTGCGGTGGTGTCTCTGCTTCTCTATGCTCTTGCTTGTATTATTGTGTTAACGAGTTGCTGCTTGCTTGTACATTAGTTATCTCAGTTATTCGGAATCAGAAGGACTAGTGTCGTCCTTTTTGTAATGATGTATAGCATGGAAGCTCTTTGTAGTACTGAACTGAATTCGCAACTCTGACATCAATATATTCCCCTTCCGTTCTGTTTCAGTTCTCTCGTCATGCGGTTCTTCCGAATGTCTTCCTCTTCAGGATCTGATCATTAACGGTGTTTAGCTCTCACAGTTCCCTTCACTTACTTGCTTGACTGTCGCTCGGCGTCGGTATTGCAGTGCAAGATGGGTGTCATATGCGGTGTACTCGCGGGCTAACAATTCACCCACAATCACATGAATATGGTGCGTACATTGTTTACTCTGCGCTCCTGTCGTGCAGTCACATCTGTATGATTCAGACACCCAAAGACATATGCGGATAAAGATGTTGCATCAGCAGAACGCCGTTATACTTCCCGACGCGGCTCCCACTACTAATCTGCTGTGATAAATCTACGATGTAGTTGTTTCTCATGACATGACCACATTTCACGCTTCCTTACTGTCCTGAACCTACTGTCATATCTTATACGGGGTCAGCCGTTTGAAACTAGCTAAACTCCGGGGTTTACAGTCATTAAGGCCTTGTCAGTGACTCAGCGTTCAGCAGTCATCGCGTGCCGCAGTTCCTTGTACGTGTGAGTATATAGGTCATCTTCTGTGCGCGATTTGCTAAACTCGTAAGCCATCGAGGCATGCACAGAATATCTTTACCTAATGTCCGGTGATCTGGATCATTCTATTCTTCCATTGCGCAGTTGGAACAGTTTGACTATTCCTCCTACGACTTGCACTGATCATGTGCAACGGCAGACCAGAATACTAGATAAGAAGATATCGTAAAGGATCTTGGCGCACAACCTAGGCCAGGTTTTGATAGGCCGGTCCGCCCTTTCCGGGCCCCGGCTCTCGTTCATCTGGTTCTAGCCCGGGTAGTTCCTGTCGAAGTTCGATGGACACATGTCGGACATGTGTTTCGAGCTACGCCGAGCACCAGATCCCAATTTTGGATTTCAAGATGTGACTCAGAAAATTGGACTTCTCGCCCCCGTGACTCAATACCTCGACACGCCTGCAACTGCCCGCGGTCTGGGGCGAGTAGTGCTTCGGAGAACATCTTAGCAAATCCATTCAAGAACCTCGATGAAGGACTCGAGATCACTGAAATTTACGTCCAATTGACCCCGTTGCCGCACACGACGAGCACGAGTGCGGCTGGCGGTTGTGCATGCCATCCATGCTCAGGAAGCGCCAGCAGCTTTAAATTCCGTAGAACATTGCAGTGGCAGGCACAGACCCCGAGTCTGTGCAGACTTGTACCCAGACCGGCCATTTCAGACACATCCTCGCAGTTGTGGTCCTATTGCTAGTGCAGGTGTAGTTCAACTCCGACGACGCGTTCTGGATCAACATGCATACGTGACGTTGACTTGATCGGCTATAATGTCCTCGTGTATCTAGATGCACGGTTCGCCGATTCGCCCTCTTAGATTTGGCTTGCATCTCTAAATGTCACTCTACAAGTTAGCGTGACAGGGTAGTTGATGTCGAGAGGGACTACTTACACCATTGACCACATAAATCACATTCATATTTATGCTAAGAATCTTGATTTTGGCATCTACGTTCTCACAATGAACTTGCACCAAGCTGACAAGAAATTGGTTAAGTAGGGTCTTTCAAGCATCAACGTTGCAACTCTGAACACACTTGCTGTCATTTAGATATTCGATGAAGTTCTTTTCGGTGACTGTCTCGAAAGGCTGAACGACTGGGCACCATCTTGTTTGTAAAACCATTCGATCAAAGACCCACTCGCGTCCATGACATAAAGTGCCGGCGTGCGATGCGTAATATGGCTTCGTCGATGCTTGTCGAAAGAATTCCCTGTGAAGAACGAACGTACAAAACGACTGAGTGTGCATGCCAATACTTACATCATTTCGAGAAATGTGTGACAACCGAGTCTTACATAAAATTTCGGCGACTGAGATCATCTACAATGTCAATGGAAGGAATGAGGGAAACATATTCTGCACGCTCAACATCCGTCATGCTCGCACGACCGTCAAAAATCTCCGCCAAAGAGCGTGTGCTAGGACCGGTATCGGCGATGCGAAAGGTCTGGATTCCGGTCTGTGTGAGTGGCTCTAATGACTGTCTTTGTTTGAACGCTACGTCGATCGTGATCGAGGAGAGGTTGGGGCAGGAGCAGGACTGCATTCGGGCGATACACAGCGATCTCGACATTTGTCGAGTAGGAACTGCAAGACTTTGTAGGCGAGACCTGATTTGATTGATGTAAGGCCGAAGAAGGGCTTCGCGATGACTTGGTCAATGGGTGGCGCCCAAGTGCTGATGAGAGTGGACGTCCTCGTGATCCCTTGAGTCACGAGTCCTAGGAAAAAGCTGCTCGCTGCCGGTCTCCGTCGTCGACTTCTACCAACAACCTGCACCATAAACTGAGCAGACTTGCAGCAGCCTCCGTCGGCATACTCTGGTCAGCAGTATGGGAGCCATCTTTGATGCGGGGAACAAGTATTTGTGTTTGAGGAGACAGTAGTGAGATATATGGGATAGAGTTTCAGTTGACAGTCGCCCGAAAGCCTCGGATATGCCATAAATCCTTTGTGCAAATGCCTGGATTGGATGGTCTGTTCGACAAGTAACCGAGTTGACTCAGCCGACCATAACTGTGTCCAGACTCCAGAGCTGAGACATCGTGCAACACTGCATCTAGTTGCTACTCGCGTTCGCTGGTAATGGCGCTGATGATGTCGCCTTTGAGTTCAACAGAGTGGTCGGTGTTAGGAAAATAGGCTTTAGTGTGCGGGGTTTCGAGATCTGGCATCTCATTATTTGCCGCATCAAACATACGGTCAACCGCTATATACGTGAGTGCTTTGGGAATGAGCAAGCTGAAGCAATTGGTCATTATTCTCAATTAGCACGACTAGTTTTCACTAACTTGGTACTTACAGCGCGTCTGAAGCTAGGATGAAATTGACTTGTAAGGTGTTTGCATGTTGTCACGGTTTCCCTTATGTTGGTTGAATGGTTCAAAGTCAGACTTTTACCGTAATAGTCATGATATATGGTGATGCCGGCATTTTCTATTTTGCGATTCGTCAAATAGAGCTCAAGCGCTGGCTCTGGTGTCACGGTGTTCGGGATGACGGTCGTGCTTTGGCCGCCACTGTTTCTATCACGGTGAGTGTCTTATTCTCAGCTTGTCGAATCTCTGCTGCCTAATACTAACTAACTACTACCACTGAGTACTACCATAAGCCTCAGCTGTCGATATATCAGCCTTGAGCAGGCTTGTTAAACAGTTGAAAATACTAAAAAAATTTCATAGTACTTTCTTCATGACGTCATGACCCGGATGGGGACGTAGGTGCAGGTAAATGCCCCTTACTATCGCACTACTCATGCACTCCTGCCTCCAGATCTGTGAAGTTCTGCGGAACATTTTTTCGGCCTTAAACAATTATGAAGACATCACACTTGACGTACAGGAACCATCCAGGCCCGTTGACGGTGTGGATGTTCGACGCCAGACTCTCGCACGTCTCGCCAGGACTTGTCGCACATTCTCGGAGCTTGCTCTGGATGTGCTCTGGGCTCACATAGATACTCTCAACCCTGTAGTACAATGTCTCCCCAGGCACGTGTGGTCTCGACATCGTCACAGTCGTAGTCTGGTAGGTTTCCGGTGTTCTATGATTACACTCATGTCTCAAACGGCGTGCAGAAGATAGATAGTTGCGTTCTGATTGTTCATTGGCGGGGCATCGAAAAGTACCTTATAAGGGTTCGCGCCCTTGGCAAACTGGGGCGTAGTGCCATGGGTGACATGTCCCAGGAACTTGCGCATACCCTCTGCAGTCATCCCTGGCCTTTTTTACTCCCTCGCCTTGAAAAACTATCTTGGTCGGACAGTAGCCATGAATCTACTCACCTTCTTTCCAACCTTCTCAGCCCCACCCTGACTGAGCTTCATCTACACGCGACGGGTAACCTGTTTATGCTTTCGGTTTTATCAAACCTGGGAGTTACATGTCCCCTCATGAAATCCTTCTCCACCACTGGCTTTAATTCAGCTGCATCCATCCCGGTTTCAAAAGCTGTTGTATGTGGTTGGCACCAGCTCAAGACCCTTAGCACAGAAGCCATCGATGGGCCCGCCCTATTTCACCTCTCCACTCTTCCTTTCCTTACAACTTGCAACTCTCATTTCTATCCCTGAATAGGGACTCCTCCAAATACAGTCCGACCACATTTTCAAACCCTCTTCGCCATCTCACAATCCGTGCGCAGAGTTCCGAGTTATGCATACCTTTCCTTGAAGCAACGTGGATACCTGCGAGAAGAGTATCCATCTCTCTCGGGAACATCCCGTGATCTTCCAGTAACGAAACCTTTCTTTTGCTCCTTGCCTCTCGTGTAACAGCGCAACAAGTGCAAGCTCTCTCACTCGAGTTGACTTGCGATTCACTGCTTACGATCAGTGAAATCATGCCACTCTCCTCATTTTGCACGTTGGAAGAACTAACGCTGCCATCCCACTCTGCCAACCTTACTATAAATGACCAAGACCTCGTTAGAGCCATGAAATCGTGGCCCAAGCTGAAAAAATTACGCCTGGGGGATGAGGCCACGTGGGTAACACCAGCGCGTCCTCAAATCACCCTGGATGGGTTTGCCAGTCTGCTTTTGCATTGTCCAGACTTGAGAACTCTTGGCATCGGCATGGACGCCACCTCATACAGTGTTGTGACACCCGAGGTTCCAGGGGGTGGGGTAACCAACACCAAGATCACTACACTCTCTGTCGGGGAATCGCTGATCGACAATCCATTGGCTGTCGCCGCCTTCCTTTCCTCCGTTTTACCAAACTTGAAGAACATTCTGTACACTAAATTTGAAGTTGTACCACATCAAACGGAGAGACGACACGAGAAATGGGCGAGAGCTGCAACGTATCTGCGAGATGTGCATATGATCAAGAAGCAGGAGAGGGTTAGATTGGGGATTCACTAGTTCATGTAGTGCAGGTTTGTATTCTCAATTTCTCATTCGAAGTCGTCCCTGACAATTACATTACGTAAATGTAATAATGATATTGATGGTTTTAGCACTTATCATCGCTGTATGTACTACTAAGTAGAGAACCAAAGCGCAACGCCAAATTTACACCAAGGCGCCTCCTCACCACACTTTCAAAAGAAGACAATGGCCCATGTTCGCGAGCGATCTCTTTCACCTGAGCTTTCTTCAGATTCGCTTCTAAAGCGATTAAAAACGACACATTCCTCGTCGACATCGACCGTGGACCATCGGTTGCGCTTCGATCCTGGTCTCTTTGGGCCAGAAAATGTGCAGAAATTGCATCAGGATTACGCTGACAGTGAACCGTTCAAATATGCGATTATCGAAAAGCTTTTCCAGGATGATCTTCTCAAGAATGTGAAGGATGAATGTATGAAGGAGCTGAGCTTCACTGAGAAGGAGACAGACATATACAAGGTAACTCTCCTCGATCCTAATCGACTATCTGTTATCCGAGATCTTTTCCCTAGGTAAATCAAACCGGAGACCTTGCATCACTCTCGTACCTCTCTGAGGCTCAACTTGCACTTTTTCCAAACCTCCTCGCTCTCCGCGATGCACTCTATTCTTCAGAGTTTCGCAAGTTCATTCAAGCTGTCACTGGGTGTGGACCACTCTCCGGAACGAAACAGGACATGTCTGTCAACTCGTACACGCAGGGGTGTCACCTACTTAACCACGACGATGTGATTGGAACCAGGCGGGTATCGTACATCCTCTATATGCCCCTACCATACAGCCAGGAATGGCAAAAAGAATGGGGAGGTGCTTTAGAATTGTATCCTGTTCAAACTGGCGCCGATGGGATCCCTGAGCCCGAGGCTGCACCATGCAAAGCTATCCCTCCAAGCTGGAATCAATTCATTTTCTTCGAAGTGCAACCAGGCAAAAGCTTCCATTCTGTAGAAGAGGTGGTAGTAGGAGGGGATGGCAGGGAAAGACTTAGCATAAGTGGCTGGTTTCATGTAGCACAGGAGGGTGAGGAGGGGTATCAAGCTGATCAAGCAGTTCCTGAGCTCAAAAGCTCACGAGAACAGTTGGTGTGTCTTGGAAGATGTACTGTCTGTGCATTCGTCTCATCAGGACTACTACAGACATCTAGCTCTACCACCTTTGTTGCATATCCCGACTTGGAGTCACTCTATCCAGATGGACCGCTCCGAAGAGAATATATCTCCTACCTCTCAAAGTTCCTAAACCCAGTTTACCTTCAAACACGCACGATGAAGGCATTGATGGCACGTTTTGTCGTGGAATCGAGTATTGAACTTCACCATTTCCTTTCCGCGTCTCTCGTATCGAAACTTGAACCTGACCTGCGTAGGGCAGACGAAGCTGATGGTCTTGATGGTGAGACTCGCCAGGGGAGGATACCACCGCACACTGCTGGCGTCTCTGGTGCATGGTCTGCGCGAGGTCCACCACACAAATGGCGTTACTGTACGCTTCAAAAAACAACGGAGCCCTTACGTGAATCAGACACAATCCTTCGTCAGTTGCAAGACGAAGTTTTCCCAAGTGATGCGTTTCGCGCTTGGTTAAGCATCATGACGAAGTTGGTGCCGCTGAGCTATGCCGTAGAAGCGCGAAGGTTTAGACCAGGCTTGGACTACACTCTTGCAACGAGCGAGGGGGACGAATCGCGATTGGACGTAGTGTTGGGATTAACGCCACAAGTAGAAGTTGAAGAAAATGAGACGCGATCGAATGGCAAGTCGAAGGCGGATGAAAAAGACGAAGAGGACGAAAAGCCGCATGGTTGGCAGGCTGGGGAGTGGGGAGGATGGGAGGTTAGGCCAAGATCTTTCTCATCGATATTTGCTGATTTATTCATTGTCCAGTGTTACATGGCGCCCCATGACGAGGATGATGATCCAGCAGTCTATCGTTCTGGGTCGAGCAAAAATCACCAAGTCAACGATACTTCTGGCGATGATGACGATGACGACGAGAGCACTTTGCTAACCATTCAGCCTAGCTTTAACAGACTCCTTCTCGTCCTGCGGGACGAGGGCGTTATGCGCTTTGTCAAGTACGTGTCAGCTGCTGCTGCAGGCTCTCGGTGGGATATCTGCGCTGAATTCAACGTGGGGATGGTTCAGGATGAGGAGGAAGATTCATGAACTGCATTCGGTATGTCCATGTAGACAACGGAATTTTTGTGAAGCTATCTACCGTTAGGGTGTACATGTCGTGTATCTCGCTATCCTTTGCCATCGTGATATCCTAGAAGACAATCTTCTGACCTTGGCTGGGTATGATAGCAGCCGATTCACGTGGCGCTTGGGCCAATGCGGCACCAGGTTTCGGGCGTCCTCGAACCCTGTCAGCTTTTATATGTCGTGGACCCTCCTTTTGATTCCGTCGTGTTGGTTCTGCGTCATCTTGTTGTGGGATGTGTTCTTTTTCATCTTCACCACGCGTTCCCGGGCGTGGTTGAGATCGTGGACGTGACTCAGTCGCGTCGGATTGCCGACCACCATGTCTTTTGCCAGGACCACTTTTGTGTTCGCTTTGTAATCTTGGACCGCCGCCTCGACGGACTGCATCAGCAGAGGCATATTCTACAACTAGATCTCGACCATTGAGACGGTGGTTGCGAGGATTGAGCAGGGCGGCAGTTGCATGTTCGGTGCTGGTAAAGTCAAGGAAGGCAAATCTGGATGTTTCCGTTGGTATTACATGCGCCTTGTACGACAAAGCACTCACCCTTTACATGCACCACTGTCTTCAAAAGTTCCCATACGGACCTTTCGTAACCAAACATCTTTTGTGACATTGTCATCCTCCCCGGCACTAGCCTCGGCGTCATTCGCTTTGACACCCTTTCCAGCCTTTTGTGGGTGTCTATGAGCCTCGAAGAGTTCACGAATCGAGTCCACAGTAGTATAAAAACCAAGATTTCCAAGGAATAATGTTTGTGCAGGAGGCTGCTTCTGTACACGCAGAATCTTCTGTTGAGTCTTCGTCAAGCCGCTCACTGATTTGCCTGCAGAGGGACCCTTGGCGTCCTCTTGTGTTCCCGCCGGTGGTGTAATTGTGGGACGGCCCACAAAATCATTTCCTACATATACGCGAATGCAAGCTTAAACATCAAGTGCGTAGGGTAAACCGCATGCATACGTACCATCTTTGATCAGCAAATTCCGACCGTGAAGCTCTCGTTCGGACTGGGTTATTGCTATGACTTTGGCATCTGGCGTAGCAAAGTCGACGTAGGCAAAGCTAGCTTGTCTTCAGTCGATTACGCGTTTAACAGGCAAACAATTTAGCTCACCCCATATTCTCTCCTTTTGTTCCTTTTTTTGTGGGCATGTGTATTCGCGTGATCTCCCCAACGCCATCAAAGAAATCTCGCAATGTATCCGGTGTAGTATTGAACCATAGATTGCCTACCCAGACCGAATTCTGACGCTTCGGCTTGCTATTACCAGCAGGCTTCGAGGGTTTCGTAGAGACGCCAGCTTCGGAACCATCTGTTACCTTTCTCTTTTTCGACGGCCGATCTTGAGCTTTCTGCTCTTTTTTCTTCTGTCTGCGTTTTTCGGCGTGAGACAACGCGACAGAGTCATCTGGGACTGGTGCATTATCTGCTGTGTCTGTTTCGTGCGCTACATCATCGCATTCTTCGGTAACTCTCTTTCTCTTGACCTGTGGTGGGCTAGAAGAGTCTGATGAGGACGCCGCAGATGACATTTTGGAAGTAGACTTTTCAAAGGAACTTGTAATGATATCAGTGAATCATGTGAGGACACACGTGACAAGAGCTCACGCGATTTCCATGAAGCTTTGTGGTCAATCACGATTTAACAATTACACTTGCTACATCGTTCATAGTCAAGAAATCCAAAAAAAACCGCCCTACGATACGTCTATCGAGAGTCTACATACATTGTCCATCTAAGTATTACATTCTTGCAATTCAGTTAAAGGGTATATTTAATAAACGGCTGTGGACTAGGTCACCAGTAAAGATGATATCCTGCACCTTCAACCTGTCCTTGTATCTTTGCAGCGGTCTTCAAATGGTATAGAGATATAGGTTGTTTACTATGATGTTGGATCAATCAGAGATCTCACGGCAAATGAAAATGAAGACAAGTACCGAGAACGCGCTAGTGCTTTGGCTGTAGTATGAATGTTCCTCATCGCCCGACCTGCCAAATATTGATGCGACCGTCTACAAGAAGGTGGGTTTACTTACCGTTGACTGCAACTCTGGACAGCTCCTCGATGTCTCGACGAGATATATTGTCTGCTTCCTCTGTGAGCATACTGGACCACATAGTTTGGCGGGAATCGCCATCTAATTCAGGATACTGGATAGCTGTAAGAGTGACAGGTGAGCGTGGGATTGATAAGTTAGCAAATAAACCTGTACTGATAGCAAAATGCGACATGTAAGCAGTACATGTAGTTCTCGCAGTAACAAATACAATGCACCGATGCCGCTCAAAGAAGTCGAGTATCGCCGAGATGCGATGGTGTTCCTCCATCTGATCGCAGGTCAGGGTAGCACAAGACGGAGACACATAATGCGCACTATTGGCTCGTGCCTCTGAGTCTGCATGAGAATCTGGATGCAAGTTAACTCATGATTGAAAAAAAACATGTAAAATACCGCACATCCCCAGCTTCAATCAATATTATGGCATTCCATGACCTTGCTATCTGTGAAATGCTGAATTTGCATCAAGGTGGACAACAGTGCATGAACATACATCCAGACGGGATGTCAACGTGTCCACAAGTGAGGTCGTATCCAACGGAAGGGAACATACTGCGAGAGAGTGCAACGGCCGTTTAAAATGTTCCGCTATAGCTTCAACGGTCGCCGTTTTGCCAGTCCCTGATGGTCCATGCAGTAGTATAACCTGCCAGCGAGAGGTGCGCCGTAACATTCGATATTATTTTTGAACGAACAGGTAACTTGACCTACCAAGCCCGATTGTTCTTCATCTGCCATGGCCTCCTTGCTGAAGTCGAATGCACCCACAACTCCTTCGATGACATCCTGTCGTAATGAGAAGATGAAAAAATATCTGAGTTAATTGGCTTTACCTTTGAGTCTTCGTCAAGCACAATGTGCTTCCAGGCATTTTCATTGAATCTTATTGGCTCGACTTCATCAACGTCAAAGAAGCCCCACGACTTGCAAGAAGCCAGGCACTATCAGAGGTGCTCAAATGTATACTTTTATGTAATTACCTTGCGTTCCAGATCAAAACCTGGCATGAATCGCGGGAGAAGAGCGATATTATCTTCGGGCACAGGCGGGATGTTATCGTTGTCTCGGGCCTTGCTTCTGTCTTGAAGAAGGGGGTATGGGAACGAAGTTTCATCTCTAGTCGTCAATGAGATCACACAATGAATGACTGGCAAACAATTCCTTACGTGTGGTTGTAGCCGAATGTATTCCAGGCTAAGCGATCAACTATGATCCGTCGCTGTTGGAGACGACAGGTCAGTGAGAAACCATCCACCTATCTCATGATCGGGCGCACTCCTCTGTCTAAGAGAGGTAAGGTTGACTTAATAATTCAATAACAATTAGAGAACGCACGAAGTTTGTAATGGAACCCCGCTAGTGAGGCGTACTTCCTGCCGCGCTCTAGAGCCAGGGTTAACGTGGGACATTTGCGGGACATGTGCTCTTACCTGTAAGTCGTTTACATATCTCAGGCGTCATCTCGAAGGTTTGAAAATCAGCCAAGATCAACGACCCCTGAATGTCATTAGTACAACGAAAGTAGGATAGTATCGGGAACAGACCTCAATTAGTTTAACCATCCGACCTCGCTCGACCGTAACCCACTTGGTTCCGTTCCAGAATGCACCCTCGCCGTTGAGGGTGAATGTTCTGCAGAAGAAAATGGGAAAATGGCATTCCCACAAGTAACATTTATAACTTACTGGTCAAAGTCATCGTAAAAAGTTGAGATCAAGCGGAATGCATCCTGAATATTTCATCTATCTGAGCGTCTCGCAGAGTATTGTTGGTTCTCTCACAAAATCATCATTATCGTCGAGGTAGTAGTACTGCTGATTCTTCCGGAAGTAGAACTCCAGCAGATCGAGCGGTATGCGACCGTGTACTACTGCATGTTTCAATCGTTCAGCTCTACGGGAAATCAGATACCAAGAGATAAAAACACAGGACATGTCGCACATTGATTTGAATTCTTCTTTAAGCAGGAGTAAGAGAATGTCAAGCTGCTGGACTGCGGCCGTAAGGTACGTGCGCACGTCGCCGTCTGCCATCATAAAAGGTATGAAGCGAGTTACCATAAAGAGTACGAGCTACATACCATGTAGACCCTCATGCGCATGCCCGAGCGCTTTCGCACTTTGTACGATGCCATCATCTTCGTTATCTTCCAAAGCCTTACGTGCGCCACCGGTGCGACTGTCCAACGAATCTAGCTCCACAAGCAGCTCGTCGATATGAACTTGTGGATCTTGGCTCAAGCATTCACCCCCCACGATGGAGCTGCAGAAGATAAATGATTCATCATCTGATAAACTGAGTGCTTAAATACACCGTACCGTAAGCAGGCGAGTAAAATGGGACTAAAATCACTGAAAACCAGTTTTGGTTTCTCTACATACTGGTACATCAATTGCAGCTATGTAATGCCTGAGAGCGCACCTTCATCTGTCTTCCGTCGAACGTTTAAGTAGAAATGAGTAGGCTCCTGGGTGGCTACACGGGGAGTCTGTTCGATGTATTCGTAGGGTTTCCAGCAATCATGAAGGTAGTTCCTAGAATTAATCAATAAAGATCGCCCGATTATATTGACTGGAGAGTGTGAACCATTGCTGCCACCTTCGAAGGAAGCCATTCTCTTGTCTCTCGGTTATGCCGGACTTGCATTCTTCGAGCGTCACAGGCCTTGACGTGCTGACTGGAGGCGGTACCTTGATTACAGGTGAAGGCATGTCCACAGCGGGAGGTAAGGAAGTTGTCGACGTTCCGGGAAGTGGCTCTCTAATCGGTAGCGGGGACTCGGTGGTATCGGCGGAGGGGATAACTTGCACGAGTGATTCCTGTGTGCTAGACTTTTTCAGACACGTCAAAAGGAGAGAAAGCTGTTTATCAAAGCGTTAGATCGAAAGGTATTTTCCATCACTTTATACTCTCATGCCAATGCCGTCGGATTTGTCAGTTTGAAGTGTGATGGCGTCGTGTGCAGTCGTGTGACTCACAGATAAATCTAGTGGGGGTTTACTGGGAAGCATCGACCCTCACTTGTAAGCACATGGCGTATTGCCGCATCTGTACGTGAGTGCCGCATTTTCCGTTCGATACAAAAACTGGCGATACGAGCCCCACTAGCATAGGAATGCTTCATTTGCCAAGGCACTTGTCATTCTGTGATATGGGGCACTGGTCACTGTGGAGCCATACAAAATGTTATCAAGGGCCGTAACCAAGGCTCGGAGCTTACATTTTGAGCTTTAAATTTGATCAATGAAGCCAGGACCAAGCCAGGACAACACGTGAGAAAGCGGATGAACTAGTAGCTTGACCTCGCTCCGCGACAATCACGGCCTGACCAGTTATTGCTCAGACCTGTGCGAGAGGCGCGCGCGGTTGGCCAGTATTGCATCTAACCTAGTTGTACCATACTAGTACCGTAAATAAGAGCTCGTCCCCAAATCCGAATCGGTTTGGGCGCGGGTGTGCGGGATTTTCGGGTCCCTGAGTGTGCTACTGAGTCCTGACTGACCAATAGACTGTGTTTGAGTGTCGGTATTAATATTTAAGATGTATATATAACACTAGCCTGAGCACAGCGGTAACATGAGCATATGTCTCAAAAAAAGAAAAGAGGATGAATAATTCGGCAGGTTTACTGAACGTGTACAGTGTCAGCATGTACGTGGTAGACGCCACTCCAAAAAAAATTGTCCGCGCCCAGAGCTCAGCTGCCACTGGCAGCCAGTGGACGCACGTGTGGTACCTGCAGCTGCACGATTCCAGGAACCGGCACCCGTGTCAGCCGCATCAAGCTTTCAAGTTCGAGAACATGCCATTTTGCACAAATGGATTGCGTAAGTAGCCTATTGCGTGCACCGTTCCAGTCGGTAGCACATCAAACCAAAGCTCTAGCGCAGAATCTCGTATATCATTAGCCTAGGGCATATTCAATATTAAACCTACAGTACAATGAAACACCGCCCAAAATATTGTCACTGAATCTTCCTTCTCTGAGCTTCCTCCAACACACTCTTCGGTCCGCGCTTCGCCATCGCCCAAAGAAAGATGACCACGACAATAGCGAACTGAAACCACAACCACAGCTCCAAGACGAACGATACAAACCGTCGCTTCTGAGGCTTCTGAAGTCGCTGACGAAGGGAGGCTGGCGATGCAGAAGCTGTCCTTGGTTCATCATCTGTGAGACCGCGGGAAAGGGAATGAGTGCGATGGCGGCTTATGCTATCCACGAACTCGTTTACGAGTCTTTGAGGAACTGGAGTGAAAGGACGGGCGAGATCAGCAGAGCTCCCCCTCTGCGGAGCAGAGAGAAGTGTTGCTTCAAAGCGACCTTCAGTCCAGTGGTTTGTGCGCATGCGAATGGTGTGCGACTTGCGGCACTTCTTGTCTGCAAGTGTTTCCACGTGCGCATTGGGCGGACTATATGTCAGGGGCTCAAAATCATGAACACCGTCTATTTTCAAGCTAACTTGCCCCGCAAACGAGGTGGAAGATGTGGAGGGAGCCGATATATAACTAGAAGACGGAGGAAAGGATAGCTTGTCTGTCGGGGAAGGAGTGCCGGAATCCGGAACGCCAACGGCGTTGCCAGCGGATAAAGAGGGAGAAAGCGATGTAAGATCGATTAAACTCGGCGTGCGGAAGTGGTCATTCTCATGACAGTTGTCCCATGCAAGCCCTAGCTCATTGTCAAGAGTCTGGGGGCCCGTAAATTCTGTGGCAGGCAATGCTGCAGCTAGATGTGATGGCAGGTCCAATTCTTCGGGGGTCACAGGTTCTGTAATGGGCTGAGGGACAAAAGGAACGGCCGATAGACCAGGAATAATCAGTGATTGTACAGATGGTGGATCACTGGCATCAGATACAGTCGGGGGGTCAAATAATCCAACAACAGATCGACGTGTGCGATGATGTGCAGGTAGAGGGAAGAGCTCTGGAAGTATTGCGTGCCGCATACTACTTTGTCTGTCTGGTTCGATGCCGCTATCAAAATCGACTGAGGAATCCGCGAGCATAGACCGACGGAGACTGGCGAAACGAATTGTCTCGTCTTCCTCGTCATGCTCATTTTCCTCGTGGACACCGGGATTCTCGAAGCTGTCATCTTCAGCCAGCCAGTCAATGGCATCGACATCACTAAGGCTCTCATATAGGAGCTGGATGCTTGCAGCGTCTCTTTGAACCGACTGAAGCGATGCCGTCGTTTTTTCTTGCTGCACCGTTATTTGTGAATTAATCTGTTCAAGCTCACGGATCTTTTGAAGGAGCTGCGACACGAGCGCATATTCAGGCGTTGCCGGGACTGGCAACTGAGCGGGGGGAGGAGACTGTAACTGGGGGAATGATCGAGAGGAACCGTTGTATAAAGACATCTTTCTTGAAAGCTTGCTGTCCGTAGGGGCCGAACGAAAGATGGCTTCAGAAGCATGCCGGCGTAGACACTGCGATGGACGCTTGCGTTTCTCTGACCTGCCTAGCGCGGTAGATCTCTTCGAGACCCCTTGAGATGCAAGAGCCCCCCCTGGCGCAAAGTCCCGTACTTCTCCGTCATTCGCATCGCTCTCGCTCCTACCCCGTAGGGCGCGGACCCGCTCTTCTCTCTCATGTCGCCTCTTCGACGCTTCCTCAGACTCGAGGTTGGGACTAACAAGTTTTGCCTTGTTCTCAAGCTCGTCGCTCCTGGCACGAGTTGTTTCGAGCTCCTCTCGGAGCCCTTGAATCTCTTTCTCCAAACAGCGCAATTTTCGCCGTCCCGCTTGATCAGTCTGAACAGATTCAGATTCAAGCTTTTCTAGCTTAGAAAGGAGCTCAGCATTCTGATCGGAAAGTAGAGCAAGGTCCGCAGGGGAGACAGAGACGCGTCTCTGCGACCGGCGCGAGCGAGATGCACTGGTGCTCGCGTGGGAGGAAGAGGTATTGGTATAATAATGAGGGGAGTGTGGAAGAGGTGTTCCGGGAGTAGTTGGAGAGGACGCCGAGGATCCGGATGGAGAGACAGACGCTGATGAAGTGGGCAAGCGAGCGAGAAGCGCCTTGTGCTTGTTCTGGAGCTCTAGATTATTTTCGTACAGTGATTTACAGACAGCTGTGGTGAAACTGAGTTCTACACAGGGACAACGATTTGAGTACATTTCTCTAGAATAAAGCATCAAAGGACACACCATTTTCTCGGTCTTTAATGAGCTCATCAGCTTTCAGGAGGAGCTCAGACAGCTCCTCACGAGACCTCCCATTCCAATGTTGAGGATGATTAGTAGGAATGTCATCCCATGCAGCGATTGCAGATGCGGACTCTCGTTTCAGATCCGAGGAGTTATCCAGTGGATCATCAAGAAGCGATGTGGCAGCGTACGGAGGAGGTGGGGATGTTTTGACGTGGGTAGAAATTCTTCGTACCCGACCTGGCGGTCGTGGCCGAGGAGTGGTCGTCACTGACGCAGACAGCATGAGACAACTCAGAAGGTAGACGCAGATAACAGATATAGCGGTCAAACAGACGAAGGGTCAGTCAACGCTCGGGTCCGATCCTCGTTAGCTGATGCTTAGCACTGGTGATAGAGCGAAAAGAGAAAAGGAGACTCAGTGATACGTTCTGTGACGTTTCGTGTCCCATACATATAAGACTTGTATGAAACAGCAGAAGTTCGGCTTAAAATTATCATTTACATTAAGACCGCGTGAGTTATGAGTTCTACTACTTGTCATGCATCATATGTAGCATAAATAAAATGCCATCATCAAGGCCGCCTGGCGAAATGGCATCGCGTCTGACTACGACTTTGTAATCAGGAGATTGCAGGTTCGACCCCTGCGGTGGTCATTATATTTTCCTGTATTTCGGGACACAGCTATTTTCTTTTGTGTAGCGACAACCGCATGAGACAATATTGTCTGACTCCTGGAATTCGTGGAGGCTGCTAGCTTAAATTTAAGTTACATCGTTTGACATGGCAACATAAGGAAGTTTAAAGTCCATCTCACACTCAATAATACTTTTAAATTACTAATGCACGAACTTACTTTCCGAGGAGGCCACGACTAATATTAATTCAATGCAACATGAATGATAAGAATAACAACACATCGATGTCTGGTAAGTTTGAACTGAAATATCAAACTATCAAATGTGACAGCGGCGCTCCGCGTTACTTGATGCATCGTATATTTTACACACCAGGGTCTAATTCACCCAACAGCATAGTTCCGTCCTTGCTGCCAGTAAGAACTGTAGACACGTCAGTAAAAATCAACCAGACAGAAGGGAAATCTTACTGATAGGTTCTTTTGGATGGAAGTCTACACAAGTGACTGTGCCCCTGTGCCCCGGCAGCTAAAAGATGGTAAATCACACGCAAGAAGTCGAATGGGATAACACCAACCTTGTACAACACACGCCCACTGTCGACGTCCCAAACACACACCATCCGATCCGCACCACCAACCGCGACCCGTTGTCCCCCATCGTCCTTGCTCCATGCACCTTTCAAAAGCGTGTTCTCGAAACCAGCTGGAGCACCCTGCAACACACGGTGTATCCTCGTTGGCGAGGGCGAAAACGGGCGTACATCATGGATGACGGTATGAGATGAGAATGAAGGTGAGAGGAGGTAGGCACCATTGGGTGATAATGCAAGCGACGTCGGCGTGTCCGTATGACCAGTCAGGGCATAAACCTGCTCGCCCTTGCGCAAGTCATATACATGAATCTCGTTGTCTAGCGCGCCGATATAGAGGTTCTGCCCATCCGCGCTCCACGCGACACTCGTCGCTGGACATCCGAGTTCAAACACTGCAACACTGCTCTTCGAACCATCTTCTCCACCCTCCCACACACGTACAGTTCCATCGTCCGAGGCGGTGGCAATGAGCTCGATACCAGCACCGCCTGCCATAGTCCGGTCCAGCGCGTTTATAATTCCGCGATGAGCACGAATTTTTCTTGTTCGCTGGCCGGTGGTAAGATCCGTAAAGGACAGCATTTGGTCTGCGGATACGGTATAAAGGAGCGGTGAGAAGAGGGACCATTGAAGGTCAAGGATGGGCGCTTTGTGGTGGCTAGAGAGGAGGCCGTAGTTGGTATTTGGTGGATACGTCCTCCACAAAGCTATACCTCACTTGTAAACAGTTCGTATAGTACACTCAGAGATGTCACGTACAGACACTTCGGTCCGCTGAACAAGCAGCAATGTTTTGCCCGGTAGGGTCAAATCTACAGCTCAGAATTTCCGCCTTCGAACTCATTAATACACCATTCTAAACGAAAATTGTTTACAAGTCTCACCGAGTGAGATCCGCTCAAGCTAACGATAGGTGCTTCTAGGTTGCTTGTGCGCTTGACGCTTCGTATGAGACCTTTCTGTCGGTCATCGTTGCCAGATGAAATGATAATTTGGTTTTGAGCAGGGGAGTTCGAGCGCGCTCTTTTAATGAGAGTTCCTTCTGTAGATGGCGGTGGAGATGCGCCTCGTTTTGACATCGTGACTGGGTGCTGACCAAAGGATTTGCTGTGAGTTCAAGATGTAGACTCGTCAGTGAATGAAGAAGTTCAGTCTCTCAAAGACAGAAGTGGTCACGTGATTTCTTGTTTTGCAATAAAGACGAGGTGAAGATATCTTGTAACAAGTATCTATGTCAGATCCAGGGACTACTCCAAGAACTTTCTAACATTGATCAGAAATGGTCCAGGTCTCCTCAAAGAGCGAAAATATACAACGATCGCTCTAGTGTATATGCCTGCGCTGCTCAGCCGCCCACCTCACGGCATCACTGCGCCCCTTCGTGACATCAACCCCAAACCAAATCACCACAGAGGCAATCGTGCACATCGCAAACAGGAAGGGGAACCCCTGCCAGTTGTTTCCCGTCTTGTCGATGATGACCTGTATGACATTGGGCCCTACCATGGAAGAGGCGCGGTTGAACAAACCGAAGAGACCGAAGAACTAGTTAATGTGAGTGAACGCGATGGGAATGAGAAAGCGAGTTACACACCATGTTTTCAAAACCTGGCGGACTAAGTTCGGCCATCATTGTCAGAGAGTACGCGTAATAGGGCGCCTGGAAGAGACCAAACATCACGTTGTACGCCCTGATGAGAATATAAAAACACAACGAGACAGGCGCATAGTCTTGACAAACCAGAACTCCCATACGTTGTGGAACCTAATGCACTCCTTAGAGGGATGATGATATCATGAAACAAATCGAATGACACCGACCCAAGTTTTTCTGTCCATATTCCGATCATACCCCATAGCGGAATCAAAATCGTCACGACATTTGTGACCACAAACTGTGTCATTGACAGTCAAATAAAGATAGCATGACAAGGTAGTGATACATACCATCTTCTTTGTGCTGATCTTCCAATATTTCTGGATGTACCAAAAGGCGAGAGTGCTGATTGTCGAAGTGATCGCTTGAGACAAACCCAGGTATGTATTTTGCAGGAACGAGAAACTGAACTTGTCGTTCTGACATATGCCAACAAGGGTTCCAGTAGTATTGAGCCCCTGTCCAAAAATATGTCAGGTGCGGCTTGAGATACGGACAACCAAACAGTACGTCTGCAAGAAGAAAGTAGGAGGACAGATACACAAAGGTGTAGGGAAGATGCTTGTATGTTTTCAGCGCAGCCCAGATCTAACGTTTGCGTGAGCAAAGTTCACGGTATCTCGCTAGATGCTTACCTGCTTCCATCCAATTGTCAGGTAATGTTCACCTTTAGGCAATTTGGGGCCTGGCCTAGATTCCTGGAAGACAACTCAGAGGTTTTCAGCAGGAAGCCCAGAAAGACCAGCCAATGTGTACTCACACCACCAGATACCTAATACCACCCAATATGTGTTGACACTACACATCAATCGGTCAATTGATACAACGACTGGAACTCGCAAACGATAGAAACTCACACTACGATCACATAATTGTCTACCTTAGGGTTGTTCGCCATCGGCAGCAAAAGCGCCAAGTTCAGCAATAATGTGGTTACAAATCCGACATTGCTATGAACCTGTACAAAAGATAGTCAGCTCGTGACAACAACATGAAGCCTTACACAAGACGCACAGTAAAAATATCGGTGATCCTATTCTTTTCCAGCGACTCCTCTTGATCGTAAACTTCAGGAGAAATCTCCCCGGTTTCATACTTCTCTCTCAACTGACGTACACGCGGTGTATTTCGGGCGAGACGAGGGAATAAAGCAGCATAGAAGACTAGAGTAATACTGTATGAGACGAAACTGATGATGGACAGAATCATCGCAAGGACCCATCGATTTGGTGCTGGTGCACGAAATGATCAGACTTTAGAAAATGCGTGGTACCCGGAAACTCACTGGTAAGTGTCATACAAGCATACTGTGCAGCCCAACATACTACTGTGATAGCGAACAACAACCACCGTCCGAATGTACCATAGTCAGCAGCAGAACCGATAGTGGTTAATATAACTGTCATGATGCCGAAACTAATACCATCTGCAGTCAGCACCACACTGGAAACTGACTTTGTTCCGCTACCCCAGGGAACTACGCATTGACCAGAAGCAGTCGTTGCAAGGCATGACGAGCCGGGGCCTACGACGGGATCATATCCCGCCGCTGTGGCAAGCCCTTGGAACAGGGTCTGTGTATAGCCCAAACCGACACCCTGGTTGGAGGCACGTGAAATAAGTAGAGTGGGGGATACGCGAATACCCGGACTGACTCACGTTACCACCGTTAGAGTATACTGATGTTTAGCTTAATCAAGGAATGGTGGGGAGGAAGCACGTGTACTGGAACGCACAGTAATAGCTCAACAACTCCCTTCTAGTCACGAGCGGTTCATCCAAGCTGATCGATGAGATAGCAATGTGGTTCGCGTCCAGGTCAGACCTGATATCCACAACCTGTTTTACATCAGCGTGGAAGGGACGGGCTAAGTCTTCCGAAGGAGGTATCGTGGACATGGTGGTCGAGAACGAGCTCGTAGACCGAACAAAGATGCGTGATTGGCCATGTCACATGTGTGCTCCGAACCTCTCTTTCGCATTTACTAATGGTTACGCGCGTACCTTATGGGGCAAAGGCTGAGCTAGTGTTGTGGGGCAGAGCTATTTTGAAGCAGTTCTGCCGGTAGAACCATGTTCTGCCAGGTGGCAGAATTTGTATTGGTGTAAGACCAGTCCAAGTCTTTGCATCGTGGTTCGGTGACTGTTGGCACTAGTCCCTCGTCAACCGCGTGGTGGTTTCGCAAAGTCGAATGCTCTCTCTTCTAATACTTCTGTCCCATTTACATCCCATCGTTCTTTACCCATCACAAATGTCTTCTAGTCGAATGAACTCAGCATGTTGTCAAGCGAGATAGATTCCGGACCTTCAAGATGGAGCGTCGCTGGAGACTGGCAACTTGCGAGTGGTGGAACAAATGTGAAATCACACTTGGCAACTTCGGTATTACGGCCCGACCACAAAGCCGGTTTTGTTTCCTAGCAAGCCTATCATCTTTCGTCATGCTTTCGGGGAGAGATATAGAAACTGGACATTCAAAAGTATAAACCGACATAGCCCAAATTATTAGGCCAGTTTGAAAACATTCACATCCAAAGTCGCTGTTAAGTACTGAGTCGTACTCCGAATTCAAACACTGGGTACCACGCGAAACTGCAGCAACGTCGGAAAGACGATCAGACGGCCTCCAGGCTCCTTTGAAAGTGAATCGAACTTGGCCAATGTTGTATCCTGACATGATGGATATATCAGAAATGCCCGAAAATCGTTCTAGTGTGTGTGGCTGCGCTGCTCAGCCGCCCACCTCACAGCATCCCTACGCCCCTTCGTGACATCAACCCCGAACCAGATCACCATCGAAGCAGCCGCGCACAACGCAAAGAGGAACGGGAACCCCTGCCAGTTGTTCCCCGTCTTGTCAATGATGGCCTGTATCACATTGGGTCCTACCATAGAAGAAGCGCGGTTGGACAGACCGAACAGACCGAAGAACTGGCCAATGTAAGCCGAACGCAATGCGATGGGAAGCACGATAAAGCCAAAATACACACCATGTTATCAAAACCGGGCGGACTAAGCTCGGCCATCATTGTCTGGGAGAACGCGTAGTAAGGCGCCTGGAAAATGCCGAACACAATGTTGTATGCCCTGGGAAGAATATAAGAACAAGGTAGAAAAAGTGAATTCTTGACGAACCAGAACTCCCAGACATTATGGAATCTGATGTACATGTTAGAGAGACGATGGGTGGAAAAAACAAGTCGAATAACACTGACCCAAGTTTTTCTGTCCATATTCCGATCATACCCCACAGCGGAATCAAAATAGTAACAACATTAGTCACCACAAACTGTACCGTTGGCAGTCAGATAAACGAGTACGTGAAACACTAACGCCACACACCATCTTCTTCGTGCTGATCTTCCAATATCTCTGGATGTACCAGAAGGCGAGAGTACTGATAGTCGATGTAATCGCCTGTGACAAGCCCAAGTAGGTATTTTGCAGGAACGAGAAACTGAACTTGTTGTTCTGGCAAATGCTAACGAGAGTTCCGGTGGTATTCAGTCCCTGTCCAAGACGTCAGGCATGGCTCAAGAGACAGACAACCAAACAAACATCTGCGAGAAGGAAGAAAGAGAACAGATACACAAAGGTGTAGGGAAGATGCTTGTATGTCTTCAGCGCAGCCCAGATCTGATGTTCGCATGAGTCGATTTCTCAGGAATATTTTACCAGATACTCACCTGCTTCCACCCAATCGTCGTGTAGTGTTCTCCTTCAGGTAAACTAGGGCCTGGCCTGGGCTCCTGGAGGATAACTCGAGATTTTTTAGCAGGAAGCCTACTAAAGACGAGCTACGATATGCTCACACCACCAGATACCAAGTACCACCCAGTACGTGGTGACACTACACGTCAATCAATACAACACCTCAAATACCTGGTTGAAAAGAAGCTTACAGCACGAGGACATAATTGTCCACCTTGGGGTTGTTCGTCATCGGCAACAAAAGTGTTAAGTTTAGTAATAAGGTAATTATATACCCGACATTACTATGAACCTATATCGAACGACCGTTAGCTTCCGACAACAAAAGACACAGCCTCTACAACGCACGGTAGAAATATTACTGATCCTATTCTTTTCCAGAGATTCCTCTTGCTCGTAAACTTCAGGAGAAATCTCGCCGTTTTCAAACTTCTCTCTTAATTGGCGTGCATGTGGGGTATTGCGCGCGAGGCGAGGGAATAGAGCGGCATAGAAAACAAGAGTTGCGCCGTATGAAACGAAACCGATGATGTAAAGAACCATCGCAAGGACCCATCGGTTCGGCGCTGCACAAAACGATTAGATGTCAGGAGAAACACGAAACGGCCGGAAACGCACTGGTAAGCGCCATACAGGCATACTGTGCAGCCCAGCATACCACTGTGACAGCAAACAGTAACCACCGTCCGAAAGTGCCGTAATCGGCAGCAGAACCAATGGTAGTGAATATAGTTGTCATTATAGCGAAACTGATACCATTCGCAATCAGCACCACACTAGAAACTGACTTTGTGCCGCTACCCCAGGGAACTACGCATTGGCCAGAAGCAGTTGTTGCAAGGCATGACGAGCCGGGGCCTGCGACAGGATCATATCCCGCTGCTGTGGCAAGCCCCTGGAACAGAGTTTGTGTATAGCCAAGAGGACCGACACCCTGATTGTGTGAAGTATAGATAAGCAGAGCGGGCCCAATAATATTCGACCGACTCACATTGTCACCATTATAGTACACTAACGTTAAGCTTTGTCGGAGAATGACAAGGGACGATCATGTGTACCAGAACTCACGATAATAGCTCCACAACTCCCTTCTCGTCACGAGTGGTTCATCCTTGCTGATGGATGAGATAGCAATCTTGTTCGCGTCCGGGTCAGGCGATTCGTCTGACTTGATGTCCTCAGCCTGCACTACCTCATTGTGGAGGGCGCTGGGCAGAAATGGAGGTGACGTGGACATGGCCAGACCCGATATATCAGGTCAAGCGAAGAAGCACTGTGAAACTGGAGGGTTAGTATTACGGCTGGGCGGTGAAAGGTGAAAATGAAAGATAGGTGATTTTGTACCACATTTTACATTTGGGCCCTTTGGGGGAATTTTCAAATCCCCGAAAAGTAGATCACTCTTGAGCCGCTCCCACCCATGTCCAACTACTAGAGATTACTGTCATTTCGGATCCACGTTTGAGCCAACAAGGTAAGTATTGCCACACCTGAGGCCCAGGGAGGCCTATCAAAGCTCTAATTAGGACAGGCGTGACTGAGGTCAGATGTGTTCTCCATATTATGTACATGTGCATGCTAGATTAATTTTGGTTAGGCGTACCTTATATGGGGGCTTATCACAAGCATGATGGTCACCAGGGCGGCCGGGCCTGTAAGTCGGTGGCTGCATCCCAGCGCTAACTTCTGAATCAAGCTTGGAGCCTATCGTCCATCATCTTTGCGGGGAGAGATATTAAATATCGGAGGATGGCTATCTTTCTTTGATTAGTCTAGTAGGAGAGATTAGAGAACATCTGAATTGAAGTCGTCTGCCCTAGGCAGACCATAATTAACAGAAGGAAGGGTGACTCGGACTCGTCGGTGATTAATAAGACACTCGAGGTTTGCAGGTGGCTGTGCATGCAATTTCTGGACTACCACGAGCGCCGCTGAAGTGTTTGAAACCCCTCAAGTGCAGCGTTGGCAGGCCGCGGATCTAACACCAGTACTGAGAGGATCCGCCATTTTATATCCGCATCGGTCGGGCACCTCACACACCGGCGGTTTTGGAATTTTGCACTATGCAAGATTTGTTTTGAAATGTTAATGATAAAGTTGGCATTCTTACTATACATTTTGACGTAGTAAAAATGAAAAAATTGGATGAGTGGATAAATCTTGGACGAAATTCTACATTTTATGAGTCATTTTGACATTGTAAAAGAAAGACATTTAACCGACAGCAAGATCTGAAGAAAAATGATCGAACATTTTGATTCAAATCTTATATCGGGGTAAAATTCCTTTCCAATAGGTAAAATGTGTTTTATTTAAATTTTCCTCAAATCTCACCTCATGTAAGATTTGAATCAAAATGTTCGATCATTTTTCTTCAGATCTTGCTGTCGGTTAAATGTCTTTCTTTTACAATGTCAAAATGACTCATAAAATGTAGAATTTCGTCCAAGATTTATCCACTCATCCAATTTTTTCATTTTTACTACGTCAAAATGTATAGTAAGAATGCCAACTTTATCATTAACATTTCAAAACAAATCTTGCATAGTGCAAAATTCCAAAACCGCCGGTGTGTGAGGTGCCCGACCGATGCGGATATAAAATGGCGGATCCTCTCAGTACTGGTGTTAGATCCGCGGCCTGCCAACGCTGCACTTGAGGGGTTTCAAACACTTCAGCGGCGCTCGTGGTAGTCCAGAAATTGCATGCACAGCCACCTGCAAACCTCGAGTGTCTTATTAATCACCGACGAGTCCGAGTCACCCTTCCTTCTGTTAATTATGGTCTGCCTAGGGCAGACGACTTCAATTCAGATGTTCTCTAATCTCTCCTACTAGACTAATCAAAGAAAGATAGCCATCCTCCGATATTTAATATCTCTCCCCGCAAAGATGATGGACGATAGGCTCCAAGCTTGATTCAGAAGTTAGCGCTGGGATGCAGCCACCGACTTACAGGCCCGGCCGCCCTGGTGACCATCATCTATCTTTCTTCGATTAGTCTAGTAGGAGAACATCTGAATTGAAGTCGTCTGACCATTGCAGAAGGAAGGTCGGTGATTAATAAGACACTCGGTTTGCAGGTGGCTGTGCATGCAATGCCACTCATTTCTGGACTACCACGAGCGCCGCTGAAGGTGTTTGAAACCCCTCAAGTGCAGCGTTGGCAGGCCGCGGATCTAACACTAGTACCGAGAGGATCCGCCATTTTCCATCCGCATCGGTCGGGCACCTCAGTAGACGAAAGCCAAATCATGATGGTGCGTGCTGCTAATCCGAATTCGCATTCCTTAGTTCCTGCGCAAAGACGAACCAAGTACTCCCAACAGCCTGAGGTTACTAGTTGTGCTGTGTTTCTGCTTTAGTCGCAGTAACCGCCAGCAATTGACCCTTGCAGAGGCTGGATGACGGTTGTAATTTGCAATCGGAGCGCTCAATATTAAGTAGTATTATGCTTTTTGTCATTCCTATTAGCTCTACTTGAATTAAGTTACTGACTATTTGTAGGTGTCAAGACTCATAATATTTTTGGTAACGTTTATAACCGTACTCGGCGTCTGCCAGTAACTGCCTCAGGAGCTTCTGTTCTTCATCGTCCAAGTCCGCTACGAGCTCTTTAATCGGCCTAAAACATTTGATTTTCTGTTTACTCAACACCTGCTCCGCCACATGTTTCCTCCATGCCTCCCAAACTCTTGTATCATTTGGGATCATGCACTCCAGGATTTTCTTCGGCTTGAAATCTGTAGACGATTTCCTCGACTTGTCGACGCCTGCGTGCAAGATAAAGCATGCGCACGCCGCTTCCGATGTTCTGTTGGGGAGCGCAAATTTTTTAATTGGTGGTTCATCGAGCCATTTCCACAGTATATCTGTCTGAATCCTCTCTTTCTCCAGTGACGACAGAAACGAATTGTACGCCCAAGACACAGCAATCGACGACAGGAACATAATCTGGCCGAATAGTGTTGCTTGAGGAACGAGGAGGAGTTGAATGAGAAACTGTGACAGGAGTAGCAGGGAACAGATCCCGACGGCATTGAACTTTTCATCGTGAATATAACCCATGTCCAGCACGAGTTTGCCCTTGGTTATCGACGCCACCTGTTTCTCTGTGCCCTTCAAGATGACGACATCATTGCGCATCAAAAGAAATCCATCTCCCCGCGGTGCATATGACGAAGGTTCGACACGCTTGAAATGCAGCCTCCCTGAACCGATGACAAGGCAAGACAGGCCACTCGAGACCATGCCCAGAATGATCAGCCCAGATGCGAACCAATCACGAACATTTGCACAAGCGAGGAACGCTGCAAGACTGCTGGTGATGGGTATAGCAGCATACAGGGCATGAAAAACTTTCTTCTTTGGCACGTTGTCTCCCTGATGCCATTTCACGTTATCGAGCTCTATGATGCTCACCGACCCTGGTATAGTCTTTCTTCCTCCGAAATCAATCTTCTCCTCGGTATCATTTGCCTTTTGGGCTATAAGGTATGCGAGGTGTCCTGTGGTCGTCATATCTGTGCCCGAGAACGCCCCGATAAAGCGAGGTCCCTCCTTCCCATCCAAGCCGAACATTTCTTCAGGCGTTGGATTCGGTCCTGGAAAGATGCCATCCCAGAGTCGAGATTTCGCCAACTGGCCAAATTTCTTGGCGACAGTATAGCTTCCGGGAGAGTTGTACCATCCGAGTAAATGTCTGCCCCGGTAGAGATGGACAGTTGACATGGCGGAGAGCGCTTCTTCTCCGCCGAAGAACCCCATGACACCAGAGGTATCAAGGGTGAAGGACGTCTTCTTAAGTGGTAAATTGATGGACATTGTGGAACACTTGGGTTGGTGTACTGTATCACCTAGAATTAAGTTCTCCGATCTTATATGTACCACACCTGCACAGCTCCCGGTGATGCCTTTAAAATTAACTTGGCCTACGACTCACGCGAACCCAATCGGAATATATATACATTTGTCTGCCTTTCAATGATTCCCTGGCCTCGTTGGCCTTGGGCCTGTCCAAAGAAAATCATCCAAGAGAAAACAGTGTATGCTTTTCTTTGACCTTTCCGGCCGTTTCCCTGGCCTCTTTTACAGAAGAAACGACTGACTTCGCCTGCCACTATCCGTAGGCTCAGATAAAATGGAATATAAGAAAAAGAGTCTAATAGATGAATTAGGGCGGTGACGCCGCTGTTCATTTGGATTGAATTTGCAAAGAGATGTTGCCTTGATCAACGTTAACCCTCGAAATAACCAGTGCAAGTGGGCGCCAAGACTATAAATATGTGTTTGTATCGCAGGCGACCGATGCAAGATTTTGCTGCAACTGCAGGGATGCATCATGATCGCTGCAGTACAGCCAATACATCATTAGTACTGCGGCAGGCCCACCGAGTACAAAGAACTATTTCCAGATCTCAACATTTCCCACACACACCTCCTCTCAGCCAGATGCTCACAAAATGGCAAATAGCTTTCAGTTCTCAGTTCTAATTATATCACAGGAGCACAGGACCGGCCGCTCAATATTCAATCAGAATCGCATCAAGGGTCCGATGCAGTTGTTCTGTTTGATGCATCACTATAATGCGAACCTGTGCCAGTCTAGTCCCTGTGGCCTGTCCCATTAATATCATACACAGGGACAACGCCGAGGCCGATTCAGGCGTGGAATGCCATACAATTTGATATCAGGATGTGTGATGGGCACGTAAATATGTACCAGACGACAGCAATACGAGGTAGAACTACACACCAATATGAACCCTCTGCTCGAGTGGCACTTTCGTCTTCACGGCGTGCGTAGCACAGTTGAGTGCCCAGGCTGCCTTCGTATAGTCCATGAAACCACCATCCTTCAAATCTCCAAATATATACCTGTAAAAAGCTTCGACGACGTGTTTTGCGACAGCATCGTCGACCTCACACAGCGTGGTGGATCAATTCGTCGGGCGTCTCCTCATCGCCTACAGCTGTATGACAAGCCGATAAGAACGCGAATTCAGCCTGCGGAAGATGTCTCTCCATGATATCGAGCAGTGTCAGATGTTCATCTTTCATGACGAAATGCGAATCGTAAGGCTACATAGGATCCTGCTTCCCATGACAAGCAAGGTGCACCCAGGTGTTCTACTGCAAAGCTTCGAGTGCACCTCCTTGTGTGGCTGCTCCGCCAGAAATAGTGGTGCGGTTGGCTGTCGCAGGGACGAGCTTATGGACAGGCTCGAGCTCGCTGTCGACAGCCAAGAGTGTCTTGCATTTCCCTGCACCCGTTTGACCCTGTCCGATCGCCACAAAGGACGGAGGCATGCGCTTCTTCATCAACTGTCTAGATCTGATCAGAGCCGAAAGTGTCGGCGTGTAAGAGCAGATGTGGGGATCCTCCAGGCATGGCTGCTTCCCAGAACGATATGCCTTTGTTTGAAACGGATGAGCTGCATGGAGAGGAATGGACGTGAAAGCTGTAGTGGGTCACAACCAGATTCGAGAGCGGCGCTTTAGTTTGAGAACGTGCTCGAGTACGTTGACGATGGGTAGCATGATCTGGTCCTATATTATCCGCAAGAGCACTATGAGATCCGTCCTCGACTCTCCTCATATTGCCCTGGTGAAGCAATCCTTGAGAATCTTCAGAACTGCGATAGCGATGGACGGTAAAGGAACATGATGGAGGTCTGCTGATGTCGGGACAATGCTGCACAAGCATTGACTCGCAATGAGGATGATGACTGGGCCCTGGCGCGCTGCCGCTTGTACGAAGGTGGGAGCCGATCAGCAGCAGCCCTGTCGGTGACAGTTACAGAACTCTGGGCAGCATTGGAAACGCGCTTGCTCAGCTGCAAATAATCGCACGCCAGTGTCGGATGTGCTGACTCGAGGTCTTCAACTGGAGTCCTGAGTCGAGATGCCAGTGACCACTGCTGGCCACGGCCCTGCTCCACAAGCTCAACTGCCCGTCGTAGATTGTCACGACGTATGACACATGAGGTTACATCTACAGGAAGTGACCGTGCACCACAAAAGGCGGTTGTAGCCTCACGCTGCGAGGTGAACGATGATTGTGTCATCGGTCGTGTAGAATCTGGTAACGAGGCTTCCTGTAGCCTGAAATATGAGTAGTATCTGTCTGGCTGTGGTAAATGCAAAGCCTTTAATGATTGTTTGCAGAGAGTGATGGCCTCCTCGACATCTTCATTCTTCTGAGTTTGCGTGAAACGAGAGCAGAGCACCGAGCTCAGATTGATAAGAGTTGCGCGGCGCCCTGGATGGTCAAGCCGCTTTAACCGAAGGAATTCGCGATACAAATCAATGGCCTCGTTAAGACCCTCGCTAACGTGTGATTCGTTATATCTGGTATTGAGCGCGAGGGCAAGGTTGTTAAGCGTGGTGTCGTGAGGTGGATGCCCAGTGGGCGCAACGTCAGTGCCTCGCGATAGAGGCTGATAGCTCAGGTGATGAGGGCCCGCCTTAGGTCGTTTAACGAGAAATTACGATATTTGTGCCCAACAGGGCGCAGGCGCAGTGCTTCTTCGTGCAAAGAGATGGCCTCATTGAGGTCATTAGGTTTGCCTTGATGATTGTAGCGGGGGGACATGAGTGAGACGGCCAAGTTGTCCAGGTAGGCAGTATGGACAGTATGTCCCTCGGGGCAGAGATGCGGCTTCACGACAAAGCTGTATGCTCGTGTCAAGATCATCGATGTTGCCGTGCTGATTGAAATGTCCTTCAACTGCGTGTGCAAGCATGTCGAGGGCTCTGGGACGGAGTTGATGGCCCAGAGGACAGAGCTCGAGGACGACTCATCGAAGATGGATGTTTTCATCGGATGCGTCTGTTGGAAGATTGTTGCATCCACCGATCACATAATCAACACCATTCTTCCCTGCTGCGATGCTACAAAGGTAGGTGCCCTCTGGACAGAGAGGCAGTAGTTCATGATAGAGTTGGGCGGCTTCGCAGATGTCGGCAGCAGTACTTTTCTTGTTGTGGCGCCAAGTCAGCACTTCGGTGAGATTATATAGAGATAATGGTAACGGATGATCTGGATGGGGCTGTGGACGCAATGCAAGGGCGTCGCGGGAGAGGGAAGTGGTGGCATCGATGTCCTGAAGATCATTTCGGATGTAGCCTTTGAGGCGGGCCCATGCAAGGTTGGTGAGAGCCGTTGCATGATCTGGATGGCTGACCGGACACTGGTCCAGAACCAACTGAAAGTGCTCTACAGCGTCGTTCAGGTGAGAAACTATCTTGCTCGTCATGTAAGCAGCAACTTGTACGTGGCCCGCATCTGTGTCTCGAGGAATCTCGCAGTCTAAGAGGGACTGCAGTTTGCGTTCTGTCAGCAAAAGCCAACAGGACAGATACCAGCGTCACTCACATCGAACAGTGCGTCGTCCTGATGATCGCAAGCATGTACAATGGCGGCCTTCAGTTTGAGGGAAGGGTGGACACCGTGCACGGGTGGGAAGGATAAATCTACGAGACGTTAGTGTATGCGCATGAACGAGAAGCGAATCACTCACCAAATGGCTCATCTCCATGATCGAGTAGCTCGTTCCATGGCATTTGAAGGCCTCCAACGACCTCACCACCGCTAACCATTCGACCAAGCTCATAGGATGCCCTGATCTCCACTGACAACGCAGGCAAGGAGTGTGATGTTCTATAGACAGATAATCAGTTCTTGCATTGCGTCAGAAAGTCTGCATGGGGTTTACAAAGTCATAGTATTCCCCCACGCTACAGATTTATTAGATGATAAGACACTGATGGCTGATTTCCGGCGCCTCTGGGAGTCGACTTTGACGGATATGTAGATGCCAGCGGGAATGTGCTTGGAAGGAACTCGAATATTCTTTCCGTTGATGACTGTAGATAGAGTGTGAGGATGATAAAACAGGTGCGAAAGCAATATGGAGGAACTCGCCTTCAAGTCTGATATATCGGCTTTCTGAGCTATTAGGCATGATGGTGCGATGGAGTTATCCACGGAATCTGTGAGAAGGGAAGACGGGGGTAAGGATATGGGGACTGGGTATAGTTCAGCTGAGAGAGAGGTTGAGGGTTCAGTTCATACTACACGTGTATTACCATGTTGTCTAGGGCTGCTCGGCACAATATAGACCCTGGTATAATTGCACTAAGCGCTGGTAATGGAAATCACCGACCAGGATTAGCGGAACAATTTAATGTAGACAACGTCGTGACCAGTCTTCAGCGAAAGTGGCCAGCCGAGGTCGAAGGGGGCGAGTCTCAGAGTGATTGGACTTGTATGGTACTACTCAGTTAGCACACCAAGGCCAGATGTAGAATCGAGTGTATTTCGTATAGTAATGCGCACAATGTGAAAACCACTGAAAACGGCACGCTAAGAACCGAATGATTCTATACGACTCGTCCGATTGAGCCGATAGTGCCATGGGGGGAGGAATGATCTTTCCTGGACAGAGAGCTAAGAAAAGATTGTCAACTTGAAAAGCAAGGATGCGACCAATTGTATGCTTATTCGGTGAAGGGCAATTGACGAATGTTCAGGAAGCTGTGACCACTGCCGGCTTGAAGGTGAGGGGAATATTTTGACCGAGGACATGCATGGGCTTGGATGAGGGAGAGATGTAATGTACAGGGAATCACCAAATAGATGGACATCGACTCGTGGTTCCTTGAGGTGGCCGCCTAACTGCACTTCCTCAGCTAGAGTTGCAGGAATTCAAATTTCTATTTCAGTACAACTCCCGTGATCGTGTTGCTCATGTGACGCAACTGCCACCGACATCAACTTTTGAAACACTACTTACATCCGATTTCCTGGACGCTGCACCTCTTGGAATTCCAAAGCAAGCGGCACTTTTGATGTGTCTTTTTTGTTCGCGTTCTGAATCTTGTCCTTTCAAGGGTGTTTGGGCTTGTCTCCGTGTTGTTGGTTTTGCGTATAATAACAAAACCGCATTGCTGACCACCTTTGCAAAAGTTTGCAGCATTTATAGTAGGTGTGTAGCGACTCCGAGTCTTTGCTCATTCTAACTGTTGTTCCAGATTTTAATCCTGTTCTTCGTCATTCATAATATCGTCCGTTGCACTCTGCTATCCCTTTTGACATGCTCTCGCGAACCCTCGCTGGTGTCTCCACTTTTTTGCGTGTCCTTTCAGCAGTTTATCTTGTCTCTGCCATAAAATACACCGGATTTTACATTTTGCCGTACTATGTGCTAAGTGAATGGTACGACTCAGCGATAAAATTCCAGGAGTGGCAAGCCTCATAGGATGCGCATGTTCCCTTTAAACTTGGCGTGCTACTTTCACACTAGTACTGATGACTGACCTTCACACTGCCCACTTTTTAGCATGTACAGGCTCTCCCGCTAACATTCTATCGTCGACCATCGCACCGCCATGTCTGATGACTTGAATGTGAGTCACTGCATATCACCTTCGTGCCCATTTCGGGATCCTTATGCTCGACTCGGATCTACAGTCATCAGCGCAAAAATATGAATGTATCCTCCTGGTGTACGCCTGCTGCCATTTACCTATGCGTCAGTGTCGACTCGAGAAGACACTGAGATCAGCCATTCGAGTCCTATCATCCCATGAATATCTCACCAGGGTAGGACGAGACCATGGCCTTGTGATGTCCACGGGTACTTTCGGATGCATCTGTCACGGTGCTTACATCCATTTCAGCACCGAGTGCTAATCTACAAACGAGGCGTTCTGACTAAGGTCTTCGTGCTAGACGATCTTGGGGCCGTACAATCGTACGGTCACTCGAGTTTTGAAGAGTGGGTGTTGGAATATTCACCTGGATGGTAAGGAAATGGTTTCAACTTAGTAATTCTATTGACAGAGTCATCACGAGCTGAATCTCCTTATGTATCAATAGAACATCGTCTGTGCGCTCAATTTGCATCACATCAAAATGTACTCAAATGTACAGATGTCCCATGGGGTAGCATATACTACTACAGACAAGTTGATTGCGAGACTAGCTGGTACGCATGATTATAGCTAAAAACACAACAGACCTAGTAACAGTGAAAGCGAAAGATCAAACGCAAAACTCAAGCCATTGAGATTCACTCATCCACCATCATATGAAGCCTGCCGAATGTGATTTGTACGTACGAACATGCGCATCGACACAACATTCGGTATTTTGCTACTTCGCATGGATTCCCTGATACAAGGGCCTCTAAGTCGGTAGCTGCATCCCAACGCTGATTTCTGAATCAAGCTTTGTTCCCTGAGAAAAGCTTCAAGTTGGAGCCTATCGCCTTATCATCTTTGCGGGGAGAGATATTATCGGAAAATGCCTATCTTTCTTCAATTAGTCTAGTAGGAGAGATCAGAGAACATCCGAATTGACGTCGTCTGCCCTAGTGGCAGACCATAGCAGATGGAAGGATTTGGTGAGACACGAAATTCGGTTTGTAGGTGGCTGTGCATGCAATACCACTCATTTCTGGACTGCCACGAGCGCCGCTGAAATCCCTCAAGTGCAGCGTTGGCAGGCTGCAGATCTAACACTAATACTGAGAGGATCAGCCCTTTTCTATCCGCATCGGTCGGGCAACATACATTATTTCCGCAGTAGACGAAAGCCAGATATCATGATGGTGCGTGCTGCTGATTTGAATCCGTATTCCTTAGTTCCTGCGCAAAGACGAACCAAGCACTCCTAACAGCCTGAGGTTACTAGTTGTGTTGTGTTTCTGCTTTAGTCGCAGTAACCGCCAGCAATTGACCCTTGCAGAGGCTGGATGACGGTTGTAATTTGCAATCGGAGCGCTCGATATTATGTAGTATTATGCTATTTGCCATCCCTAGTTCTAATTTAATCAAGTTACTCACAAAATTTCCCCCAGGTGTGGTTCAGCCTTTCTGTCGATGGCCTCCAAGCACTCCTTTTCATACTACGTTTTCTCTATGCTAGGGTGTCAAGACTCGGGCCACTGGTTCCGAGTCCTACATAATATTTTTGGTAACATTTATAACCGTACTCGGCGTCTGCCATTAATTGCCCCAGGAGCTCCTGTTCTTCATCGTCCCAGACTGCTGCGAAATCTTCACATGGCCCAAAATATTTGATTTTCTCTTCACTCAACACCTGCTCCGCCACCTGCTCCCTCCATACCCTCCAAACCCTTGTATCATTTGGGATCATGCACTCCAGGATTTTCTTCGGCTTGAAATTTATAGACGATTTCCTCGACATGTCGACGCCTGCGTGCAAGATGAAGCATGCGCATGCTGCTTCCGATGTTCTGTTGGGGAGCGCAAATTTTGTGATTGGTGGTTCATCGAGTGATTTCCACAGTATATCGGTCTGAATCTTTTCTTTTTCCAGTGACGACAGAAATGAATTGTACGCCCAAGACACCGCAAGCGACGACAGGAACATAATCTGGCCGAATAGTGTTGCTTGAGGAACGAGGAGGAGTTGAATGAGAAACTGTGACAGGAGTAGCAGGGAGCAGATCCCGACGGCATTGAACTCTTCGCCATGAATATAACCCATGTCCAGCACGAGTTTGCCCTTGGTTATCGACGCCACCTGTTTCTCTGCGCCCTTCAAGATGATAATATCGTTGCGTATCAAAAGAAATCCATCTCCCCGCGGTGCATATGGCGAAGGTTGGACAAGTTTGAAACGCAGCCTCCCCGAACCGATGACAAGGCAAGACAGGCCACTCGAGGCCATACCCAGAATGATCAGCCCAGATGCGAGCCAATCACGAACATATACACAAGCGAGGCACGCTGCCAGACTGCTGGTGATGGGTATAGCAGCATACAAGGCATGAAAGACGTTCATCCTTGGCACGTTACCTCCCTGCTGCCATTCCGCGTTGTCGACGTCTATGATGCTCACCGACCCCGGTATAGTGATTCTTCCTCCGGAATCAGTCTTCGCTTTGGTCTCTTTTGCCTTTTGGGTTATAAGGTATGCGAGGTGTCCTGTGGTCGTCATATCTGTGCCCGATAATGCCCCGATAAAGCGAGGTCCCTCCTTCCCATCCAGGCCAAACATTTCTTCAGGCGTTGGATTCGGTCCTGGAAAGATGCCGTCCCAGAGTCGAGATTTCGCCAACTGGCCAAATTTCTTGGCGACAGTATAGCTTCCAGGAGAGTTGTACCATCCGAGTAAATGCCTGCCCCGGTAGAGATGGACAGTGGACATCGCAGAGATCGCTTCTTCTCCGCCGAAGAACCCCATGACACCAGAGGCATCAAGGGTGAAGGACGCCTTGCTAAGTGGTAATTTTATAGACATTGTGGAACACTTGGGTTTTTCTTTTGGTGTAGAGTAGTATCACCTAGAATTTTATATGTACCACCCCGAAGGCATTGCACAGCTCCTGTGAAGCCTTTTGATTCACCGCGCTTACACGAATAACAAAGCAAACCCAATTGGGGATCTACTTGATATATGTTGTCTCCTTTTCAATGATTGCCCTGTCTCCGTTGGCCTTAGGCCTGTCCGAAGAAGATGATAGATCCAAGAGAAAGCACTGTATGTTTTTCTTTGACTTTTCCCGGCACCCAGTTTCCCTCGCCTCTTTCAAATATCAGTAGACCGGTGAGTTCTTGCTGGCGATTATGCTGATTGCGATGCATTTACATGGTTCATAAACTATTGCTTTATTCCAATGTGACGAAAATATATCGTAATATCTTCTTCTCACCGGTTCTCTGATGGCCGCCCGCGGTCCCGCTTGTACAGAAGAAACGACTGACTTCTTTCTACCCACCTGCCACTATCTGTAGGTCCAGATATTGTAAAATAAAATGGGATATATATTATAAAAAGTGACGCCGCTGTTCATTTGAATTAAATTTGGAAAGAGATGCTGCCTTGACCCTCGAAATCGCCAGTGCAAGTGGGCGCACATAGCGCCAAGACTAAATAATATGTGTTTGTATTGTAGGCGACCGTGTCATATTGATGTAAGATTTTGCTGCAACTGGTACTGCAGGAATGCATCATCGCTGCAGTACAGCCAATACATTAACATCGCGGCAGGCCATTTAAAGAACTTTGTCACTAAAACATGGCCATTTCCGGTCAAATCTCAACATTTCCTACGCTCCTCCTCAACACATTCCTGCCCACTACCTTACGGAATCCACCTATAGGTAGGCTATGTACACGATAGAACGCTTTTTGTCTGTCTACGTCCCAATACAAGGTCCATAGAGATACAGAAGAAAAAAACATCAAAAACACATCCATATTTTTACCCCTTCAAGAATTACTAATGTCCCGACAACACTAACTCGCCGGCAGCAACCTTGTTCCACAAGTGTTGTGTCCTTATCGACACGTCTTCGGAGGAAGGCATGGAAGGCATGTGGTACATTAATCGTACTAATCAGTAGTATATTACATTTGAGAGTGTCCATGATCGATCAAGAAAGGCTGCGCCAACTTCGCTATCCAAATACAACATAATGCTAGTACAACAGCACTGTCAGACTGTTCCTGAGGCCTGAAAGCCTGATAAATGATTGCGATCAATCATTGCATAGCTTCGTTCTGAAAATTGTATTTGCGGAAGATACGCGAGCTCGTTCCTTTCATTCAAAAGGCGTGTCTGATGAAAGACCAGCGCCAAGACTGCATTGTTTGAATGGACTGGATGCTTCTAAAGATATATGAACAATTCACATCAGTTGTCTGTGACAATTCCGTGCCACTGATCCACATTGGAATAGCCTCGTTCGTCGCATCCAGTATGGTAGCCGTGGTCGTCAGCATATCGAGTTGATCCGTTCCCTCATACTTACAAACTCCCAAGGGATTTAAAGCTACTTGGAACGAGCGCGCATACTATCGAACATAATAGAGTGCAGTTGGCATGAAGGTTAAGGCAACCTTCAAGCTTCAACGTCGAAACAGATCTGGACATCGCAAATGAGGCAAGAGAATTAGTGGTAATTGTCTTGGATGGACGGGAGTTAGATTCTTCACTTACAAAGGCTACTGTGGAGTTGGAATACCCTCCGGCACATGTTGTGATCAAATTAAACCACAAGAAAGCCAAACGGTTCGAAAATCCGGAACCCAGAGTCATACCACTGGTGACTGGTCCCAATGTATTGCACATATGTATTTCGGTTGGAACTCGGGCTGGCTATGATCACTTGCAGCTGTTTGGCTCTTTCGCACGATCGTATTGTTGTGGATACCTCGACAGACTACTCCACCTGCTTGACCATCTAAACGCCAGATGCCTATGTAGCACGCACACACGAAATGGCAAATAGCTTTCAGTTCTAACTATATCGCAGGAGCACAGGACCGGCCGGAGCCTCAATCAGAATCGCATCACAGGTCCGATACAGTTGATGGCATTACTATGTCACGGACGTATGCCGGTGTATCCCCTGATCAGACAGAGCTGTCTAATCTAGTTCCGTGGGCCTGCCCATTGATATACACAGGAATAACGCCAAGACCGATTCAGGCGTGGAATGCCATGTATTTTGATATCAGCATGTGATGAGCGTTTCGTACCTGACTAGTAGCAAAGGTGAATCCAAATGCTCGCACATTCACTAACTTGCTATTAGCTGCTTGCCTCAGAACGTGAACTAAAGGGTGTTTCTTTACCTTTTTATAATTACACTTTGGTTGCACTAGCTAGATGTCGATTCTAATACGTAGTACCGTGAGTCCGTGACCAGTACTACGAGTCGCACGTTTCACCCAACGCTGCGCTCAGCTACAGCATTAACTTACGGGACTTAAGAAAGCTTAGATTGGATCAGGCAAGTTCCGAACATTAACGAGGCGTACAGCTATAGGCCCTGGCGTAAGTCCAATGAGGAACTTCTGATTCACTACCACCTCGAGAGTCGGTGCCGAACGCTTGACGAACCAGATGACATCTCCAAGTTTTGCATTCGTCCCCCGAAATATTTCCAAGGGTGGGAAACAGCAAGGCACTTCCGCTCACGTACCCTCGCCAGAGTCGTCGCATAGTTTGAAACTGATTCAGACACCCGCCATCGAAAGAAAATCAGCGTACCCAGGACCGTCCGGAAGCGACAAAGGAAAACAGAAAGTTCCTGAACCGCCGGCGAAACCAGTCTACAATGAGAAGGATATATCCATCCTTGTTGTTCTCGCGTTTTCGGACTATGCCCTTTGGCTTGACTCAGATCTGAGGAGGAAAACCGAAGAGTCTTTTCAGGGCGAGGAGCAAGATGCTGGATGTATGTTTCCATTTTTTTCGTACGCGTATCAGGCAGGGTTTATGTTTTCCATGCAGTTTTACCACTCAGCTACCTGATGCGTCGCGCTTTTGGCAGAGAGAACTTAGGTCAAGATTATATGCCGACTGAAGCAAACGCCGTAAAGGCGATTCGGACCTACGCTAGCGACGTGCTGGAGGTTAGAATGCTTGTGTCCGCTCCATCTGCGTCTGTGTGGTACCCTTCCTGGAAGCCCGAGAGGAGTTCAATTGGTGGTTATGAAGTACGCAGGAAGGATTGTACAACATTATTGGATAACGCGACTCGTGAATTTACTCGGCATCAGTGGGACGACCGCACTATTTACATGGTAGGTACGTCTCTTTGGCAGAGGACCATAATCTGACGATCGTAGGAAAACATCCCCGCACAATATCACACAATACCTGGTATCATCCGATTTGCGCAAGGGCTACTGTCTCATTCAAGTTGTCTGGTTCCAATCCAAAATGTCACACTTCCTCCGCACCACTTGGATAAGGCTGAGGACCGTCCAAAATGTAAAGGCTTCGCTCTCGTTACACTAAGTAATGCAGAGTTGTGTCAGGTGTTTCTTGAATCGTGGCCTTGGACGCGGTCATTTCAACCCGAATCAGACGACTTTGACCTCGCTGAAGGTAACTTGGAGACAAAGGAAGCCTCGAAGTTCGGGTTTCGCACTTTACCAAAAGCCCGCTGGGATAAATTGAACGAGGAGTATCTTGCTTACCGCCAAAAATTGATTAGCGAGTTAGCGGATGCCAACGAACCCCCAGATATCTCACCTGACTCTGATGTACGAGACGTCGTTGACGACGTTTTGGAAGACACCCCTGCTCCGCTTGGGAACGCGACAACTATGTATTCACCGTACCCCTTCGGCTGTCTCGTCTTTGCCCGAAATCTGCATCTCGAGACAAATAAGACTACTCTTCGAGCGTTATTCGCTACCGCATTCGAGTCGTCTCTTGTAGATCCCGCCGGTATCGACTACGTCGACTTCAACAAAGGAATGGACTCCGTAAGTCTTGGACCTTTTATGAGTATCACACTCTCACAGCATCGTCAGTGCTATCTTCGGCTTGCCTCGCCTGAGCACGGACGTGTTTTAGTCGACCGCTTCTCTAGTCACCCCGTGGTGCAGTCCCACGGCCTTGATGACAGAGGCAAAACTCCTGAAGCGTCCCAGAAGGCTATCGCGACGGAGATCATCGAAGGCAAAAAGGAGGAAGTCTATTGGGAGAAAGTTCCAGAAAAAGTCAGACGACAGGCTGTGGAGAAAGCAGTGAAGGCTCTTAATGGCAAGCAGTCATCTTCCGTACACACTGCGCATGAGCACTCCGAAGAAAGCAGGCCGCGGAAAAAGAGAAATCGCGGCTAATTACAGAATTTACGATTCTTCGACATCACCAGCCCAGGCCGTGTCTATGATGGCCTGGTGCCCTCAGTGCAACGCATTATTATTACATGCGAAGATACGCCTATACAGGCTACTATAGAGACGAACATTACAAACCTGGCATTACAAGTAACTCGCGATCTCTTGCATAGTAAGTCTATCGTGCATGTCCTCACACCAACACTTCTCCAACAAAGCCCAAAGCGCGTCATCCAAGCCTCGTTCTACAGCGACTGGATTCGTGGGTCGAGGTGGAGTTTCGCCCAGACAAACCTTGAGGATGACTTGAGTTGCGAGGCGAACCGACGCCCAAGGTTCTTCATGAGTCATAAGCTGCGAAGGCGGTTCAAAATCTGGCTGATCAACCAAACGTGATAGAAGTACCTCGAGCACGGTCATACTGAAGGCATAGACGTCGGACGCCATTGTACGTTTGCCTCCGCTCCTGCACAGCTCAGGAGGACACCATCTCAGAGACTCCTGGTTAAGAGTGCTGCCATTGCTGACGTCGAAGTGGCTCATAATCTCCTCCTCGAGCTATATTGCTCGGATGAGTCAGAGCGCGATGATCGACATGAGAAGGCACGTCACCCTTGTGAAACCGAAGTTGGAAAGCAGTGGCCTGCCATCTGGGCTGATGGCGATGTTGACCTACGATGAAGTAAAGATCCTATAATTGGTGATTGTCATCATGACTCACCCCTTTAATGTCGCCGTGAACAACAGACATGCTGTGCAATAATTTGATGCCCTCAACAATGCCTTTCAACTACCAGATCAAGTCAAAATGCTGTTTCCCTCGATGAAAAGTAAGGTACATACCATATATCGGTGGTCAACCTCAGGATGTTGATTGACGTAGTCTTTCAAGGTCCCATTGGACATCCAGGGGCTTACGGTGTAACTGCTCTGTTGTTAGGGACGAACATGAGGTCCTGAGGAAGGAGAGACCCACGGATATTCCCCGTCAGTCTGACAGAAACCGTATATCGTAAGGATGTGTTCTCCTTTGTCCACTTCATACACTCTTCTCCAAATCTCTGCCTCTGTCTTGAACCTCTGCAAAACAATTGATTGAGCGCTCACGACGACGACGACATTGAAACAATGTACCTTGAGCGTCTTGGGTGTAACATAGACTGCGCGCAGGACTCTGATGGCAACCTTCTCCTCGTTAAGGTAGCATCCTTCCCAGACATCGGTCCGACTCGTCCCATTCACAGCATGATTACTGGTACGCCTCACTTCCCCGCGTTGCAGGTTCATGTTCGGAAGTAAACTTCTGGAATTTTGGAGGAGATTGTACAAGTTACTTTCCAGACCGTATTCAGGTGTTGCAGAGAAGTGGACCGGAAGATTCTGTCAATGGAAATTAAATGAAGGGTTTGGCAAGAGACTGGGGGATGTGGTACCAACTTCTTGCATCACCTTCAAGATCTGGTTTACGACGGCGGTTTGTTGCAGCTGGTCGCTCAAGAGAATCTCCTGTTTGTTTTTGAGGTCCCCGAGATAGTGGATCATATATTCGTTGTCGATCCTTTGGTTGTCTTCGAAGGCAGACTGCCATTTGTGGATCTCGAGGTGCGAGGTTATCTGGTCAAATAAGTAGATGAATTTATAGATGATAACTGAGGAACAGACACTTGACATACCTGTAACTTGTTCAAGCAATCAGATATCTCAAAATGACATCGTTGAATTACTCCGGTGAGTTCATCCTGTTTGATGAATAGCTTGATTCGAGACATCAAGCACCATGGAGTCATTCTGTCGAGGATGCCTTGGATGGTGCTGGCTAGGTTATTAGCTGCCTTTCGGACAATAACATCTGGGCGCTACCAACCTTTGTGCGCCTGAGCAAAGCGTGGTTTGGTCATCCGGCGCCATGCTTTCGCCTTCATTCCTGATGATAGCCAGAAAACTGAGGCAGCGTTCCTCGAGTTGTCGTATGCCATTTCTGTCACAACCGTCGTCATGGTCAGTGGGAAGAACAGCGTAGCAAAATGGTAGATACCTGTTGGACTCTGCTTTAGCCAGCAGGTTGATGAGGGTGGTTAGAGCACCGAATGCTGGACCCAGCCATGGAGCTGGAGTGGACTGCGTTGCCTGAGACAGCGCTGAAGCGGGGTTAATGTGGAAGGAGGAAGCAAAAGTGGCCATGATTGTTGGTCAATAGAATGCTTGAAGTCATCGGTCGTATATAGGCTGAGAGCGCGTTGGAGGCTGGGTAGTGAATCTGTGCAGTTTGCATGCTGCCTGTCTCGCACGAGAACTTCTGTGGAGAATTTAGCGGGACCTGTTGACCCACAGCCTGCCAAATAGGTTCGAGGGCACTGTCGATGAGTACTTTGTTTCAGAGGAAGATATCTATAGAACTTGTCTGTAGAAGAAATAAATGTCCAGCCCTTGCATTGCGTCTGAGGGAAGCCAGGAACGTGTCACTTATCGTGTTGAAGCTGAAGCGCTGAATGACAACCCTTGTAAGATGCTATCATTTCGCCAAGCAGAACTAGCTCTCACGAATACGTATACTGCCAGACGAAAAGCAACCCTTACAAACAGCAAGCGTAAACACATGCGGTAAAATTACGTCACATGATATAATCTGCATGAATGGAAGGAACTACATACTAACGTTCCTTCTTATAAGTCGGTTCAGGGAAGACTACTATCTTTCCCCTTCCGCACGAAGTCTGTCCCGTACGCGTATCAAGGCCTTTCCAAGTTCGTTGGCACCATCACCTGAAGGACCATGACCCCAGTACGCATCATTGGCATCGGCATACACAATATCAGCAAGGCCTGTGCGCAAAAGTAATGTCCGAAGGCTAGGATGTTGCTTGAACTTTATATACAGCACATCTTCCATCTGAAAATACAAAAATAGTCAGGGAAGGTTGATCCGATTGGAATGCCAATGAAAATAATCTCACAGTCCTCAAGAATACCTGGCCCCAATCTGGTCGCACGTGGTCCTGAAAACTAGCCGACAACGGGTACATGTCACCAACATCGGTGCACTTTCGTATACGCTCCTGAAGCTTAGGGTGTTCCGTGAACTTCATCGCCTCAAGGAGGTGCATCGCCGTTGGGTACATTTTGTTTTTGTACATCACTCGGTGTTGTGAGTGATTTACAAATCCGGATAGTTCACCCGTATGGTCAAACTTGACGGGTGGTCCGCGATCGGGAACTGGCATAGCTTGCGGTGGGGCTCCACTTCCAGTGTATGGGTTTACCCTATCGGGCATGACTGCAGTTGGTGGTATAACGAATGATGTCACGGTATTGGAACGATGATGATGACCACCAGATTCGCTATCGCCCCCCGATGTGCTGAAAGTGCGAAAGAGTCCCTGTCGTGATTTACCCTTACGCTTACTACTAGAGCCAAATAGCTTTCCTAGACGCGATATTGGACCTCCTGGTTGAGCCAGCATGTCTTCCATTTCTTCCATGTGTTCGACGTTGAAGGAGAGGGTTATGTCCTTTGGGAGTTCCTGTAAAACTTGACGATATGGAGTGGTATCCCATATGTCTCTAGGAGGAGAGGGAAGGGGATTTTGCCGCGTTGCCATTCGTATGGGAGGGACAGTCGGTGGCCTGAATGGTACATCACTTAAATAAGGTTCGGGCATGGAAATGGGATGATCAGCTGGTTGGTAGAAGTCGGTGAATCTTGGACGAGATGACGAGTTAGCTGCACGCTGTGCGTCAGTCAAGTCGGGGGGAGCAGGAACAACTGGATCTCCTGGTCGACCAGTCATACCGGGGATGACGGGGCCTGGAGTCGCCCGATTGCCTACATGTGGCTCGGGCATGCGCGCAGTGGGTTGTGGGTGAGATGAGTAATACGAGTCATTTATGATAGGAGGAGGGGGAAAAGCTGTGTCGCGTTGGGGTTGCACGTTAGTTATGACAGGGGGTGGAGGAACAACGGGATCTCGTCGACCAGTCACATTGGGCATCACAGGGCCTTGATTGTTAGATGGCTCTAGCATCCGTACTTGCTCTGCAGGGTGAATAACTGGTACAGGTGGCTGACCAGCTGCGTTTTGAAAAGCAGCGACCGGAACATATGCCTGCGGCATAACCAGAGGCTGCTGCATAGGAACCATGGCCACCGGATAATACCCACTCATTTGTGGATACCCAGATTGTACCTGTGGGTCTTTTCATCCGGCACTGTTAGGAAAACGCTACTCTCACAAGTGACTGCTACGCACAATACTGGAACCCATGACTCGGATATGCAGCAGTCGGATATCCATTTGAATATTGCTGATATAGTTCTGGGTGTGCCTTCTCCTTGCCCTTCTTCGTCCTGACTGAGGACCAAGTTGTTGTTTGCATTCCGTTAGAGTTAACGATTGGAACTGGAAATGGATAGGGTCTATGCTTTGAGGGTCCAGCGCCCATGTTGGTGGCGATGTCGCTGATATGTGATTATGTATAAACACGAGTTCGAAGGAATACTAGAAGCACTAGCGCAAGGCAAATAAGTCAGGGTTGGACTGTGGTCATGAAGAAGATACGAGGTCGAAATATTACTGGTGTGAGACTTGCGCGAGACCGTAACACGTTGATATGGTATGATTGGAAGCATATAGTACGTACAACTTCAAGTTGAAACGGTTGAAAAGTCAATCAAGTCCTTGTCAAAATTTGGTCATCCTTATTCCTGCATAATGGATTCGGAACTAAAGTAATTTTGCAATCGGTAGCTAGAGCTACAATGGATGTACAAGTAAACGATATCAGTCAGTCGTAACGAGATCCTCTGCGTCGCGGTGGGCTCCTTGACCGCGAACCTGATGGTGACCGTTTGCCACCCCTACCACCCCAGCCGCCACCTCGGTGAGGTGGTGAATCGCGCCTTGGTGGCAGACGTCTCTCTGAATCTCTGTTGCGATCAAAGTCGCGATCTCTTCCAGCAAAGTCTCCACCCCTTCCAGCACCACCACCACCTCTTCCTCGTGGACCACTGGGAGGAGCAGGGTTGGAGTCCCCTCGCCAATGACCCCCACCTCGGCCAGCAGGAGCTGCTGCTCCCCAACCTGCATCACTCTGCCGTGCTGCTGGTACAGATCTCCAGCCGTTTTGGACTGGAATCTTGACAGTGCTCTCAACCTGGGTGGCTGCAGCTACTGCAGCCGCGGCGGCTTTTGGAAGGATAATAGAGACGCAAAGATAGTCTCCTGGCACGAATCGAAGTTCATCAAGCGTCCTCTCCTCTTTCTCCCGCTCTGTCTGCTCTCTGGATTCGCCATCCATGTCGCTGAGCAGGCGTGCCGCGGGGCTGTCAAGAGTACCTGGTTCGCCCAGAATATCGCGAGAATACACCATACCAAGCTCTTTCTGTGCAAAGCGTCCCCTGTTTGCTGCGTCTGCGTATATAGCACGGAAGGAATAACGAGCCAAAGGGTGGCGAAACTCTGGTATTTGGGGTGCAGCGTTTCGGAGAGTCGTCAGTACTTCGCGCAAGGTGGCATCTTTCCTAGTCATGGGATCAAAAGAGAGTTAGAAAAAATACACATGCACGCTTACCAGGTGTAAATTTGTTGTTCGTCTGTGGTTGGCAGAGTGTTCTCCTCGAACAAACTCAGCCTATGGAATGACCCAACCTTTACAAAAGTTCGGATGAGAAATGGGGCCGTCTGGTAGAGAAAAACAATTGAGGATTAACCGACAAGCTACCAAAAATTAAAATCACCTTCTCCCTTGAGACAATAGGCTGTCCCGCTGGGGTAGTAGTCTCCATGTCGGCCATTTTATATTGAGACGGTCAGATGGACCTGCAGCGTGCTTGACACGGTGCTGCTTGCTTATATAATAGTTACCATTTGAGCCAAATGTCAAACATAGCCAAACCACGCCGTCACTGATTACTTGAAGCTTAAAGTTCCTCATCGACATGAAAATTAGCCACGAATCTGCCACCTAAAATCCTGTAGTGATGAACTAGCCATCAACCGGAAGATTCATCTGCCACATCTTTCAAATTGCAGGTCAGTACAAGCTCGATAACGACTATACATAGCAACTCAACTTGTCCAATTCAGACCCAAACTTACAGAAACATGTGGTCACTTTAAAGCTCAGAACGCTCAAGTCCGGTGTCATGTGGGCAGAAGATATGTATAGCGGGGCGTAATCTCATGGTAATCCCTGTCGTTGAGATAACGATTTGAAGTTTTTGTCATACGTATCAGCCGTGGCGTATACGTTGTATCATTGCTAATCGGCTCGCAAAGGAAGTCGTTCACTGACTCGGAAGTTCATGTGATCACACAGGCTGACCCACGGCATTTAAAGAGAACGACAGAGCACTCTTGTCTCTTATACCCTTCCACCACCACAATGGCCAGTGGTTATGAGCTCCTGAAGAGCGAAGATGGCAACGAAGTCCAGTCACCCAAGCCGTATCGCACCATACGTCGTGTCGCGATCGGTCTCGTCACATGTTTGGCGTTGGTAACGCTTTCTTTTCTGCATGTTCATCCTCCTTTATCTGGAGATCTGGAAGCACAAGACAAATATGACGGAGACTCCGTGAAGAGCTGTGCTTCACCCATGCCCCCTGCTGCCCATCCCCCAGCCCCGATTAATCCGTGGGCTTCTCTCACCATTGAGCAGACCGTTCAGATCCAGAAGTGGTTGGAGGAGCCTGGTCGGGCTCTTAACCTGACGCGCGGGGCTATATCAAAGCCTTCAGACAATCACATATTCATGATAGAAGCGTACTACCCGCCTAAAGCCAGCGTCCTAAGTTACTTCTCGTCGCTGTCCTCATCAGACATCCCGGAAAAGTATGCACGGGTCACAATTCACCACGGTTCTGCACCAGAACCTGTCGTAAAGGATTATCTTGTTGGACCGCTTCCTATTGGATCATCTACTCGCATGGAGCATCTGACGGAGGTGTATCATCTCGACGCTATTCCGCACAATGCACGTGGTTTTGATACCCGTGACTGGACTTCCCCGGAAATTTTTGAAAAGATGGCGGCCCCTTTAATGGAAGCATACAAGGTCATTTGTGCCATCTTATTTCTGTACATGCTACTTACAGGGAGGTTGGTTTTCAGGAACTTCTGGGCGGAACGCCCCAGGATACCCTCACGACGGCCGGAAGTGGGCCGTTCAGCTCTGACGGTTCCTTCAGACGTCTGTGGCTTAGTTGGCGACGCAACACGCCCGGCTTCTTCTTACACCCACTTAACTTATATCAGTACGTTGATCTCAGCGGTACCGATTCCTCTCAATGGCATCAGTTAAAGGTATGTTCTCAAATATAACCTCACCGAGACTTCATGCGCTCAAATTGGTCTTAGATTGTGTACAACCACCAAGTCTTTAGTTCCCCAGAATCTTTCATGGAAGCATTCCACAACGGCAGCCTTAAACGTGTCCCTGTTATCGACCCTGACACCGATCTGTCGTACAGTACTCGTAAGCGTATCGGAGCCCAACGTGATCTCGACCATCTTCCTGGACCTCGTTCGGTGTCATTTGCAGGTCTAAGGTTCCGAGTGGATCATGATCTTCAGTATGTCAGTTGGATGGGCTGGGGCTTGTACCTTGGTTTCGACAGAGACATGGGCTTGAGCTTATGGGACATCAGGTTCCGTGGTGAACGGATTGTTTATGAGGTAGGATGCATTCGACGTAGCCATCCATTCATGCAATCTCATGATTCCTGCGTAGCTCAAGCCACAGGAAGCTCTTGCACAGTATGGTGGGCGATCTAACGCTGCTTTCTGTACTTCAGTTCATCTGATATTGTTCTCTAGCGGGTAATGATCCATTCCAGGCAACGACTGCTTGGCTCGATCGCTACTTCGGCATGGGACAATCTGTCCGTGACATGTTACCAGGCTATGATTGTCCACATGAGGCCGTGTATCTGCCAGCGACCACTTACTCGGTGAATGGATTAACCACACAACAGCGTGCAATTTGTATCTTCGAGCATGATAGCGGACGACCTCTTACGAGACATCTTGGTTACGAAGAAAATGAGTTTGGGGCAGTCAAAGGTTATGAACTTGTGATCCGAAGTATTGCTACGGTCGGAAAGTGTGTGATTTTTTCTGTCTGTGGGATGATGCTGAAACTTGAACCCTAGTTATGATTACTGTACGTGCAGAGTTTCGCCATCTTCGTGATGTTGACTGGATTCTGTATTATTTCCTGTAGTGGTGAGTGATAAACCAAATGCTATTTTCACAATTGACTTCATCATTTGTGTGTAGTTTGACTATATCTTCCATCTTGACGGAACCATCGAGGTCCGCGTCTCCGCCTCCGGCTATCTGCAAGCTGGTTTCTACGATAAAGCACAAGGGCAATATGGAAATCGAATCTGGGAAACCAGCAGTTTGTATTTCCACTCGTCCCTTATATTGATCTAACACGGTATCAGTGGGTAGTCTGCATGACCACGTGATCAACTATAAGGTCAATAGCCTCCCCTGCGATAAATTTATAGCGCTGATGATCCATTACAGGTTGACCTTGATGTGGCGGGTACAGCAAACTCGTTGTTGAAGACTACATTGAGTCAAGAAGCAATTACCCAGCCCTGGTTCGAGGATGACTGGGGAGACGAAGTTATCCAGCAAGTTGTCACACGAGAATATATCGACGACGAGAACAATGCCTTGTTAAAATTTCCGACAAACTTCCAGGGCGGCTATGCAATCGTAAATCAAGAAGAGACCAACAAGTGGGGAACATCGAGAGGATATGCTATCCATCCGGGCTATTCTCCGATCCACAACGTACGTATATTATCGAGGATGTCATGACAAGGTCTGAAGTCTGGATTGCAGACGGTCGTTGGTTCTAAGCGGCTCCTGAAGAACGCGAACTGGGCACGCTACAATCTGGCTGTCTCCCGTCGCAAGGAGACAGAACCCTCCTCGAGCAGTATGTGGAACTTCAATTTACCCGGTGGCCCTCCTGTCGACTTCCACAAGTTCTTTGATGGAGAGAATATTACACAAGAAGATCTAGTTGCCTGGGTGAACCTTGGCATGCATCATCTTGTTAGTTGCTTGCTTAATGAAGTACTAATTGTAAAGCCTCATTCTTTTCATTTTTATAGCCTCAATCAGAAGACGCACCTAATACACGAACAAACACAGCGACATCAAGGTTGGCTTCGCTGACTCCTGCCATATGGAATAAAAGCTTATTAACGGTCTATTAGCTTCTTCTTGACGCCTCTTAACTACTTCGATCACGATGTATCTATCGAGTCGACCAATGCTGTCCTCCTGAAGAACCCAGAAAAGCCTGGCGACCCCTTCACATATGACGACTATGGTGTTCAGCCCGCTCACTGCCTGCCGGAACACCCGTCACCTTTCGAGTACCGTCCGGCGAAGATGTTCGACCTAGATGGGGTGCCTGCACCTGCTTCGTCAATTGAAGACATGCGCAAGGCCTCGGAGTTATATCATCGCATCAAACTTGAGTTGTAGAGCCTTATTGGAGATGGGAAGGTGGTGTAGTGATCAGGTAGCTAATAATGTGACTTCTTTGCAACATGTGTATCAATCTGTCCACGAGCCTATGAACAAAAGGAGGTTCAGTTCCTGATCCGTCTTTCATCTTAAACTGACTCCGCGTTTAGCAGCGGGTAGGCGCGTGATAGTGCACATGAGACTTGTGTATTTACGTTTTAAGGTCTTGTTCGGTCACACGTGTACCTCTTCATCTGTCCGCCAACATGCCCAGAGGATACGAGCAGCTAAAAACTGCATCCTTGGATGAACCCAAGCATGAATCAACGCGAGCACCGAACAGGATCACCTCTCTTCGTCTTGGCCTTTCATTCATCCTCATCCTTGTATTGGCTTCGCTTACCGTCATCCAGATCAGATCCTCTACCTCTGGCTCCAAAATTGTTTTCGGGGGTTCCGAGACACTTGCTGACTATGATGAAGATATCAAGATCTGTGCATCTAATATTCCGCCTCCTGCTCGCCCTCCAGCTCCAATCAACCCATGGGCCTCTCTTACCATCGATGAAATGGTGGAAATTCAAAATTGGCTCCTGAGCACCCAAATGAACCTAAACCTCACGCGAGGAGATACAGCTCGGCCATCCGATAACTCCATCTATATGATACAGACATACTATCCTCCCAAGACTGATGTCCTCGAGTACTTCTCGTCTTTGGATCCTCGTGACGCACCTGCAAGGTTTGCTCGGGTTACCATTCACCATGGTGGGGCCGTGGAACCCGTGATTAGAGATTATCTCGTCGGGCCGCTCCCAGTCACGCCAGCCACAGAGATGACACATTTGGCGAATATTTATCATACCGAAACTCTTCCCTATAACGCAAGAGGATATGATGCCCTTGACTGGAATTTGCCCGAAATCCACACTAAGATAGCAGCTCCGCTGATGGATGCGTACAAGGCGAGTCGTTTCGATCATCTGGCTTGCCTAGTCTTCCTTATACTTTCTCAGGAACTTCTAGGTGGTTTGCCCAATGGTACTATTGTTGCTGGAGGTGCTGGGCCGTTCGGTTTCGACGGATCGTTCAGGCGCTTCTGGTTAAACTGGCAAAGAGACACGCCCGGATTTTGGTTGCATCCACTGAATCTTTGGCAATATGTCGACGTCAGTGGTACTGATACTTCGAAATGGGACCAGCTGAAGGTAAACTCTATTTCGGTTGTAGTGAACGTTCTCGTGCTTAACCCATATCCGTTAGATTGTGTACAACCATCAAGTATTTGACACAGCAGAATCATTCATGGATGCGTTTCATAATGGTACGCTCAAGCGTGTGCCTCCAGTAACAAAGAAAGAAGAAGACCTTTCTTGGAGTACACGAGAACGTATTGGTGCCTTACGCGACCTCGACAACCTTCCAGGACCTCGTTCTGTATCTTTTGCTGGTTTGCGATTTAGGGTTGATTATGACCTGCAATACGTCAGTTGGATGGGGTGGGGACTTTACCTGGGTTTCGATCGCGACATGGGACTAAACTTGTGGGATATACGCTTCCGAGGTGAGCGGATCATCTACGAGGTAATTGCCCATCGTCTACTGCACTACTTTAACTGTCCGACTAATATTCAAACTAGCTCAAGCCTCAAGAAGCATTGGCACAATACAGTGAGTTGTCGAGTCTGAATCGAAGGGAATATAAGTGACCTGTGTAACACAGCCGGGAATGATCCGTATAAGTCGAGCACTGCACTTCTAGATTCATACTTTGGCATGGGGCAGTCGGTTCGCGACCTGCTTCCAGGATATGATTGCCCAGATGAGGCGATTTACCTCCCAGCTACCACTTTTTCTGCGACTGGGATGATGTCTAGGAAGCGAGCGATATGTATCTTTGAGCAGGATAGCGGACGTCCTATATCAAGACATCTTGGTTTTGAGCGAAGTGAATTTGGTGCCGTCAAAGGTTACCAGCTGGTCATTAGGAGCGTTGCCACCGTTGGAAAGTAAGTGACATTATGATAAAAGTTCTCTAGAATGTATGCACTCAACATATTGCGTCTAGCTATGATTACTGTAAGTATCATGATTAGCTTCCGTCTTTCAAAATTCGACTATTGTTTAACCTTTCTTTAGTGGTGAGTACTCGTCGCTCCGTTGGTGATCATATACTTACATGCGAGACCCTCTCCCAAGTTTGAATATATCTTCCACGTCGATGGAACTATCGAGGTTCGTGTATCAGCATCCGGATACCTTTTATCAGGGTTCTGGGATGACGAGCAAGGAGCTTACGGAAGCAAAATCTGGAACACCACTCGTATGTTGTCTCCCAGCACTTTCGACGTATATTTATATTGCTGATGCAAATAACCAGTTGGAAGCCTCCACGATCATGTCATCAACTTCAAGGTTTTAAGAATCCATGTGACACACTTCATGATCTGAACTCTTTCTGCAGGTCGACCTTGACGTAGGAGGAACACAAAATTCGCTGTTGAAAACAAGTCTTAGTCAGGAGGTCACCACTCAACCGTGGTTCGACGACGATTGGGGCGAAGAAGTGATCCAACAAAAGATCACCCGTGAATACATCGATAACGAAGACGAAGCCCTGCTGAGATTCCCCGCCAATTTCCAAGGAGGTTATACTATTGTGAATACTGATGAAACCAATAAATGGGGAATTCCTAGAGGATACGCAATCCACCCGGGATACTCGCCGGTTTATAATGTGCGTAACACATTGGATGTTCCTGTATTGTTTTCACAAGCGATCTTCCAAGACCGTCGTAGGATCTAAGCGTCTGCTCAAGAATGCCAACTGGGCGCGTTATAACCTGGCAGTGTCCCGTCGCAAAGATACAGAGCCCTCTTCCAGCAGCATGTGGAACTTTAATCTTCCAGGGGCTCCCCCTGTCGACTTCCACAACTTTTTCGACGGTGAAAATATCACTCAACAGGATCTGGTGACCTGGATTAACGTTGGGATGCACCACTTAGTAAGTTTGCCTTCTAGTATCTCAGTGCAGAGCTAAACTGCTCGGTAACAGCCTGCATCAGAGGATGTTCCGAATACAAGGACTAATACAGCCGCTTCGAGGTTAAATCCTAGCTATGTATCAATGCGACGTGCTGACTCCCTGCATTATATAGTTTCTTCCTGACACCTTTTAATTATTTCGACTACGATGTGTCGATCGAGTCTGCCAACGCCATACTGCTCCAGCCTCCCAAGAAGCCAGGAGACCCGTTTTCTTATGATGATTATAATGTTCGTCCAGCCCACTGCGTCCCGCAACCACCTGCCGCATTCGAGTACTATCCGGAGCAGGTGTACGACCTGGATGGGAAACCTGCACCTCCCTCAACGGTGGAAGAGATGAGGAAGGCTTCTGAGCTTTACCTTCGTATCAAGTTTGAGCTTTGACCACGGGAATGCTAAAGATTATGGGAGTTAGCTTAGCTTGTTTATGTACCATTTTGAAGATTGTGTTCATCCGTCGGGACTTGAGAAGCAGTGTTTCTTTCAGGAAATTTATGCGGGCATAATCCCGACGATCCGCCAAAGCTCGAGCTTTTTCGAGCTCCGCCACCATCATGGCTATCCTCAAGTTGTACTATCACCCTCAGTCTTACTAAAAGCGGCCTCAAGGCCAGTGAACTCAAGAAACGGACTATGTGAGCGGCGCCCTTTAATGGTCACATCACTAGACCTGTGTTGGATCAATGACTACGTGATCTCACTGATATCGGAACTCGATGCGAATGTGGCAAGGTCATCTCGACAGGGCAAATGACGCTGTCTGCGCCCAAGCTGCATTGATCCGATGGTGGTATATAAAGCTAGCCCAGCCATCATCTTAATACACTAACATCCGCCAGCTCTCTGACACTCCGACACTAATCCTTTTAATATGACCCTAGTCTCGAATGATCCCAATTGGTGGCCGTTGCTCTATTTTTATCGATTTTACAGCTATTTTATAGGTTCGTGGACAGGCAGAGTCAGCGATGTCGATGATGGCTCACTCAGATCTGCCTTTTACCACTGCGACTTTACAGCTGCATCCTCTACGGTAGTCATATACGATTGGGGTGAGACATACACAATCATATGCTTATCGAGAGACGTATTGATGCCCTGTGACATTCAGTTCTGACATTTGGACAAGAGGTAAGTTGATGGCATTGCTAGAGCAGCTATCTCACGGTTGTGACTCTAGTTTGAACTGGTCCTGGTAAGTAGAGTCTCTCGGAACAGGACGATACAGCTCATTCCGAGCGGCAGAGGCAACGCTGGTCCCGTATGACTGTCGTATATATCAGCGTATCTAGCTCATATTTTAGGTGCGCTATGTCGGAATGCTTTCATTTGGGTACTATTTTGCCAGGCTAATCGAGCCAGTACTGTGCTAATAAGACATCATCTCACGATCAGCATCAGCATACTACGTATGTCTTATCATATTCATTGCGCTTGTTTCTTCTGACAGGTAGCATGTAGTAGGTCTTCCGTCAGTTTCGGTGACAGATACAGTAAGGATTCCGCACCGTTTTCTATCAGTTCATTCAACTCACTGTCCTCCTATGTAGGGGTGAGTGAGAACCTCCACCACTTTGTTGATTCAATATAATGACTACCACAGTTGTGAGTTCGTTTGAAGCATCCAGTACTCTGAGCTCGTGAGTCGTTATTGACTTGGATCTTCCAGGCACTATTCTTGGCCTTACACAATGGTGGATGATTTTCATCGTAAATGTCATGCTAGGTCGTAAGCTACTTGACTGCAGTGCTTGATTAAGAGACTTAACTGAAATATCACGTCAGACATCTTAATTACTCGGTTACGTGCGATGTACAAGCGATCTAGAAAGATTTCAATCTTTCTTGTCGGAATCTCCTTGGCTTGCATAATTGTAAGCGGAGTGATCCTCGCAATATCAAGCAGTAATGTTTCAGCAGGTGAGCCTCGATTATCATCAAAAGATGCATGTATATCAGGCTGATGAATACCAGAGGAGCTTGTTCTCTCTGGCACCTATCAGTGCATTCTGAGCGGAAATAGTGGCTACCCACTATCTGAGCCTTGGATACTCGGCATTGTATGGGAGTTCCTCGTGCTATGTCTTGCAGTCTGGATTGCTATAAAACACTTCCGTGAACTGCAACGACCATCCCCAGGGAGGGACAGTTTCGCCATGTTAATAAAAACTCATGTGTTTTACTTTGCAGCGTGAGTTTGAGGCTTCAATTCAATATATATATTATGGCTGAACGTCCTCACCAGACATGCTGCTGTTTCTTGCTTGGCTATTGGCAGCCTTCTCTCTCCACAAATATCGGTACGCCAACCTGCAACTGACACGTGCTTCTGACAATTCTCGTCATTTCTATAGGGATCTTCTTCAATTGGAACTGAGGTTTATTCTGGCATCGTTGAAATTTCCATGCTCGCGCAGATGTTTGTTATGGGGCCACGACTCCTCCTTAGCGTTCGAGAATATAACGCTAATCTCGTGGCCGACTCTGAGACAGGAACCAACCTAACTTCGATTATTTTCCAAGAGGGCATACTTGTGTCAACTGATGATGGTGTGTAGCACGGGAAACTATCTAAGTGATCCAAGTGACCCATAAAATACTTCGCGAAGTTGTTGTCAATTTGTTGTAGTATTGGTACATCATGATTCATTTGGCCACCCATCCGGTATTTTGAACTACACGAAAATTTGAGGTGACACCACAAGACCCGACGGGGCCCTTGTGTTCAATATATTTGCAATATCATGATGACATGCAAGTCACGCCTTCATATTCTACTACCTGAAAAAAGAAGCCTTGGCTCCCGCAGTATGATCGAACATTGAGAACGACTTAAGCTCACAGATGGACTCCATCAAGTTCCACCCTCCAGCTTTCAGATTCGCTTCCTTCGCAAGAACTTGAAAGTCTTAGTTTGTTGTCCACTGTGCATCCAGACTCGATGATCAAGCTCACTGCAGAGGAAATTGCAAGGCACATTAAAGTGGATGATAGGCTTCACGAAGCTGTATTAGATCAGTTGTGTCGACCTACCAAAAATTATTGTTGCAACTTTCGAGGAGATATTACAGCTGAGTACACACCCTCTCCAAATAAAGCAAAGTCATGACTCATTGATAATCGAACAGGAAACTTGGAGGTTGCGTTGGATCACGTTTGCAACAATGGTGGACCTGCTGGCACTGTCCAACAAGGACAATTGGAGAGAAATGTTCATGAGCCCTGGAATGTTGACCAGCCCGTCTGGATGCTTCACCAAGATGGTAATCGTGGTTCAACTGACATCTGCACGTCTATTTCTTGAATAATCATCAAACAATGACGACGTTACTGTTGACACCGAGAGCTTCGGATATATGGTTACATCTAGGAGTCGAAAGGTGCTATTTCTTGATAGATTTGCTAGGATGCTTCGGGTTCAGGGCCATGGATAGATACAAGGGAAATTAAAAACTCAGTGGGGAGCTCGTCTTCAGCCTGCCGCGCTTGCGGGATGGCAAGATGATCTTGATTGCGCTGATCGAGCTCAATATGCCTGAAGACTGAGGCGGGTCTTTTTGACCTGCAGAAGACGACCGCCATCAGCGAACGAACATCGACTGCACGTACACCATTCAAGCGACATTATAAGAATTTGCAACGGCAAACTCGACCTTCCGAGTCGTCCCGGGCAAGCTGTATTACTGCGAACGATGCGAAGATGATGAATGTTGTGAAGAATGCAGGATGTGATGCATGCCATCGAGTCGTCGTGAGAGATGACGACGAGCTGAGCGCCCACGGCATAGTACTGTGAGCACACGCGCTGCAGCCATGCAGGCGAGACTTAGCGATTTTCGAACATGACGACGCTCTAAGGAATTCGAAGTGATTATTTTCAAGAAACACATGCGTGCACAGCGCTCATGATCATGAGTCTTTATTTTACACGAGATTTTCCTAAAATAATATTGGTCATCTTTATTTCAGTCGAATCCGGTCATTTCTGAATCGATCACGAGGTTGGGCGCTGCCAGTGGCGCTGGGCGTTGAGCGTTTCCAACGTTTAACCGTTTAACGTTAACTTTGAGCTCCACCAAAAAATGTCAGCACCGAGTCTTGCTTATGCGGGCATAATCTTGATGGTCCGCCAAAGCTCAAGCTTCACCACCCTCAAGTTGTACTCCGTTGTAATATCACCCTCTTAAAAGCGGCCTCAAGGCTGAGCTCAAGAAACGGACGATTTGAGTGGTGCCCTTGAATGGTTACATCACTAGACCCATGTTGGATCGATGACTATGTGATCTTACTGATGACTCGGAGCTCGATGTGAATATGAAGTACCTCTCGACAGGACAAATGACGCTGTTCGGGCCCAAGCGTTGATCTGATGGTGGTATATGAAGTTAGTGCGGCCATCATTTGCGGCCAGCTCTCTGCCAGGGCCCAGTGACACTCCAACACTAATCCCTTCAATATGACCCTAGTCTCTAATGATCCTAATTGGTGGCCGTTGCTCGATTTTTATCGAATTTACAGTTATTTTGTAGGTTCGTGAACAGGTAGAGTCAGCGATGTCGATGATGGCTCACTCAGATCTGCCTTTTACCACTGCAACTTTACAGTTGCATCCTCTACGGTAGTCGTATATGATTGGGGTGAGAAATGTGCAATCATACGTTTATCGAGAGACGTATTGATGCCCTATGATATCCAGCGCTGACATTGGGACAAGAGGTAAGTTGATGACATTGCTCAGTACAGCAACTATCTCACGGTTCTCCAGTTTGAACTGGTCCTGGTAAGTAGAGTCTCGGAACAGGATGATACAGCTAATTCCGAGTGGCAGAGGCAACGCTGGTCCAGTATGACTGTCGTATATATCAGTGTACCTAACTCATATTTTAACTTTGGTTGGAAAATTGTGCTGATTCATAACATATTTTAGGTGCGCTATGTCGGAATGCTTTCATTTGGGTACTATTTTGCCAGGCTACTAATCGAGCCAGTACTGTGCTAATAAGACATCATCTCACAATCAGCATCAGCATACTGCGTATGTCTTATCATATTCATTATGATTATTTCTTCTGACTGGTAGCACGTAGTAGGTCTTCCATCAGTTTCAGTGACAGATACAGTGAGGATTCCGCACTGTTTTTCTGTCATCCCATTCAACTCACTGTCCTCCTACGTAGGGGTGAGTGAGAACCTCAGCCACTTTTTTGATTCAATATAATGACTACTACAGCTGTGAGTTCGTTCGAAGCAGTCCTCTGAGCTCGTGATTAACTTGGATCTTCTAGGCACTGTTCTTGGCCTTGCACAATGGTGGATGATTTTTATTGTAAATGTCATGCTGCGTTGTGAGCTACTTGGCTGTGGTACCTGATTAAGATTAACTGGACTGAAATATCATGCCAGACATCTTAATTATTCGGTTACGTGTGATGTACCGGCAATCAAGAAAGATTTCAATCTTTCTTGTCGGAATCTCTTTGGCTTGCACGATTATATGTGGAGTGATCCTTGCAATATCAAGCAGTACCATTTCAGGAGGTGAGCCTCGATTATCATCAAAAGACGCAAGCATATCAGGCTCATGAATACCAGAGGAGCTTGTTCTCTCTGGCACCTATCAGTGCATTCTGAGCGGAAATAGTGGCTACCCACTATCTGAGCCTTGGATACTCGGCATTTTATGGGAGTTCCTCGTACTATGTCTTGCAGCCTGGATTGCTATAAAACACTTGCGTGAACTGCAACGACCCTCCCCAGGGAGGGACTGTTTCGTTATGTTAATAAAAACACATGTGTTTTACTTTGCAGCGTGAGTTTGAGACTTCAATTCAATATATCCTTTATGACTGAACTTCCTCACCAGACACGCTGCTGTTTCTTGCTTGGTCACTGTCAGCCTTCTCTCTCCACAAATATCGGTACGTCAACCTGCGACTGACACGTGCTTCTGACAACTCTCGTCATTTGTCATTTCTATAGGGTTCTTCTTCAGTGGAAACTGAGATTTATTCTGGCATCCTTGAAATTTTCCTTTTCGTGCAGATGTTTGTTCTGGGGCCACGACTCCTTCTCAGCGTTCGAGAATATCATGCTAATCTCATAGCCGACTCTGAGACAGGAACTAACCTAACTACAATTGTTTTCCAAGAGGACATACCTGTGTCAACTGGTGACGGTGTGTAGCACGGGAAACTATCCAAGTGATCCAAGTGACCCATAGTATACTTCACGAAGTTGTTGTCATTTTGTCGTAGTATTGGTACATCATGATTCATTTGGCTACCCACCGAACTACACGAAAATTGAGGTGACATCATAAGACTCGACGGGGCCTTTGTATTCAATATAGTTGCAATATGGCGTGCATGTCACAGATTCATATTCTACTGCCTGAAAAAAGAAGCCTTGGCTCTCGCAATATGATGAGACAACTTGAGCTCATAAATGGAATCCATCAAGTCCCGTCCTCCAGCTTTCAGATTCACTTCCTTCGCAAGAACTCGAAAGTCGTAGTTTGTTGTTCACCGTGCATCCAGACTCGATGATTAAGCTCGCTGTAGAGGAAATTGCAAGGCACATTGGAGTGAATGATAAGCTGTATGAAGCTGCATTAGATCGGTTGTGAAGACCTGCCAAATCACTATTCATTTTTGATGTAACAGGAAACTTAGAGGTTGCGTTGGATCACGTTTGCAACAATGGTGGACCCGCTGGCACTGTCCGACAAAGACAATTGGAGAAATGCTCACGAGCCCTGGAATGTTGACCGGTCCGTGCATGCTTCGCCAAGATGGTGACCGTGGTTCAACTGACTCATCTGCACAACGTCTATTCTCGAATAACCATCAAACAATGACAGCGTTACTGCTGACACCGAGAGCTTCGGATATGTGGTCACAACCAGCACATAGTTCCTGTCGAAAGGTGCGATTTCTTGATAAATTTGCTAAAAATGCTTCGGGTTGACCATGGCGGCACACGGATGAGTTGAAATTTGATTTTATAAATGTTCAGTTTGAGTTAAGTATTTAGTGGTGTCCGGAATTCAAGTGGGTGGTTGGAAAGACCGTGGAAATGTGTCACGATGAGAGTTCCGAATCAGAGGGATACTTTTAAAGCCTAAAGGGGGTTGTTACCCTTAGATCTTCGACCATGCTCATCAAAGTAAAGGTAAGGACGCAGACATGTTGCCAGGAAACATTCCGCTAACCTGATGACCTCCGCTAGACACTCACCGGCAAGGAGGTGCTAAATATAATCCTTGCCATCCGCTAGTGACTGCTAACGAAGGTTTACGCGCAGATCGAGTTGGACATAGACCTCGAGGACAAGGTATCTGCAACTAAGGGCATCATTTATGTAACACCTTACGAATTCTATCGGAACAGATCACTAGAATAAAGGAGAAGGTCGAAGAGCAGTCCGGTGTGCCACCACCACAACAGAGACTGATCTTCGGAGGGAGACAAATGTGCGTCATCTTAGCTTCTACAAGATCATCGCGTAAACTCACCTGATTAAGGCCGGATGATAAAACCGCTAAGGAGTTCAATATCACCGCTGGATCCGTTCTTCATCTTGTTCTTGCTCTACGTGGCGGCATTTGATATCGTACCCTTGGGGAGGTGTATCAGAGATGTGCTCTAGCAAAGGAGTTTGATTATGAGGTGTAGGATTCCGTGCATTGTTAGATATCATTTGACTTTTACTTGCTGTCGCATCGCTTGTCTTCCATCGCTGGTTCTTTAACTTGACTTACTCTGACATGGTACTATCTTCTTTCTACACGTGCAGCTGATAATTTCTAGGCAGTTCCACGTACTTATCACGGATCAGGCCCTCCGACGATGTCTGCGCCTGGCAACAACCACCTGAATGTGATGCTCAATCTCGTTCCCCTATCAATCCAGTCAGGTTCTCCTTGTCCATCTATTCCTCCACTGACAAAATCCTTCTGTTTTCCATCAATCCCGTGAGTCCAATCGTAGCGCGCATCCTCCGATAGGACCAAAACACTGCGTTCTTCCAGATAGAGGTCCCAATGATTCCTATCCAGCGGCCCGGCCTCTCCGAACAGCTCCTCTTGACACTGAACCCGCTCAAAGTTCATCACACACCCACTTCCAAAGCTTACTCCTATGATTCCATCATCGAACCGTTTCAGTAGATCGACATGGGGTGAGATGCCTTCTCCAGGATGATACAGGTTCAGGATCGCCTGTCGTGCGCGCTGTGGCGCATCCTTGGGCGGAAATAACATTTCGTGCACTTTCTCGGGTAGATGATCGCGTAACATTTCGGCAAGCCAGTGCAGGAGTGTGATCAAAAACGTTGGTAAGCCGCTTCCCATATTCTGGTTGTGCTCGGATGCTGTGCGTCCAAAGAGCATGATCTGATTTACGTCTCGCCCATCGAAGTAAAGGTTCATGCACTGCTGAACGATGTCGTTTGCCAGTTCGAGAGGTAATCTGATGGGTGCAACGAAAAGCCCAGGTATTGGCGGCGCAGTGCGCATGGCAATCTGAGGCTCATCAAAGAGCGAGTCACTGTCTTCTGAGAATGGGCTAGTTGCACGAGCGTCATGCTCTGCTCCGCTGAATTCATTATGCTCTACTTGACTGAAAGTTGAAAAGCGCACCTGCATCGTTTACTGCGTACATTGCTAACAGATGCCTCAGTGCTCAGTGCTGACGATAGCGAGAAGGGATATGGTATCACACGTGGAAGCTTGTACAATCTAAATATACACGTAAGCTGTGGACGGTGTGAACGTGTGTTTCAGATCCAGCAGCACAAAAGCGATCTCAGAGTACGATTCAGTAGCACTTTTCCAACCACCTTGACATCTTCCTTAAGCAGTCCTAAGATATAGATGACTTAACAACCATCGGTAAAACCCCTGCCTCAGAATAAGCACGAGCTCTCGAATCAGGTTCGAGTACGAACCTCCAGTGGGTAAAATGTATTGTCTATGGTTCACGACTCGCAGCACTGCACTAACGATGCCCCCATGGGCAGTGAAAGAGATGACTAGACGAGTGCTCAGTCTACATCGATGAACAGGTGGGGTATGATGCTCACATTGTTCCTGGTCATTGTCAAAAATCATGTCCAGTACGCCCCTCATTCGGACATCGATTTCGTAGTGGGTCTCCCTCACTTGGGAGTCCCAAAGTTCGTCTTCTTCCACGAGCTCCTTTTCGATGTCGAAGTTAGTGAAAGTTTGTTTGATATAACTGCGCGTTCTACGCTTATCACAGGTATGGACGCCGTGTGTTTCTCTAAGGTTCTATAGCGCGAGTGAGTGAACCTAGCGAAAAATTCTTGTATCTTGATATATACCTCGATAATCATGGTTCTCTGCGATTCCGGTATAATGGAGTCGAATGTTATCTTGTTCGTATGGATAGCTCGTGTGAGAGGACTGCAGTAGAGCTTCCCCGGAAGGGGGATATCAAATTTACGTTCTTGTTTCCATGCGCTATGAGCTGCTTTCGCCTGCTCCTGGCCAAGCGCCGTTAATTCTGGATCCGCTATGACAAGTTGTGAGGCAGCGCAATTCAGTGAACGGGTGATAACACTGACGCCCCCAGATCAGATTTCCGTCCCCGTTTTTCTTTGACCAATAGCTTGATGGATGCAATCAGGTCAAGGAACTTCATTGGAGAAAGAGAATGGTAGAAGTGTACCTGTTCCATTTCTTCCGATGTGGGAGCGAGATGTTAGGATAGGATGGGCACTATGATGTAGGCAGGTCGCACCTCTGTACCGTACTTCGCCTCGGCTACGTTGTCTGCGGGGAAAAGTCCATAAAATTTGTGATCAATTCTTTAAATGTCATCTTCAGTAAGATGAGACCCTCACGAAAGCCTTCACCGTGTCTGCCCACGAAAAACACCTTGTACTGCGTGCCGACGGGAGAGGACGTATTAAGCTGATCAATCCGTTGCTCGAACGTCCTCCATCGATTATCGGAAGGGTCTATTAGCCCGAATCGGGCAGGGAGCTAGAGTTCCAAAACCAGAGTTCAAATCTTCACCACTGATCGATGGAAATACAGAGAGACTTACAGCCTTCGATGCGAAAGAACGAGATTATGCATCAGCCACTCAATGGCAAGCGAAATCATGATGTCAAACACTACCTTGCCTTGACCGTAACCAGCGCCAACTTCTTGCTCGAAGAATCCTTCGACCACCTGCCATTGGACTCATTCAGTTCTCGACCTCGTATGATCTCGGGAGACACGGATAGTAAAAGCTGACTTCATAAGACCGATGGGACATGGTGCGCCGGGGCTCTAGGGGAGATCTTCGTGGGGAATCACAGGAAATTACTATAACCTAGCTCGTCTCGGAGCTTTTGTATGCTCCGACTCAGGGTCAACTAGAAACAATAGTACTAAGTACTACTAGAGTGTGTAGACCTGTTACCACTCAGCCACCACCGTTCGGCTGCCAAGCCGTGGCGAAACCAAGATACCAGCAGTGTAACGTAAAAAGACCTCAGTTGCCAGGAGCTGATCCATTGAACTAGTTTTTTATGTAAATTTAGAGTTCAGTCGCTTTACAGGACAACTTGGCAGGAGGAATGACTCATGTCGGACCCCTACGCGTTCAATTCAATTCGAGTGCACATCAATTGACGTTCGTGAGTTGTCATGAGTGTGTATACCAAGTATTACAAGTATAACAATCATAAATAGCTGGAACATACAAATTTATGAGGCGACCTGCTCGGATGCTTCGTGGCAAACCGGTAAATATCACCAATCGGCAGGCAAGTCACATTTACAAATATGTCTCCGGGGTACCTTAGTCCCTGTAACCCTGCAAGTTGCTCCATGCATAGCATCATGTGCCAACTCGCTCGGGCACTCGTAATCTACGTGTATTCGCCCGAGAGAGAAACCACCGTTGGCTCGCTCGTGCACGGCTTTCTTAAAGTCTAGTAGCCGAGGATGAGAGCATTCGATGGCAATCTTTCCAGAGTCTACAGATTCTAGTGGTGCGTTGCCCAAGCAGGCTTTAAACATGGCTAGTTGGACGTGAGCAAGGGTACGCCAGCCGACTTTGATCATAGACTTACGATCGTATCCCCGATTCTCTAACTTCTGCCAGTCGATGCAGGCAAAGAACGGGTGACTGCGAAGTGACTCCAAGTCGGGCCTCATGGCATAGTGTTTAGGAAAGAAAATCTGATATGGAGTTCAGCCAATGTCGACAACACAAAGACTTGGAGACATACAGAATAAAGAAGATCCTTGGCGTCCTTATCTTGGATGAGATATATTTCGTCGTTCGGTCTTATGAAGGCCAGCTGGCTGTGACCCGCGGGTATCTTGTGGTCGTTACCATATTTATGCGTTCCATCACTGAAATGATATATAGAATGCCAGTGCTTAAGAGTCGAGTAAGCTTTAGTGCCAGGACGATCTGGAACCACAAATGATTGCTCACCCCGCCGTTTATTAGTAAAAGCTCCAGTAAAATAGTACCATAGGTCCAGGTGTCCGTCTTGAAGTTATATCCCTGGTTTCCCTCGACTCGTTCTGGAGGAAGGTAACCGCTGGTACCCGATGCACCATACATGAGCTCGTTGTGAAATTGCTGATAGGTTAGTTTGCGGTCTAGGACTTCAGCATTGCCAAAATCTGCAATGCATACGTGACCGGACGGAGTTACGAGCACATTTTCCATCTTTAAGTCCAAATGTACGACGCGCAGCTTGTGAAGACGCTGGAGGGCGAGAAGCTTTGGGGGTAGCGAAGCACATTAGATCAAACTTGCATGCAGAATATAGGAGACACTTACAAGCTCAGCAGCAACAAGACGCAACTGCCAATGCATGAATCCGAATTTTGCTCTAGTGCGAAGAGTCTGGGGGTAGAACCTCTGGGGCACGTTCAGCACCAAGTCAGATGATAATCAGGAAGACCCACCATTACGAAGTAGAAGTTATCCTCGTCCTCGAAGGCATGCAGCAGAGGAGTCAAAAATGGGGATTGCTCTTCGGTGACGCGCTTGAATGCCTCATATTCAGCACTGATAGCTGCTGCTGCTGCTTGAGAACCTTCGAGCAGTTGTTGCATGGTCGGTCGTTTGTCTTTGGCGCAGTGAACAAATTGCGCAAGCAACCCAGCCTTGTCGATGACCTTGATGGCGACCTCCTCTGTTTGGTCCTTAATAGCGTACCAGACGTAACCGAATGCACCACTGCCGACCTGTGCCGTAGCGACGTACTTATGACCACCTGCCTGAATAGAATAGGCAAGATTCCCATCTTTCGAAATCCTCTCAACGATAACACTGGCCTGTTTTGCCTCAGGTGTCGACGATGACTGAAAATTCGAGGCACTGGGTTCAAGAGTCGAGAACATATCGCCGAGGTTTAGCTCGGTATTGCCTTGCGCAAGTCGTAGTGATGCGTCGTTACCGAGACTCCGCTTGATAACATCCTGTAGTAATTCGGAGGGTGATCCCTGCTGCGTAAAGTGTACAGATGGCGCACGTAAGTGCCCAGCTTGGACTCCTGGCATTTTATCTGCGGGAAGCTTTAGACCAGGTGGGCATCGCGGTGGCTCACGGGGAGCAGACGATGGTGATCGGTCACATTGAAGTTGTGGAATTAGAGGATCGTATCCCTGTGGGTCCAAGCATGACTTATAGGAGGAAGCGTGAGTGGCAGACGATAGCGATTGGCTAAGGGGAAAATGTGGAAACACATAGTCGTATTGCTGTGAGCCAAGGCGTGCTTTCTGAGAAGAAGGTTCGTCGAGGGTAGTAGGGACCATCGACGGTACGACAGCCTCAGTGCTAGGTCCGACGGAAGGTCCTGCAACGTGAATGAGTGAATTTGCGCCAGCGCATTTTTTGGGTGTCTCGATGTCCTTGCTCTCGATGGTCTGCATGGTCCGAGACAAAACTGGTATCGCGACGGTAAATTCGGAAAGTGGAGAATGAGTAGGTATCACAACTGGTAGGATGTATTGACTCGGAATATCACTGTCTCGAGCAGTGTCCGTTATGAAGGCAGGTGGAGAAAGAACGGAATCAGGAATCTCCGTCGACTGCGTGGCGGTCGTTTCGATGTTAAATCCAACTGGAGGATTTGATGGAGAAATCTCGAGAGGTGGTGCAGATTCCTGGGCGGTGTGCGCATGTCCTTCACAACCTGTACCAAGAGTAGGTAATACTTGACTTTGTTGGATTGACATATGGGTGCCATCGGCAGTGGGGGACAAAACTACGTGAAATCGGAGGTTTACATTGACAGGAAAAATCGCTTGGGTAGCCGGAGACCGTTCGATTAGGGATGAGATATTTGATGCAGGGGCAGGTGTTGCAGAAGTCGCGAGGTCCAATACAGAGGCAGATCCAGACGTCTTGAATCGTTTGAAGATGCGAGCAAGTAAGTGTCTGAGGGCCATTGATAAGTGCGGGTAGCGTTATGATAATATGTGAGCTATAGTCCTGGAGAAACCGAACGTTAAATAGAGCTCGGACCTATTCTGCGCCACTAGGAATACTGGATCACAAATGTGGATGTGGCCAAAGATTAGGAAGGGACCACCACGCTTTGGCTCATCGCAAAGCGGGCCCATCAGGAAACAATTGCGGCGTCCAACAACGATATCTTGATCGGGACACTGTTAGCACCTTGGACATAAAGCTGTAAAGCTGTATGCCGTGTGGAACCAAAGCGGCACGTAGTATTATCGACCTGAGGTAAGAAGGAATTTTGGATAGTATTGTTAATGCCTGGTACACGAAATCGAGAGAGTTTTGTCATAGCATTATGATCCAGATTAAGTGCCACCCAAGGAATATCGCACTTGAGCCTTTCTTTGATACCGCATCAAACAAGTTAAAGTGGACATATGTCATATAGTCGAAGCTCGTCAGTAAGGTTGGATGAAGGAGTTGGTGCCGGAAACATCCGTGGTGCCTTTGGATGCTGTTCTCACGGGAATGCAAGGACCTCGAGCGCTTACTACACCTCAAGGCGAGGCATTGGCATTTCTGTAGGGAAATACCACAGCACCGAGAAAAAAACGTACAAACCCAACTTGTTGGTCATGAGCGGTCTGGTCAATCCAGTCTGGCGACAACAGAGGGCAACATCATAATTTAGTAGGCAATTTTGGGTTATTTCAAGTTGGTTGCCAGGAGGTAAAGTTCTGTGGCGTTTATGAAACGTTCACACTAGAGAGTCGATAGGTTTGAATCGTCTTAAGGTTCGAACAGGGTAACTGTCCTAACTAAGTGTTATTCAAGGGGGGGTGAAAATCAACTACCCTACAAGTAGAAACGCGATGGCTTATATACTGAAGGGTAAGAAAGTCAGGGACTAAAGGAGAAAGAAACTAAATGAGTAACTAGAGAGAATGATAAAGCTAATATTTGGTTGCCATCGTCGACGTATCGTCGTCGGCTTTTGACGAGCGTTACATACGCCCTCCAGGTCCTCTTAGTGGTGCCGAAGTTCGGTTCAGTCGGGTTCATTGCCCTATATCTGCGAACCCCGAACTCGACCATTGGTCAGGTTCAGGCCAGATGGCTGAACCTAGGACTGGACCCCTTCGAACGCGTTCGCAAGAGTTCGGTTCGGGTTCAGGACGCGTTCGAACCCTCGAACCGTTGCTTCAATTTGCAAAAAAAAACAATGTGTACAGTGTCAATAGCTACTAGGACCCTTCCTTCACAATGCGGTTATCATACGGAGCGACAAACTCAGCCTGGGCTGTCGCAGAGATATGCCCTTGACGGTATGCACTCTTGAGCAATTGAAGAGCCTCGAATGTTGTTGGTTGCAAGCTGCCGCGACGTGCGGTCCCAGTAATGCCGCCGCTTGAAAACGCTCGCTCGGACGCAACAGCCGAGCCCTGAATGGCCAGGTAGTCCTTCGCGATGCGGGAGACAGTCGGGTATTGCACAGAATGGTGCTTGAAAGTTTGTTAGTATGCAAGCAACACGAATAAAACAATGAGACATACCCCCCACCAGGCCACTACATTGTCAACATCCTCAAGCGGTGCGTCCAGATAGTCCTCGAGTTCTTGACGAGGCCTTTGCGTGGCTGTATCATTCACGATACGTGATTTCACAGAGTTGCGCATCCAGTTATGGCCATACGAGCCTTGGCGAGCAAGTGAGGGAGGTGCAGTAACAGACGGCCCTACAGGAGTCTGCGAGGAAGTACTAGTGTTATCATACATATTGAACTATGTAATATTAGTATACAATTGACATAAAAGAGTGATGAGCGACATATGACTCTCTCGAGGCATTGCATGCCTTTGTTGAAAAAATGAGGGGCCCATTTGTCACGCGCATATGCGACCTTGTAGTTGGGGTCGAGCGCTACACCAAAAGGTAAATGTCAATCGAACATATTAAAATAAATATGATACATACCTAGGCAAATGAAATATGCGTCCGTGTCATCAGTCTTACCATACCACTTGCGGAGATTGATGACACCAGCTTCAATAGCTGTTGAGAAGCGGTTGAATTTTGACGCGCCTGCCATATTTTGCAGTGTCTCTTGAAGACATTCGAGCACTGGGATAGTCCGCCATACGGTTGGTTCACGTGTCGCTGAGAAACTCTGTTTCAAAACCGTTGCGCACCTTAAAACGCCGAGACGTGAACATTCCGCATCATAAAACACCGAAGTTCGAACCAGTGGCAAGATTGCCAACTCAGAGGTGCCAAAGCATGGCAGAAAATAATTATGGTGAATCGCAAGCACGGACAGTACATTCTGCGATAAATGACATGAGAAGTTAGCAACTAGTAGCAACCAATTGTGATGGACAACAAACTAGTTGTAAACTTACCAGCGCGTTAGTGAGTCGCATTGCTGAAGACGCCGAGAAGAGAGAAGAACACGGGAGAAGGCAGAAGACAGTAAAGATGGGCAAGCACGATACTTGAATAGAATGCCTCACCCAAAACGTGAGGCTTCGCCGAAGTAGCACAGCATTAGGTTCGAACCGGTCTAGACGCGTCTGGACCGGTTCACGTGGACTAGGATAATGCCGAACCTAGAACCTATCAGGGGGTTCGGTCCAGGAGAAATAACGGACCCGTGACTGAACCATCGGTCCAGTCCACAAAGGTTCGGGTTCGAACCTTGGTTCAGGACTGGACTGCGGCAGCACTAGGTCCTCTAAACGAGAGGACCTTTCTTCAGGTGATGCGAGTTCCTTAGGTTCGCGGGGAAGATCCCAAGGAGGCGAACGCAGCTATGAGAAGTATTAGGATGAGCACATTGACTAACAATGAGCAAACAGGAATGATTCTACCGAGGACATCTTCGGTAGTGACCCCAGGCATATGACCAGCCTGCTCGAGGTCGAGCTGCTCAGCAGCTGCGATTATGTCCTCGACGTCGCGTCCAGGGTCGACCGCAGGAGGCTTGGGGGCAGGAGTTGGGGCGAGGATAATGGATGCGTTGCTGGTCACATCAGCGATCAGCTGAGCAGCCGGGGTGAGAGCAGAATGGTTGCTCGGTACGGAGCTAGCGCGTGATACGCGGTGATGAGGTGGAGAATGCGCGCGACGTACTCGACGAGGGGGTTCCTCAGGAGCACGAGGACCACGACGGTGGTCCAACGAGAGGTTACGAGTACGAGGGTAATACCTCTCGTAGGCGCGTTGGGCGCGCTCGGCGCGCACAAGCTCATCAAAGGCGTGCGACTCCTTTCTAGTGGCCAATTCCTCTAGAGGATGGCGGCGAAGGTCAGCGAGATGGTCCAGATTAACTCCGAACGGGCGCTTACTGGCCTGTGCCTCAGCACGGAAGAAACGCGTGAACGCGCCGAGGGCGTCAGAGTCATGCTCGCGCTGTTGGGGAGGGCGGACGCGCCCTCCTCTCCCTCTATGATAACGTCCAGGACGTCCTCGACCAGACCGAGTTGGTCTGGGAGCATCAGCATAGTTGCCGGGCCCTATCCCGTCGAACGGTGCGTCAACGAGCATGTCGTTGTTGCGTGCAGGGAGGGCGTTGGAGGACATGGAGGAATAATGGTGAGGGGGTGTATGGCTCTGGAGGTCCTGTCGGCCTGTTAAATAGGCATCTTGCAGTCCGCTTAAGCGAGAGGCGGAGGCAAAATCGTTGACCATCCGGTCAACGATTCCGAAAACAGACTGCCGGGCCGCAGAAAATTGATCTATGGTGCAAACGGGGATAGTTGCTGATGGTGCGCTAATTTTCTTTGGCAGGTGTGCGATCCCGGGGACGCCTAGGGCCTCAAGATACTGGCATAGGGCCTCTAGGCGAGAGACTTGGTGGTAAGGGAACCAGACCCTGTCTCCGGTGGAGTATTCGACCTCGAATAGAGCGTCTGGTCCGATGCCTTGGTGGTCAGTGACCTTGGTCACTGACCATTCCTCCAGGTGTCCAATGTCGGACACCTGGTCGAGCTGTCGCCCAGGGAATCGCCTATCATCATTCGGCACGTGGAGACGTAGGAGGTGCGCGTGGAAGGATGGGTGGAGGCCACATTGTTTTAGCTGAGCAGGGAGGTCCAGTAAGAACGCATTGTTCTTGTAGTCCTCCAGTATTCGGTACGGACCAATATATTTGGGTGCTAGCTTGCGTGCACGACCCTTAGGTAGCGATAAGTTCTCAGTCGACAGGTACACTAGATCTCCCTTGACGAAGGGAGACTCGGTACGACGACGGTTAGCGTTAGTGGTGCTCTTCACGCGAGCTGCTATGATAGAGTCGTGGGCATCCATTATCGCGTCCTTCATCTTCTGCGCGAAGACTCGTACGCCAGGGAATTCTGAGTTGGTGTTCCATATCAGCGGTGGAGGTAGTCTACTGTAGTTTAGAACGAACGGAGGGTACTTCGTGGTTTCGGAACATGCTGAATTAATCGCAAATTCGATTGCGGGGAGCTTGATGGCCCAATCCCGTTGGTTGGGTGAAACGACCTGTCGAAGCATTTGCGTTATGGTGCGGTTCGCACGTTCGGTGGCTCCATCTGATTGGGGGTGAAACGATGTAGACATTCTCAGTTCAACGCCCGTGAGTTGGTGAAAACGCTGCCAGAACGTGCTAGTGAATAGCGTGTCTCGGTCACTGACAATATTAGAGGGCATACCGTGGTGCTTGTACACCAGATTGAACATGACCTCGGCAATGTCTTTCGCGCGGTAAGTCTGCTTTGTTGGGGCTAGATGTACCATAGACGTTAGGTGGTCAATGGCTACTAGTACCATGTCAAACACGCCTTGCAAGGTTTTGGACTCAGGGAGCGGTCCAACGAAGTCAATTCCCACTGTCTGCCAGGGGCGCGTTGGGACTTCGAGGGTTTCTAGCAATCCGTACGGTTGGTGATTCGACGGTTTGGACACTTGACACGTTGGACACGACTCACAGAAGGCTTGGATGTCCGTAGTGATACCCTTCCACCATACATTTTCGCGGAGGTATAGTAAGGTCTTGGATGGGCCTAGATGCGCCAATATGGAGTGAGCATGAGATATTACTAATTCTCTTACTCGCCGCTGCTCAATCTTAATGTCCGGTATGCACAGTATGCGTCTTCCTTTGTCTCTGAGGAATATCCGGCCGTTACTGACTTCAAAGTTCTTAAAGGCGGATGGGCTGCTTAGTATCTTTGCAAAGAAGAGGTCCTCTCCATATTTATTGGTGATCCATTCGTGGATGTCCGTATTTGGGTCGCCTAGAGCTATGACTTCGGTCAGGAGAGGAGGGGACATGGACAATAGCGTTTGGGCAACGTTGGCGTCAACTTTGGGTTGTGGGTCCTTGTTTGTCTGGGTCTCAATGCTTATGTCAGGTGAGGTGATGTCACTTGTTTCTGGTTGCTGAACTCTGACATCATTGCTTAGGTCAGCTTGCTGTAGGTCCTTGTTTGTCAAACAGTGCACCGCGTTTTGTTTGG